GCAAAAGATCTTATAAAAACCAAACCAAGGTATAACATTATCACTTTAGATGAAGACTTTTTCTTGGAGGAAGTGCTCTTAACAAAAAGGCTGAGAAAATTAAAGCCCTTTAGGCAAATGTTTTTTTTTTTTWWWAAAAAAAAAGCAAAAATTGAGCACTCAAATTTTAAGGAACTTTAACTGAAATAGCATACCCTGCTTAATTTTAAAATTTTGTCCAATGTGACAAACACTAATACATAAATTGCATTAAAACATGAGGCCAATGGTCTTTTAAAGCTTCAATAAGCTGCTTCAGGCACCTTTTCCCTCATACATTCTACTTTTATACACTAGAAATCTTAAACAGGACCCAATCAATTCCTGTTTAGATAACATTCTCAAGGAATAGACTTATCCCTGCAAAAATTGCTTGCTATGTACTTATAAGTGGTTAAGTACACACTTACAAAGTCTAACAAATTGCAGTATAAAATTAGTTTTGACAACTGTGAGTATCTTCATTTGATGAATTCTTAATTTAGAAACTATTAACTCAGTTTTAAAAGGAAGCAATTACTGGAGACACTGTGGTTCATGTCCAGTGGCCTTAACATGAGGCCTTCCACATTACCCCAAATATGATGTTTTCTTCTATAAGTTAAAGCTCCTGGATGCTAGTTTGTAATACTAAAATCCAATCTTCAGGTTAGTGTCAGCAAGTGGCTGAGGACCACCTATTCTGTCACCCCAGCAGAAAGAGGGCATGTATCACCACTGTAGACACACATCTGTAAACTTGCACACTAATTTTAATCTTAACAAGGAATTTCAGTGTCTTAGTGGTTTAAGTTAAAAGGATGGTTCAAGCATTGTGTCCTTTGTTCTTCAGGGTTAAGAATAGCTTATTAGAAAACCCAGAGCTTTCTGGATCTGTGAGGTAGTAGGCTTCAACCCTCATCATGCATAGATCACACTTCTCCAAAGTTGGTATGGCCTGTCTCCTTGGCATGGTCCCTTGCTTCTGCTTGTCCAGTTAATCCTTTCTGACACACCATACATCTCAGGGTGAAGCGGTTTACATCAGTAAATTGTCTCATTCTTCTAGCTTCATCTGCTAGTTCCAGTGCTTGTACAAGGACAATATCATCATTAGAGGAGAAAATGGTCAAAGGAGGGGTATCTGGATCAGGGAAGTTACGCTGAAGCGGATCATAGTGGATGCCATCATAGATCAGTAGAACCCTTTTGGTATATCCTGCATCTTCTCCAAAACGATCAATTCTTACTGTTTGTGTATCTACTACACATATTTCACATTGATAAAACTTAGACAAAATTGATATCTCGATTGCTCCCCCCCAAGTATCATCCCTTTTGATCCAGTCACAGTACTCTTGATTTGTTTTTCCCAGTATTGCCTCACTATATAAGTCTGGATCACTTGCTACAATTTGTGCTATAAGACGTCTCATCTCAGGGGCACAAGCTGGATTCAAGACTCCACCTTCAACGACATAGTATACACTGGTAAAGAGGCAAGAGTTGTCCGCTGGGACCACAGTTCTGGTAAGCACAGGCAAAGTTTCCCTGACATAACTAGGAGCACCATGTTTTGTATATGAAGGTGAAGTTTGGGGTCTGGTTTGGTCTTCTTCAACGATCAGCATGTCGCCTGTTAAAAATAAAACAAATCCAGAACTGTGGTGAATTATAGACGAAATTAAATTACAAACAGGAGTTAAAGAGTATAGTGGAGGGAGGCTGAGGCAGGAAGACTGGGAATTCAAAGCCAGCCTCAGCAACAGTAAGGCACTGAGCAACTCAGTGAGACCCTGTCTCTAAAATTAAAAAATACAAAATAGGGCTGGGGATGTGGCTCAGTGGTTGAGTGCTCCAGAATTCAATCCACAGTACCTACCCCCCAAAGAAGAATACAACTTTATAAACATTTGTTCACTGACTCTTCATAAAGAAGAAAACAAAAGAAAACAAAACACTTCAGATTGCATCCCAATTTAGTGAATTGGCTTGGAGTATATCCCTTTATACATATTTTAAAAGATACATTTTGAAAACAAACTTTTCTTACTTGCTGTCTGCATTTAAAAGCACAAACATTCCAGAAGATGTTCACCACAGACTAGGCCACTAGGGGGTTCTCCTCCTTCTGAAACTTAACATATCTACCTTATTTAGTGTTTACAGAGTTCTTGACAGAACGACGGAAAGCTTTTAATTGTCAATGTTGATGTTCAAGTTTTAATACTGAGCAAAAATTAACTGCTGTTGGTTAGAACTTGAAAGGGCTTTTAATGATTATTTTTAAAAGTTAATTCGAAAATGGGTAATATATCTGTAGAACTATATAAGAAGGGGACTGCAAGAAGAAATCAGGAAAGGAAATAAAGTATGATGCAACATTCAGATACTGGGGTTAGAGGGGGGAAACGCACTAGGCAAAGAAAATAGGTCCTATATTTTTATAATTTTGTGAATGCAAAGAAAATAAAATGAACGAGTTTGTTTCCAGGTTGATCTGAAAGCAGGCTGGGGAAGAGGGACTCTTAGGCTTTCGGCTTTTCTCTCAAGCGTGKGTAAACAAAGGAGTTGTTAGACACTTGCCCTGCCTCGGTCAAGTTCTCTCTTCTTTGATCTAGCCTCTCCCCTGGCCTCAAAGCCCCCAGCTGACCCACTGCTGCCTAGCCTTGCTGGTTCTCACTTCTCCCCTCAACGTCCTTCCAGGAATTCCTCAGGCCCCTGCCCCGATTCCCTTACCTGACTGGATGGGCAAGTCCCCCAGAGTGGTATCCCCGTTGCTGAGATCCAGGCATTCGGGCGGGTATCCGACAAGGATTCGCTGATCGCTGGGAGCGATCCCGGTGATGGCGGCAATTTGGCCCTGGAGTTCTCGCAACCGGGTTCGGCTGGACAGTCCCTGCAAAACATGGGTGCCATCCTTGGCCTTGCAGCGGAGCCGCCACATTGTGTCGGCGCGGCCGCCCACAGGCCAGACACCCGCAGGGCCAGCTTTGGTCCCCCCAGCCGGTTGGGAGACGCCGCCGGGGCAACCAGTCGCGGAGTGGACTCCAAAATGGCCACCTTTTGCGGGGCCAAACATCGCGAGATGTTGCCGGTGTTACAGTTCTCGCGACACTTTGGTTCGGCCTCTGCCTTAGTACTCCTATTAAGGAGCTAACTCTCTTAAAGCGATAACTAATTTCTCCGCCCACCCTCAAGAGCCGAAGGATAAATTTGTCGGTATTCTTAAAGTACAGCTGTTCTTGCTACCTGTACAGAGAGTGAGTTGCCGCCCGCGTCGGTAGCATATATGCTCAAGCGAAGAGGGCGGGGGAAGGAGTTCCTGAATCCAGTAGAGTGGAATGTAACCTTGCACCCAGGTCGGAAATTATTAAATCGGGACTCTCAAACTACACCAGGAGAATCAGAATGATAAGAACGCAAATGAATGCCAAGATTGGTCAGTGAGTCAAAGGCTCTGCCAAAAACAATGAGACTCGTGACTAGACTCGTGGCTGCACCAAACATTGACTCATTGGGGTTAAGGGGGCTGGACCAGTGGCCTTTCCACCTCCGTGGGACTGAAACTTGAAAACGTCTATTTGCCACCTCAGAAAGCGCAGTATGAGGTCAGCATCTGAGCCTAGGGCGATTGCCTCATTCAGGTAGTGGCAGTATAAGGAGGAATGCAGAAGACTAAGGCTTGTCATCCGAATTCCAGTTCAATTCCTGGGTGTACAAATATGAAGACTTCATTCCTGCCTTCAGTATAAGTACTTACTGTAGTCCAGAGAGAAGAGAAGGCATAAGAACATAACCGCTGAATTTCATAGCAACGTGGTTAATGCTAGTTATATGGCCATTTTCAACCTTGTGTGCCTGGAACCTAAGACTGTGCCTTGAAAATATAAAGTGTTCAATAACTACTCTCTGGATGGATAAAGACAGTTTGTAGGGCAACAATAACACGCTGAGAGTTGTAGAACACCTCAAAGAGTCTGTAACTACATATTTGAACTGTTTTGAATGATGAAAAATTCTCTGCAAAGGAGAAATAAATAAGTTCCTGAATGTATCCATTTTTCAAGAAATCATTGTTCTTTTTCCATCCTGGATCCACAGCAAAAGTCCCACCCTTTTTAGAGGGGATTTATAGATAGAATCAAACATCAAAAGGCCCGCTGGGGAAACTATGAAAAGTGTAGTTCACTTGGAATGTGCAAACTCCATTAAAAGCTTCCATCTGTGAATAAATTTCATGAAATCTTTGCGTCTTTTCATATCTTTCACGACTCAAGTTTCCTTTTTCTGTAGTTCTGGGGATGGCACCCAGGGCTTTGAGCATGCTAGGCAAGCGCTCTACCTCTGAGCTATATCCCCAGCCTCCCTCTCCAGTTTTTTTGCTAGTGCAGTTTTCCCCTTTGTTCTTCAAGATTACTTACCATCGCMGATGATATAGGGTGGGGAGAAAAGAAGGGTGAGTTATTGATWAAGAGCGCAGTTGACTTAGATTTCAGTGTCTGACCTATGGGTGGGAAGGTTATACAAACACTACGARTAATCAGCTCAAGTACCTGTGGCAGCTAGCGAAGCACCTTTTAAAGCTACGTCCCAATTCATGGATCTTAACGAGGTCTAGGACTCAGGAATGAAAGCGTTAATATTCTCAAMGTTTCCACCATAAAGTCACACCCTCTCAAGACGTCTCCTTAGTATTCTGCTCTCGCGATAATATGAAAAAAAAGTCTTTTAATTAGCCCCGCCCCCAGCCTTATTAGTTACCAAGCAACGACGCAACCAACCTCCGCAGCGCTGGGAGACTTGGGAGCTGCGGTCTTTCTCCTTCACAGATCCATCTTCCTTCTGGAGCCAGGGACCGCGATTCCGCCTGGAGCCCCGCCCACTAGGTCCTGCAAGTTCTCGATTGGTTGATGATTCTCTCCAGGTGAGCGTTGACGCGCGAGTGGGCGGAGCCAGGCTGAGCCACGTGATTTGTCGGAGACTGGGGTGCCGGGCCCCTAGCCACAGTCTTGTCAGCTCGTGTCTGCAACGTTACTAGGGAAGCGCCAGTGTCGCAGCCGGGAGGGGATCTTAGAAGAGATCGTAGGGTGAGCGACAGCTACGCAACACCTGCAAGTGTCTAAGCGGGCGGGATGAGGGGTCTGAGTGCGCCGGGATGCGGTGCTGGGTAGAGATGCCTCGCCCTTTCGGGAAGTGCCGGCCGCAGGGCACAGTCTGGAGTGCAGATCTGTAAGGATCCCGAGCGGCCCCAGCTGCTRTTGGGTTGAGGATTTTTACCTTCATTGAAGGAATAGCGCAAGGGCATAGGACCCCATGTATCACGAGCCCCCTTGGTTTCTGGGTTTGGGCTCTCCCACCCTAGTTCATATCAGGATTTAAATTTTATTTTGCAGGTAACCTTGGGGAAGTCATTTACCACCTTTGCACGTCAGGTTTCATCTTTACATTGAGTCCCAGGAGATAAATAGGGAGACAGTGCGGAGCAAGGCTTGAGAAGAACACCAGAGGAGAACTTGGGATATGCTATGGCTGTCTCAGGGACCAGTTACATGTTTTCCTTCAGGAAACRTGTTTGAGATTTTCCCTCATGCTCATCCCTTCCCTTCACCCCCCCCAAGTCAGAGTCTTACCTTTGGAGTGGAATTACTTTCTTGATAATGAGTTTGATCTATTCTCATTCCCACCTACTCCCAATTCCCACTACTTTTCTCCCTAGTGTTAAAACTAGAATCTGAGGCAGGAGGAAACTTGCACAAGCCACTTAATTTGATTTTACCTCAATTTTTCAATCTGTAAAATGGAAAGAAGCAATAGTGGTAATAAAATCTGCCTTATTAGAGGGTTTTKGGGAAGCATTTAGGAAATAAGGTATGTAAATGTAAGCTCCTCACTCAGCAAATAAATACAAAGTTCCAGTTTAACTCTCTTATAGAACAGGAAACAGAGGATGGAAGATATTTGTGACAGGTAACTGTTAACTGGGAGAAACAGGAATAGACTTRGTTCTTGGCCTAGTGTTCTTTTACTTATTCCACACTGATCCTCTGCACTGAGTGTTTTGAGGGACATGTTCTTCCTTCCCTTCCTTTGCATTCTTTTTCTCCCTTCCAGGTGCCTCCTGAAGAGCTACCATGTCTGAGAATTCTACATCTTCCCCAGTACAGAACAAGAACAGATATGAACCCAAGACTGCTAATCTTCGAATGACAGATAAGAAATGTTGTGAGTTCTAAAAAATACAGTTCTTGGGAATATAGTTGTAATATTAGACTCTACTACTTAGTGGGAGTGAGGAATAATTCTTTGATGCTGGAAATTTAAAACAAAATTTTCAGAGGGCAATTTCCTGACTGAAACAAGTAGATTCTGTCCTTCCAGCTAGATTGCTGGTGTGGCCCAGTGGTTTCTTCTTTCTTTTCGAACATCTGTACACTTGCCTTATACTGGAAGTTGGAGCAAGCATTGTCCAAACAGTGAATAAGAGTGGTAAGTTGTAGGAATTACTTGGGGCTGCTACCATCTYTCATCTGTTGGGCTAAGTTCCAAGTGGGTGCTGCTCACTATAGAAACTGCAGGTAGGAGCCAGTGTTACTTTRTGTCACTCCTTTAGGCCTCAGGGAAATGAGCCCTGACAAGTGATTTCTCATGGTGTATTGGGCACTTTACCTTCTTCCAGGTTTAGCTATTGTACTTTGCAAACTATTACTCAGGAACATTTCCATGTCAGTCTTTTAGATAGAGATAGCAGGAGGGGCTGCAAGGGGATGAAGCATCACTTCCTGTCCCTTGTCATCTATATTCCTTAGCATTTTATAGACTGCATAGTTGCTCAGAAGTMTGGAACTTTAAGTCCCAAGATGTTTCTGGAAACCTCAAGGAATGCTAACTCTGTTCTGTGCTTCCTGATTGCACCTTTCCTTTGGAACCCTATCAGTCAGTTTTTCTCACTTCAGTRGTTATATATGTCAGCAGGTGCAAACAGCCGACCAGCAGGAGACCAGGAAATTGTGTCTTGTTCAAAGCTTTCCCTAGAGCCTTGACTTTGATGTCAAGCTCTTGTCAGTTTCATGATTAAAATGATACTACCTCTTCCCCAGTCACCCATGAGGCCTGCTGGACAGAAGCAGCTGGTTTGGATGTGATACTGAGGTTGGCACACCTCTGTGATTAGGGTCTCCTTTCTCTGCCAGGGCAGGAAGCCATGTGCCAAGGGCAAAATGCCCCAGGAGAGATAACTAATATAGCATGGTTCTTAAGTGTAACCTCTAGTGTCAATGTCATACTGCCTGAGTTTGAATCCTGGTTTTATTCTTTCTTAGCTGTGTGTCCTTGAATAAGTTGCTTTCTCTTTCCATGCCTCAGTTTACTCCTTTTCAAAATGGGAATATCAATAATATCCTCCCAAAGAGTGATGTGAGGATTAAATGAGCAAATTTAGGAAAGCACAAATATAGAAGAATTTTGGACATAGCTAATGTATTATTTTTTCACAGGTAACTATCATCCTCTTGGACTTACTCTTTTTAAAAAGATTTGTAGTTATGCATGGACAGAATGCCTTAATTTCATTTGTGTGGTGCTAAGCATGGAACCCAGTGCCTCACAGGTGCTAGGCAAGCATTTTTCCAGTGAGCTACAGCCCACCCCCTGGATTTATTCTTTTGAAACATTGTGTATAAATAAAATTATATTCAAATGGTGAGCTGGGGGCTCACCACTTAAAAACAGCCCTGTGAAGAATTATTTTTTTCAGCAAAGAATGCTTTCTTATCTTGTTTGACAATATTGTAACTCAGATTTGGTGGTCTAGGATGCACTTTTTCTTTTTCTTGTACCAGGGGAACCCAGGGGCACTTAACCACTGAGCCACATCGCCACCCTCTTTTTGTATTTTATTAGAGACAGAGTCTTGCAAGGTTGCTTAGGGCCTTGCTAAGTTGCTGAAGCTAGTTTTGAACTTGCAATCTTCCTGCCTCAGCTTCCCAAGCAGCTGTGATTACAGGCAATGCACCACCATGCCTGGTTTAGGTTGTACTTCTTAAAGGGGAGTACACTCGTGTTACTGCGATGCTTGATTCAAAGGAGAGTGGAAACCAGTTGTGGTTTTRCATGCCTATAATCCCAGCCTTAGCAATTTAGTGAGACCCTGGTCAAAATAAAAAGGGCTAGGGATGTAGCTCAGTGGTAAAGCACCTCTGGGTTCACTCCTCAGTAGAGAGCTTGGATGGGAGTAGAGAGCTGAATTCARAGCTGATAACTGTGGGTATTTCTTTCTTTCTTTTCTTTTTTCTTTCTTTCTTTTTTTTTCCAGTACCAGGGATTGAACTCAGGAGCACTGAGCTATATCCCTACCCCTTATCATCCTCAGCTCTTTTTTTGTATTTTATTTAGAGACGAAGTCTCACTGAGTTGCTTAAGGCCTTCCTAAATTGTTGAGGCTGGCCTGAACTCTCCATCCTCCTGCCTCAGCCTCCTGAGCTGCTGGGATTACAGGCATGCACCACTGTGCCCGGAAACCATGGGTATTTCTGACTACATAGGACACCCAGTGTCATTCCTGGCTCTGCCTGATTCTGCACAAGAGCAGGCTCTCCTACCTGCCTTCCTACCTCTCCTGCAATTTTTCTGCTTTAAGGGCTTTTAATTAAGGAAGCAGTAATCCCAGGTTTCTTTTATGTTTTCTAGGTTCTCATTTCTGCTCTGGGTTCTTAATTTCTCTTTTCAAGCTCTATTTTCCTCTCCAAACTGCTTTTTCTCCCCAAGTAGAGGTCTCTGGGTTGTCCTAAAACCATGGTCATTCATGTTGTATACCATGTTCTTTACCTCCCAGTTGGACTGTGAGACTGTGGCACTCACAATCAAGAGAGTAGAATACACCGTTATGAGACTATGCATTAATTTTTTTTTTCCTTTTCCTTTGCTATTTACAGAGACATATGTAAGTTTGATTCTTTTAGACATCTTATTCTGGTGTATTCTATTAATGAAAGTAAGTTTATATCATAAGTATTCTGTTCTGCCACCACATCATTTTTAACAAACTTACTATATTATGGACATCTTTCCATGTTGGTAAATTCAGAAGCAGAACGTACCTTGCTTCAGGTTCCCTGGCTGCTTAGCATTCGTACCAGCATTTGCTTTATCACTATCTCCACTGTTGTCCCCTTGCTGTTAATTACACTTGTGCTGGCTGAACTTGAGTTTGGGAAGTGACTGGTCTTGAGGACTGAAATTGGGGCTGAAGAATGACTTCAGGGAGCCAGAACCTCCAAAGGAGCATTATTGGGACTTCGGCTGCTCCAGGAATGGCGATTCAAAGGGACTGCTGGTTGAGATCCTTTTAAAATGTTTAATGGCTGCTTTCCTGTACCCCTCCCCACAATTTCTGCTTTCAGGGTTTTCTGAAAACAGGAATAGGGGAATCTACATTTGTTGTTGTTGATTCTTTTAGGTTTTTGATATCTTGAGTAGATCTGGAGCAGACAAATTCATACATGAACCTTTCCCTAAGTAAAAAAGCAATCCATGTTCATGAATAATYCAGACAACACAGAAAGAAAGTGAAAAGTAAAAGTCTTTTAGAATCGCTCTCATCCCTGCTGTTCTTGTAGACATCTTATTCTGGCACATCCTATTAAAATAGGTTCATACTGTATATATTCTGTTCTGCTGCCATTTCCTTTTAATAAATAAAAATTACTATATTGCAGAATCTTTTCCATGTTGTTAAGTCCAGATTCGCCTCGTTCTCCATTGTAGGGATATGTAAATTATCTTCAACTTTTCTACTATCACAAAGAATGCTGCAGTGAGCATCCTTATACCTTTGTGCATTTGTGTCAGAAACTTTTCCTACTGAAATAATAGGAGAAAYGGCAGACACATTGTAGCTATTATTGATAAGTGTTACTAATTTGCTCTCTAAGGAAATTCAGTTTTGTAAGCTGCTTCCACTATTTCAAGATACTTAATAGAAGTTGGACACGATCATCTATAGCTGCACTGGTTGACTAAAACATCAGTTTCCTTATTATTTGGCTGCATATAACTTGGCTTTTTTTGCCCATCAGTAAAATAACAGGAGATAATCAGTTTTGTTTTGTTTTTTACTTCTGATGAATAAAAATTAGATATTACTAATGAAGCAAGCTTTATGGACCCATTTAGAGTGAATGCTGGAAGAAGACCTTGACCATGGAAAGGATAGGACCCCTTGCTCTCCAGATCATTCTTCTAGGTTAGGATGGAGAGAATAGTTATGGTTACTGTGCTGGGTTAAGTCCTGACCGGAGGCCCAGGAGCTGGGACTAAATGGGAAGTTGTGAGACCTTGAGTCTGGTCAAGAGCCTTGACCTTGACTCTGTATTGTGGAACTGTGGGCTGTGCTTCAACTTCTCTGGGCTTGAGTTTTTCTTTGTATATGAGGGAAGTCATCAAGATAACCTTCATCTTTTCTAAGCATGCTTAGGAAGAGAAAATGAGTTTACAATTAAAAAACCAAGTTCAACTGTATAATGGAGACAGATGAGAATTTCAGGAATGAGACAGGTTTCCACTGTCTGTCAAGAGATGGCATTACAGTGTCCCTGCAATGTGAAGTAACTTCCATTCAAATTTAAAGTTGTGGGGGGTGATTTTGTTTTTTTAACATACAGAACAGAATGTTCCTCCTTCTGCCAATGTGGCAGTCTGAGCTAGGAAGTGTGGTTTTATATTTTAGTCTGGAAGGGAGAAATCCAGGCTATAGTAGATGTGTGAGTGTGTTCTGAGCCAAGGCAGAAGGGGAGGTGCTGAGGGCAGGGTGTAGAGTCCCTGGGGGACTGTGTTCTTTTGTTCTTAGTATTTTCTGTCCAGCCTGMTAAACAATGAGCAGCTGGCTCCCTGGTTGCCTTCTGAGTCCCTGGTAAGTATCAGACCATTTTAAGCTTTGGGGAGGCTAACAGGACCTTTGGGGGAAGARCCTAATGGGCTGGAAGGTGTGGACGAAGCAATTCTGGAAATGCAGCTAATGAACCAAGTCAGGGAGGATTGAGAAGAGTGTGCACTCAGCTGGAGAAAGTGAAGACCCAGGGGATTTGACTACTTGAACCTGAGGTAGCTAATGCCAGGCAGAGTACATATGCTTGTTAGGGGTCAGCTGTTTGCTTACCTTTGGGCTCCCTGTTTGGACAGAGATGAAAATCACCTTAGCTGCTCCATTACCTACGTGAAGGGATACTCCTGCCTAGAGTCAGGAATTTCGACTCGCCCAGAAGAGAAAGGGCTAAAAACCCAACCTGTGGGTGCAGAGTCTGGGCGTACCCACCCCCCACCCCCGGGCCTCTTTGGCTGCCTAGTATTTCTTGCTAAACACTCTTGTTTCCATGGTCATTTCTTTTCCTGGGTCCTTCTACCTACTTCTCAGTTGAAATTTTTTACCAGTTCTTTCTCCAAAGGTGAAAGATGCATTTCCTAAGCAAATGCCCCTATTTTACTGAATAGTTTCTTAGCGTGACAGGATCATCTTGTTCTTGTAAAGAAGCAGCCACAACTTGYAGGGACCCTTCTGGAAAGTCATGCTGGGAAGCAGAAATTTCCATTTCCTGCCTCGGTTGGTTCAGAGTCTTTTCCCATCTGAGCTGGAAGAGCTTGAGGCCTCCCCCTCCCCAAGACCTCAGATTGGGTCTTGGCCCCAGGAAAGGGGCTGCAGCAGTACAGGTTCCTCCCAGCTCTCCTCTGTGGCAGGATGGGCTGGGAAGAGTATGACCTGTGAGCAAGCTAAGGAGGGGCCTCTTTTTATGGAGAAAAGCTGAAGAGGGAGCACAGGATCTGGATTCCTGTGCCAGCTCTACCCTTGACTCATTATGTGTGTGTCCTTAGGCAAGTCACCTGACCTCTGAGCATTTAAAATGCCCCACCTATATAGTGAGACTTTTCTCTGTAAATGAACATAAGTTCATTCATGAAATAAGTTAATTTACTAAGAAAGGATTGTTCCTGCTTTTCAATTGTCTTGCATCTGAGTCAGGCTGACCCAGATGCCCAGTGAATTGGCTCTACCATGAAGCTTCCAGAGGTCTCTTCACACTTGTATCAAATAGGCTTTTCCTACCAAATCTCACTTAGAAATTTCAGTTTAAGGAGGACAAAAMAGGCAGGTGAGCAGTTGGCAGGCTAATGTTTTGCCTGTGGCTTTGAGGGAATGGATGGGATCCTCAAGATAGAAACTCTGTTCTAAAAGCCTGCTAGTTGGGCATTGGTAAAATCACAGCCCTATCATTTTTATGTTGCTMGGCAGTCTCATGTTAAGAAGGGTGCTGTGGTTACTCTCCACTTCGGATATTTCCATGAAAACCTTAGGAATATGGGAAAGACATTCCTTGGTTTGGGTACTTTCTGGAAATCTRTGTGACCCTTTAACTTTATTTCAGGAGGATCTGCTCAATATATTCTTACTTTGCCTTCCCACTCCTCCTGGACCTTTGCCCCACAAGTTTAGGATGATTAAATAAGATTATGAGCTGGGCATGGTGGCACATACCTGTAATCCCACCTACTCTGGAGATTGAGGCAGAAGGGTCACAAGTTTGAGGCCAGCCTCAGCAATTTAGTGAGACTCTGATCAACTTAGCAAGACCCTATCTCAAAGTACAAAAGAACTGGGGATATAGCTCTGTGATAAAAAACACTCCTGGGTTCAATCCCTATTACCCAAACAAACAAACAAACAAACAAAGAGTATGACTGAATTTTCTAGACCAGTGCATAAACCTTATGGGCCTATACTCATTTAGTTCTATTTTTCTCATTTCCTTCTAGCATGGGCCTCCTACATGACCAACTCCCCGACTCTTATTGTCATGATTGGTTTGCCAGCCCGGGGTAAAACCTATGTGTCTAAGAAGCTYACACGCTACCTCAACTGGATTGGGGTGCCTACCAAAGGTAGGTGCAAGTCATTCCTTGGGAAGTGAATGATTAGTTCCTGGGCCCCACTCACCTCTGGGAGACTTAGGCTCTCTTAAGGCATTAACGTTTTGGGGTGCTTCTGGTAGAAATAGTGGTTGCTTTCTCATTTATTGGATTCTCTTTTTCCCTGGACTTGTCTCCTCCTGGCCTGGATGAATTGGCCCAGTTTTGAGAGAAAGCCTTTGATAGGTTTATTAAGAATTCAGTGAGAATAGGACTTTCCTTTTGTGAAATCCTTGCACATGCATTATGTTATCTAACCCTAGAAGTGTCTTTGTGAAATAGACAGAGAAACACAGAAAGCTGAAATTCAGACAGCTTAAGACTTGTCCCAAGATCTCCTAAATCAGGACCTGAACCCAACTGTTTTGACTCTTAATATCATATTGTCTCCAACATACCATGGTACTTTTTATTTTCAACTCCTTGGCTACTCTGACATTAGGCCAATGTCCTCTTTGGTGGGGCGATGATACTGATTTGCTGCTGAAGGATTTGGGTGTCTTCTGCAGTGTTCAATCTTGGGGTTTATCGACGTCAAGCCGTCAAGTCCTATAAGTCCTACGACTTCTTTCGGCATGACAACAAAGAGGCCATGAAGATCCGCAAGTGAGTCTTTTTTTTTTTAAGGACTGACTCCCAGGTCAACTCTTTCTGGGCCATCATGAGACTGAATGTAATGGGGCTTGTTTCTTCTCAATAAGTATCTTGTGGGTATTTTAAGTGGAAGTTATCTGATAGGCAGATCACCTTGGGCTTGTTGGGTAGAAAAACAGGTTTCAGGGAGATGGTTGTAGGCTGTGCCTAGCAAGAGAAGATACATGTGTTGGGGCACAAAGGAAGGTATAAGATGATATAAATATTTWAAAGGAGCCAGGCATGGTGTCACATGCCTGTCATACCTGGGACTCRAGACCCAGGCAGGAGGATGGCAAATTGAAAGCCAGCTTCAGCAATTTAGGAAAGCCCAGGGCCCTAAGCAACTTAGCAAGACCCTGGCTCAACATTTTAAAAAGGGCTGGGAACTTAGCCCAGTGGTAAAGCACCCCTTGGTTTAATCCCCAATACCCCCCACCAAAAAGAAAAAAAAAACAACTTAAGTGGGGGAAAAAAGATCAAATTAAGGAAATAATTTGACCAGAGGGAAACTAAGTGAGAGGGGATGAGATTCCTACAGCARTCCCACTGTTTGTGTCCTCCACTGTGTTTGAGCCTAGCTCTTCTTGCTGATTTTCTTTGCTYTCATGGCAGACATTGTGCCATGGTGGCCCTGGAAGACGTTAAGACCTATCTGACTGAGGAGAACGGGCAGATTGCGGTGAGCTCTCTGGTTTCCACCCTGTCGGCAGCTGAGCTCTCAGTCCCACCTTGGGTCTGCCTTGGTGTGGGGCTCCATTTCTCTGTCTCCATTCATTTACCTCATGTGTTTTCTGCCCAGGTATTTGATGCCACCAATACTACCCGGKAGAGGAGAAAAATGATTTTGAACTTTGCCGAGGAGAATTCCTTCAAGGTAGGATCTGACTCCATGGTAGATTAAAGGGATGAGTAGAGGCAGGGCGTTAGGATGGGGTATGGATCTGTTTGACTCTGGTGAGGATGGGATTGGGTATCTGATTCTCTTCTCTTGAGTATACCCCCGATCCTTGAGTGTTTTYTTTCAGGTCCTTTCTCAGACCTTTAGCCTGTATGTTTGAGTCCCAGGGGATGTGGTAAGAGCTATTTTAAAATGAGGAGGCCTTGAAGGATTTTCATGAAGAAAATCCTGGGAGATGTGGTGGCTGGGTGGGGTAGGAGCATGTGCTCTTAATTAACAGCTTGGTATTTTTGGCTTGTTTATAACTGCCTTCTCTCCTTGGCCAGGTATTCTTTGTGGAATCTGTTTGTGATGATCCTGATGTCATCGCTGCCAATATCCTGGTGGGTGACACCCCTATGTTTCACCTCTTTCTCACCTTTGTGGCCTGTGTATATATGTGTGTRTGTATGAGGAAGGGTAGTGATAGAGAGAAATAGAAGTGTTAAATGTCACAGAATGATCTCTTTTCTCTGTCAGAGAGAAGTGCCATTTTGTATTTCCATATTGTTCCTTAGGGAGAAAAAAATAGGCTTTGCGGAATAAAATAAGAATTAGCTGCTGAAAAGAGACCTAGTCTTAGACCGTGCGAGTCCTGGCTTGTGTTCTGTTATTATCTGGGTTCTGAGACCTAGATATTATCCTAGATCAGCCTTTTCATTATCTGTTAGGGCTACCTTACAGGAATGTCATCTGCCCTGAAATTATCTAACATTCTGGTCAGCATTCTATACACCTAGCTCCTCGTGCCCTGTGCCCTGTGGGGTCACAGCACAAGACAGTCCTTATCCAATGGGTTGTGTCGTGCTGTGCCAAGTCATCATCTGACATGCTCTCCCAGCAATGTCAGAACTGGGGTCATCTGAGGGAGAGGCACTGGGTCCCAAGTCAGGCACTGGGCCACACTGGGCCTCTTCTGAGTGGCAGTGGGAGAAAATTGGAGTCCATTCCGTTTTCCCAGGAAAGTACATAAAGGGATTGGGCCCAGGAGCAGTGTCAGCTGCGTGACTGCCTCTGTCCTTCAGCCAAGGGCAGGCACATGACTCCCMGGTTGTCTTTCCCTTCTTGGTTGCCAGGGTCACAGGACTAGGGAGGGAATGCTCAATGAATGGAGAGTGCCACCACTCCAGTGAAAGGCTACTTTTATGGACCTCTTTTTCTTTTCTTAACAGTGGCTATTTGTAGGAGGGCTGTTAAGGGCAGACCTCTGACAAGACCCTTACTATTCCTTTGATTTCAGGAGGTAAAGGTGTCCAGCCCTGACTACCCTGAAAGGAACAGGGAGAATGTGATGGAGGACTTCCTGAAGAGGATTGAGTGCTACAAAGTCACCTACCAACCCCTTGACCCAGACAACTATGACAAGTGAGGTTTTAAGGCCATGGTTAGAAGGCCCTGAAGAAGGGGTCTCATTAGGAAAAGAGCCTTTCTCCCTCTGCCCCCTAACTTCCTCCTAGACTTGTAAACGTTATATTATTCCTAAGAAACAAGGTATGGATTGTGGCTTTTATGTGAGTTGCATTTTAAACACTGACATTTTTTTTATCATCAATTTTTCCTCTCTATTCTCTAGAGCAAAATTTTTTGCATCTCAGCATTACTGACATTGTGAATGGGATAATTTTTTGTTGTGGGGTCTGTCCTATCCATTGTAAGATATTTAGCTACATCCTGGGCCTCTGCTGACTAGATGCCAGTAACATCTTCGAGCTGTGACAACCAAAAATCTATAAAGACATTGTGAAATATCCCCTGAGAAACAAACCCACTCAAGAACAACTCCGTATCAGTAGTTCTGAACTGGGGTGTTACAGGACATCCTGGGACATATGTCATCATTTTTTATCAATTTTAAATGTTTATTATATGAATTATATAATATGAAATAKGTAATATGTATGTTAATACATATGCTTATATCACATGTAATGTAACACATATATAATATTGTACATATTATATTTTGCACATATAAAATGCATGTAAAGCCCTCAGAACATTCCTGACTTAGAAATATCTGATTGATATTAACCATCATTACTATAGCAATGTCTGTTGGTGAGGTGATAAAGAATATAGATGAATTCACCAAATGTAAGGTATGGGAGCCATAGCAAAATGTCAAGTTCATGTTGAAGAAAAATAGTGTACACATGGAAACCTGGGGGAATGTTCCYTGTGAAAGAGTGTGCATTCAGGGCAGTTGACGGCTCTATTCAAATAAGGATACAGCCTTGCAGCCAAGCAAATGGTGAGACCAGTGTGCCTGGGACACCATCAAATTGCTGCAGTGGTCTGTTTAATGTTTTGAACAAGTGTACATATTTATAGATTTTTATCTCTGGTTGTAGGACATTGGGTGATTTCTATCATTTTTGGCACTAGGAATTGAACCCAGGGACACTCTACCACTGAGATACATCCTCAGTCCTTTCTATTTTTTTATTTTGAGACAGAGTCTTATTTAGTTGCTTGGGGYTTCACTAAGTTGCTGAGGCTGACCATGAACTTGGGATCCTCTTGCCTCAGCCTCCTGAGTCCCTGGGATTATAGATAAGCACTGCCATGCCCCACATCACTCTATTTTTTCTTAATTTTTAAAATAAGCCCTATTACTTTTATATTGAGAAAAATCTTGTGATGGCCACCAAGCAGGCCATTTTTAGCAGTGGCTTTGAGAGAGGCTTGATTAGGTAGATGGAAGGCGTGGGTAGGTTTCTCTGCCTATTATTTTGCTCTCCTCCCCTCCTCTCATTTTTGGTGGCACCATATTCTTACCACCCCAGAGGGGGACTGTGCTTCTCACCGACTTTGAGGCTTAACAAACTCTTTAGATCACCTGGTCTAGTGCCTTATGGGGAGCCTGAGTTCTGTTTGCCTTACCCATTGTATGGCACAGTTCAGGTGTACCACCCTACCCAGTTCCCCTCCCCCACCTTACTTATTCTCAGATTGTTTTACCCTAGAAGTTTTGTTTTCCTTCCCTGTCCTAGGGATCTTTCTTTCATCAAAGTGATAAATGTGGGCCAGCGTTTTTTAGTCAACAAAGTCCAGGACTACATCCAGAGCAAGATTGTCTACTACCTCATGAATATTCATGTCCAGCCTCGCACCATTTACCTTTGCCGGCACGGAGAGAGCGAGTACAATCTCTTAGGAAGGATTGGGGGTGACTCTGGCCTCTCTGTGCGGGGAAAGCAGGTGAGTCATTAGCTAGCTAGCTAGATTTCCTAGGCTTAGAATTAGAAGGGCATGGTGGAGGTCATCTATTTTATCCCTGTATTAAATCTCATTTGGGCAGATGGTCAGGCAAATGCTCAAGATGTTTTCTTGCTCATGGCTCCAGCTTCATGTTAAAGTATGGTTAATTTGGAACTATCTCCACTGTGATCATTCAGTCATTGAATATTTATTGGGCATGACTTGTATACTTAGCACAGTACAGGGTGCTCCAGTTCAGGTTCATTTCCTCTTGGGTTTATATTTTGATCATGGTTCAACAAATTGCCCCTTTACAGGCTGAGTTAGCAGTGCGTGTGTGCTTTGTATGAATGTGTGTGTGTATGCGGGTGAGTATATTGAGTATGTGTATGTTTTCTTATTTTTATTTTTAACCCCCAGTTTTCCCAGGCTCTAAAGAAGTTTCTAGAGGAGCAGGAAATAAAAGACCTTAAAGTGTGGACAAGCCAGTTGAAGAGGACTATCCAGACTGCTGAGTCTCTTGGAGTGACCTATGAGCAGTGGAAGATTCTGAATGAGATTGATGCTGTGAGTGGAGTCTCTCATTCAGGTGGAAATTCTCAGGAGTCATGATTTGGGCAGTTTTGTCTAGAAACTAGAASCACCAAGTAAAAACTTTGAGGAAGCTGAATCTGTAGCCATTTGGGGGGGGGATTGGGGGAGGAAATGTGGAACACCCATCAGGGCTTCCTGCCTACTTAAAGATCAGTGCCAGCAATGGGACCCAAACCAATGTTTGACCCAGCCATTCTGGTACCTGGGGAGACTGGGGCTAATGAGGACTTGTTTTGTTCTTTTGTATGATTTCCTCCTGGGAAGAAGAAGTAGCTAATAAACCAGTTGGTTTTTTTTTTTTTTTTTTTTTAATTTCTGCTTTGAACATTTGATCAGCTATTCTGGTAAAGTCCTTCCCCAAATTTTTCTTGGCTTTTCCTAACCCTGAACACAGAAGTAAACATTAATTTTTCCTTCCCTCCTCTCTACTAATTTATTCCTCCTTCAAGTTCTTCAGTCTTATCAGTGTCCCTCCTTCCCTGCCTCCTATTCCTTTTAACCTGTTGACTCTTCTTGACCTTTACATTCCCCACAGAAGTAGGAGAAAGTGACAGCTTTCTCTCTGCTGTGGCTCCCACCCATGGTGCCCGTGACACCCTGGTTACAGTCAGCTGCAGTCCATGAAAGGACCCAGCATAGGGCCTGACACATAGTAAGCAATCGGTGTTCTTCAGTGGCGTCTTCTTTCTGTGGGATAGGACAGTGTGGGCCAGTCCACCTCCTCAGCCAGTGTGGCTTCTTGCAGGGCGTGTGTGAGGAGATGACATACGAAGAGATCGAGAAGCAGTACCCAGAGGAGTTTGCTCTTCGAGATCAAGACAAGTATCTGTATCGCTATCCTGGTGGGGAGGTGAGACTTCTCCTGTGGAGTAACGACCCAGCCCTTTGCCGGTGGGGGAATAGCTTTAATTTGGAGGATGGATTGATGTGATCGTAGGGGATGTACAAAGGTAGCCTAGCCATCATTTACCTTCTAACCTTTGAGCCATCCTGTGTTTAATTCAGCTCAGGCAGTCCAATGTCTCATTAATTTGTTAAGATCCCTAGAGAAAAGAGTCACAAGATGTCCCCTGAGTCAAGAATACTATGGAATCAGTCTGATCTTTTTTACTCCTTTTTTTTTCCCCTATTCAGCTCCCTCAATCTCACCACTACCCAAGTGGGTCTAGTCACCAAGTAAATATATGGGGCATGCATTACTTCTCTGTCATCTTTAGTGTTTTAGACTGTTTCTTTTTCTAAGTGGCTTCATACTCTAGAACATTCAAGGCGAAAATAAATAAACCAGAATGGCAGAGGTCCAGGAAACTTCTAGAAGACTCTCATTGCCTTACACTCTGCCTATTAGTCATGGGAACTACAACAACAAAACACACACATGCAAGTTGAATTCAAACTTTTTGTAACCTGTGATTTTCTTGGTCTTAATATTGCTATTTAAAGATCCAAGAAGTAAGCTTAAGATTCAGGCAGGGGTGGGGGTGGGCAGTGGCTTTTCACTGAGCCTCCAGGAAGAGAGCCAGCCTGGGCAAGAAGTGGCCTCTTGACTCYGGGATTCAGCCGCTGGCCTGGCTGCCAGCTTGCACCTGGCCTCTTACCAGCCTGCTCCACTTGCCCCCACAGTCATACCAGGACCTGGTACAGCGGCTGGAGCCTGTCATCATGGAGCTGGAACGTCAGGGCAATGTCCTTGTCATCTCCCACCAGGCTGTCATGCGATGCCTCCTGGCCTACTTCTTGGATAAGGGCGCAGGTGCTATTTGAGGGAAAGTCTGGGGACACATCTATGGGGAGAGAGCCTGGCTCATAGTGGCACCAGGATTCCTGGCAACTGGGCCTCCCCCTCTTCCACTCAAACTAGAGTACATTTTTCAGGCAGTGGTTTGGGGCTCCTAGCAGCCACTGGGTCAACTGCTAGTTGAATTCACTCCACTATTACAAAAGCCCCGGTGGAGGGTGGCTGCTGCTGGTGCTGCTTGATTCTAACTGCTAAGGGGCCAGTGTCCTGCTAACACTCCTGGCAGCATCAGGAAAGTGACTGAATAGTCCCAGCTTGTCACTCTGGCTACTAGGAAGGTGGTATCTTAGAAGTATCTTCATCCTTTGGGTTGGGGGTGGGCAGCTCTTTCCAGGTAAGAATAGTAAGGAAGTGCTGTTTCCTTTTCTGATCCTTCCCTTCTCAATCTCTTTGAGCCACCAGAAGTCTGCAGATTGGCCTTTGGGTATCCAAATGGACCATAGTCTTCCTTCCCATAGAGCTTTTGGCATGGCACATACTCCTGTTTTGCCTGCATGGAAGAAGCTGAAATGGTCTTATTTCCTTCCTTACCACTCAGAAGAACTAGGTGGCTTCTTAGTCCTGATCATTGTGTGGGGCTTAGGGAASGAGCTGAACAACTCTAGGTGGTGGTCAGGGTTGAAGACTGAAGAGTTCAGAAAAAAGTCACAATTACTTCATGATCTAAGACACTTCCCTCATCCAATCTTTCTGCTTTCAGATGAGCTACCATACTTGAGGTGTCCTCTCCATATCATCCTCAAACTCACTCCTGTGGCCTATGGTAACTATGAGCTCAGGGACTGGCAAGAGGTGGGGATTGAAGAAGGTCAGATRTTTGGGTTTTCTCTGAAGATTGTCCAGAAATTTGAATGCATCACGTCCACATGTCAGGGACATTGCATTAGCATTTTGCATTTTTAAGGGGATGTATGTATAAGTGTGTGTGTTGGAGAGTTTGTTTTCCTGTGTGGAAACTGAGGAATTCTCCTTTGAGCTTTCTCCTGAGGGCCTTTCTTTCCCTTGTTTCTCAGGGTGCAAAGTGGAAACGATTACACTCGGAGTGGAGGCTGTGAACACTCACCGTGAAAAACCGGCTGTAAGTATTTTCCCGTGGACAAACCTGCCAGTTCCCACCTCCCTGAGTCCTTGAACCTTTGACATAAAGAGATTGGGGTTTCTTTTATGTTCAAAAGAAAAGCTGATCCAGAATTCATGGCCTCCATAGTCTGCTTCTAAAAGGCAACCATATGGGAACTGTTAATTTTTAAATCGGTACCTCTTTCATGAATCTTAACCTTGAAAGTTGGCTCCTAGAAATTCAGTTAAATATGGGAAGTGCTTGGCTGAAGTGAAATCCAGACTCCCTGCCCCAGGAAGGCTCCCTTTAAAGAGCAGGGTTCAGAGGAGCTGGAAGGTGGGGTCAGCAGGTTGAGGTGGGTTCCTGCTCTGCCTCTGTGATTTGTGTGGCCTTAAGTAAACCCCTTTTTTTGGTGGACCCCTTTCTGACCTGGGATCTGATGATCAGGGAGCTTTCCCCCGCTGTGACCCTTTGATTCCCCTGGGGCCAGGAGACCAGGCCATGTCCTGTGTGAGGCCAGAGGAACAGGAGGAAGGAAGCTGCTGTGGTTTCRAGCGTTATTTAACCTTTGTGAGTGAGCTTCTGGCGTGGCTTTCATTTGTGTGGTGTCCCTCCATTTCCAATCAGAACAACCTCCCCAAGAACCAAACCCCTGTAAGGATGAGAAGGAACAGCTTTACGCCTCTGTCCAGTTCGAATACAATAAGGCGTCCAAGAAATTACAGTGTTGGGAGCCGGCCCCTCAAGCCCCTCAGCCCTCTCCGTGCCTTGGACATGCAAGAAGGGGCCGACCAGCCGAAGACCCAAGTCAGCATTCCGGTGGTGTAACCGTGTGTTTCCCTTTAGCCCCGGCCTCCTGCCCTTGTCACTAATCTCCAAGGAGTCATTTAACTTCCACCGCCACCCCTTCCCTCAACACCTCACCATTATTCTTAACCCAGAATATGAGGTCACACATGTACAGGCCAACTCTAGTCGTTCTCCAGTTGGAAACAGCTCCTCAYCCAGGGGCAGGATGGCAAGTTGGGTCTTTTAGGATGGGGAGGTCTGGAGAAGGAGAAAAAGGACACATTCTCCCTGGGGGCTAAGCATGCCTCATAACTTGGTTCTTTGTTCTCCGGTGTCTAACCTCACTCATGTCCTAGTGTTGGTGAAGTGGGGATGGTGGTGAGTGAAGGGAACCAGGAAAGCCCAGTTTCCCTTCACCTTGTCTCTTTAATGTGAATTTAACTCACAGTCCTCACTTAACTCGTTTTCATCTCCCCTCTGGATTGTCTAGTATAATGCATGACATTGTAGTGTCTGTCAAAGAGGGAAGGGGCAGTTGGTGTGGGAGAAGTCCAGGCCCCAGTGGTGTTTTCTGGTGGGTCTAAGTGGATCTGGACTGGAGGAGTCTCTCCTTTTCCTTCTCCTTCCTCTCCAGCCAGGTCCTGAAAGGGCCAGCCCAGGTTACAGAACACCCACAGAATGCTCTGGAGCTTGCAAGTGGACATAGGGTGAGAGTTCTTATCTCTTTTCACGAGAAACAATCCTATGTTTTTGATGCCCTGGGGGAACCTGGCCCTGGGGATGTGGGACACATCTTGGTTTGTATTTTTAACCTAGAAGAGCCAGGGGTAGTCCTTTGCTGGCTGTGGAGTGGGGTTCAGGAGGATAGGGTGGTCTGTAACCCTTGTGGGCCTCTCAGTTCAGCCAGATCTTTTTTCCTGTGGCTTTCAGGTTCTTTGCCAATCACAGCAACTTTCCTGCCACAGCCAGTGACCTCTGGGGCTTTTTAGAAGGATGGAGTTAGATTCTGGAGTCACCACTGATGTCTGAATCACTCAAAACAAAAGGCAGAGAAGAGCTCACTCCAGTTCACCAAAGCTGCTTATTATTTTCCAGTAATTTCCAGCATACCCCTAAAGTTATTATTATTATTATTTTAGCAGGAGAAATTTTTTTTTCCAAGTGTGGAAAAACTTGATGATGAACTTAATCTCTCTTCTTGGGGCACTCTTTTGTTCATAAGGAGAAATTAATTTGACATTTTGAGAATTTCATGCAGTCTAGCTCTTTCCTGACTATTCTAATTTATCTATTCATTTCTGTCATCTCATTTTCTTTGTAGGGTTTAAAAGTAATTGTTTAAAGAAGGGACTCTTAGCCCCTTGATAGCATATAATGGTTTTCCTTCTATCTCAATTTTGTATACAAAATAGATGAATGTATATACGCACATTTTTCTGAGAGACAAATCTAGAGTTCTCTTGGGATTTTTTAAGATAGGTGATCTCCTGCCTATCCGTTTACATTTTAGACTTAGCTTGTGGGAACAAGTTAACTATTTCCCAAGGGTTTTTGTTTTGTAATAGAAAACCTTTCATCATGGCTCTCACCCAAGAACCTTCCTTGGGATCTCCTTTACAGCTTTGGAAACTTACACAGCCCTGGGTCCATCTGAGTCAGGCTGAATGCTGACTCAGAAACCGGAGTTGAAGTCTGGACACATGTGTGTTTAAATAGCTTCCCTGATGATTCTGATTCATACCCAGGGTGTTCCACCTTATGGAGCTAAGTGGAAACATACCAGATAGTAGTTTCTTGGACAAAGGATCAACCTTGGCATTCTGAATTCCTCTTAATTCTAAAAGGACAGTTCTTTGGAGTTCAATATTGGAGCCGATCACCGTAGTAAGCRAAGCAGGCCTCTCAGTCAGGCTGCTGTGCTTTAGAGACTTACTGTAGGTTCTAGTTTCACCTTTCACCCTTCACATTGTGCAGTGACGTGGAACAAACCTCTAAATGACCTTGAATAAAAGCTGGGTTTCCAAGCACCCTGGAGAGAGTTCCTGAGGTACAGTCTGTAAGATGAGGAAGGTTGYCTCCACCTTGAGCCCTTCACTTTTACATTCCAAGTAGAATACCACAGCTGCTTTCCAAAGGCTGCTGGCCTAGCGTCTTCTCAAAATTGTGTCTAAGACATAAAATTACCTGCTCTTCCTGTCAAGCTGTTGCACAAGGTCTGTAGTAATGTCTTTGTGGGGCTTGGAGCTGGATGGGGGAAGAAAGAACAGAAATAGAAAAAGAAAGGTCCTTGTCCTCAAGAAGGTTACTTTAAGAGACAGGGCATGTAATTTACAGCAAATGAACATTCACAAAAGAGCCACACACTGAGTCTGGAAGTGCTGATGTTGCCGTGGACTACAGATTGCTTGTGACTGTTCCCTTTTCCAATGGCTGTGAGACCAAAAGTGTTAGGGGATAGAAAGACCCCATCTCCCCAGTGTGAGTARGAGAGCCTGGGAGGTATGTGTGGCTCTTTCACAGGGTTGCCTTTTCTAATTTGGTTGAGAYGATGGCAACTCTAGCCCAAATGGTTATTCGATGTATTCTCCTGCTGCAAGGTAATAGTAATTTAGAGATAATAAATGAGAAGAGGGAGAACTTTGATCCAAAGATGTGGGATTTAGATGGCACCTCCTCTTAGGTACAGGGACCTTCTCTGACTGACTAGCATTGTGTTAGTCTGTTATAAACACTGTCATTAGAGACAGGTCACTGGATGTTCGTTTTGGCACTCATTCTGCTGATAATACTTCTAATCTTCCCCTGTGTTAGTTTGCTATTCCCAGAGGAGTAATGGAGGTGACCTTATCCTCACATAGGACAGGGGAAGTTAGAATTTGAAAACAGCACCAGTTTCAACATCCTTTGACTTTTGATCCCTTCAGAGATGTTCACAAAAGAAGTCAAGAGAATATAGAATTGAATAGAGCTCTTCAGGATTTTAGGGAAGTCCTACTTCCCATCTTTTTTTTCCCTATTCTTCTTCCCCTTGTTACTTGAAATGTATATTGGTAGTAGATACCTGTTACTCTGCTTATGTCTATATCACAAGTTCTACAAAGAAAGGATGGACTCCAGGGAACCCTTTGCTGAGGTTTTAATTGTTGCCATGGGGGAAATAGGTGAGACTTTGATCTACTGGTATAAAATGGGAAATGAAAACCATATTTTGTTTTTGTTAGTTCCAAGCTGAATGAGGATGTCTGTTAACAGATTTTTGAAAGGATTTTGTTGCAGATTCAGAGAACCCACTTCTCTTCTGTTCCTACTTCCTAATTTCCAAATTGGAATTTAGTTCTTATTTATTATCAATAGTGTCCTTTTTGTTTTGGTAATGGGCTGGTTTTACATCGAATTGGAAAGTAGAATAGAAAAATCTTTTTCAAGTAAGAAAACCTTTTAAAAGTCTTTTTAATCTTAAGATTTTAAATCTTTTAAAAATCTTTTATATGCATTGTGCTGGGGAATTGCCCTATGTCATTGTATCTGGGTTTTGATTTTGTTTCCCAAGAAATTGGAGTAGAGGATAAGATGTATTTGTACTCCTGGATGGAATGGTTGAGTGTTTCTTGTGAAGATCTGATAGACCTCTTGCAATCCACATTTGATCTTCAGATGCACTGATATTTGAAGAAACATGATATATACTTGTTTGCAAATAAATCCATCTTTTGGGTTTTCTGGGGGCTGGAGATCTGAGTTCTAGAGTTCTCATTGATGCTTGGGGTGGCCAGTGGACAAAGGGAAACACGTCCTGGGTGATGAAATCTCATGCACATTCCAGTATCCTAGCCAAGCCCAGAAGCCATTGTATCTGTTGTCAAGAGGTTTGATAGACGTACCCAGCTTTTCTTATATGTACTTTGACTTTTTGTGTGTGTTTTAAAATGTTTTATTTTAAAAATATATTGTCACATTGTCATGGTAGATCCTTGCCTTTCCCTAAAGATGACATAGACATCAGAAGTGTGTCCAGGAATTTTGTTTAGACTCTTGGTGTCCCTAAGACTATTTCTAAAGGGATCTGTGCTGACTGACTGTGGGCTCTGATAGGGTCTGCAGGCCAACAGTCTTCTCGGTTTTCTCATTGTACTGTTTTTTAGTATGGTAAGTTATTGTAATTGTCTATCTATGGCACATGTCCTGCAAAGAAAGGAACTAAACACTGTACATTTTCTTTATGGGGAAATCTGTGTGCTATAATTTTTCATAGACATTCCTTATGTAATAGTGGTCAAATTCTCAGTGTTTATAAAGATGATAGTTGTATGGTGTTTTGTGAACTCAGATAAGGGAATGCCTAGTCAGAATCTGAAGTTGTGATTTCTACTTGAAGTCATCTTGTCCAGTCCCCTGCTTTAGAGTAAGACTTTTCTTTCACTATCCATTCCTGAATCTTCTGTCCTCAGCTTATCCTATTAAGGAATGTAGCATTCTAATGAAGAGTGTTATTGTTTTTAATCTGCCATGCATTTGGCTTTTATTCCTAATATAATAAATGCAAAGGAAATTTGCATTCAGAAACTGATTTTAAATGGGCAAAGGTATTCTTTCCCATAAGTCTTTCACTGGATATCTGTGGCCAACATTTACTTACTATTTTTGTATCTGAATTGCTTGTATACATTTTTATTGTTGTTGAAGTAACAAAATCAACTTATTGTAATACAGTGATGGTTTTCTATGGCAAAAGCAAAGAACTGAATGCCACCCTCTTTGGAGGGGACTAGGAGTGGGGCTGAGCCCCATAGGTTTGAATGGAAATGGGCTGGGCCTGGAAACCCAGGAACAGAGTTCTACTGTGGACTTCCCAGGCACAGCTTCTGTTGAACATAGGAGCATTAATCTCTAGCACCATTCTGATTTAATCTGGTGACATGATGACATACGTTTTTACTTAGATCCACTAAAGGTGTATATAACTGTATTGGAAATGTGCTTTTGTGTGTGTGTGTGTGTGTGTGTGTGTGTGTGTGTGTGTGTGGAATGGGTAAATAAAATTGTTGAGTAACTTAAACCTATCAAAAGGCTTCTGGGTTTTTTGTTTTGTGTTTTGGGCTATGTCCCCACCCACACCCTCTAAAACTTCATTGCATGCTGAGAAGACTTGGGCAAACCAACGTGGGTTCTCAGTGCGACTATAGACAAGACTCTCTTTCACTACCTTTTAGGGAGGATGGGAAAGATATGGGAAGCTCATGAACTTGGGTAGTCATGTATACCTGTTGGTACCTATGCAAGAATTAAGGGAAAATTACTCTCAACCCTATGGTGCTGTGACTCCTACTAACAACATGTAGCTCATATTACCTATTAAAAAAAAAAAACTTGTGAGATCTTTTACAATTTAGTGTCTGTTGCTTTTAAAATATACCCCACCTATTTTTAAAGAGATTAACAGCCAATGGTAAAAAATGGTTATTTAACAACTTCTGAAACAGGAACTAGAGCTGAAATTGCTTTTGCTATTCTCATGCCTCATTCCTTATTACTAAGAAGGGCCACAAGCTCATTAGAAATGCAGAGTCTCAGGCCCCCGAATCAGACCTTCATTTTTACAGGATCACCAGACACATTTAACATTTGAGAAACATTGTTCTAAGGGGAAGAACTCACAAGGTAAAACATTGAATCCAAACTTAGGGGAAAAAGTTGATTTGCTCTGATCACTGACTTCAGAATGGCCTGGAGTAACTACAATGGTAGGGACCCTCCTCAGAAGCCAAGTAGCCTCTGACTGCAAGGTCACTTTTTTGGCATGGTCTTTGGATGAAGTAGGCTGCATACTCTCTTTTTGCCACAGGAATCCTGATCACTTCTGCTTCATATCTTAGGTATGTAGCTTATGGTCCAGGTCTGCAAGGAGCACCTGGCCCAACATGGTTACAAGGTCAGCTTCTCAGGGAAAGAAGCCCTTGCCTATGCCATTAGAGTTTGTCTGACCCCTCAGAGTGCAGGTGTGTGTGTGCAAGCACACCAGTGTGTCCTTGCATGTATGTGTGTGGAGGGGAGGGATGGGGGCTGAAGGGTAGGGGACACAACGGAAGGGCTGAGGCTGAATTCTGCTCTGTTTTTCTTCATTCATCTATTGGTTATGGTATAATGGCTTCGCTTCTCTTCCTCTTTGACTCCTAGGAAGTGAATACTGTGCCGACTGAGCATAAACCTGCCTCTGTGACGTCCTTCACATTGCACTCCTGATGGTGTGGAGGCTGAGGCCAGACCTCTCCAAGGGACTGGATCTTCTGAAAAACTTGGGACGTCAGCTCCCCTGAGGCTAGAAATGGAGGTTAAGTGGGGACTGCAAATTCATGGCTACCAAAATGAGTCCTGGCAAAAGTCGCCACATTTCTTTCCCCATGCCTAATGGGAATATCAGTTATACTGTGCCTCAAAACATTTAACAGCCGGAACCAATTAGTTTTCATCATCTCTTTGTTGGGTTTGGTCCAGGTTTGTGGATATCATTCTGTTTAGGCATTTAGCATCCTACCTGTGACTGCAACCCTAGCTGTCTGTTGCCCAAGGTGCACATGTACTTCTTCAAATGTGGTTTCTGAGTGAGAGGGATGAGCTCCAGGAAGCCTTTTCTGTGTAATAAGAACTGATCTTTGCATCCACCGCAGGCCAGCTGGCTAGAGTCCAATATACATATGCTAACAGCCACCTCTTGATATATTATTGGAAGTGAGCAAAATCACCAGGTAAATGGAAGGTATCTGAGAAATTCAGTACCTAGAATGTCTCTTCTGAAGTAATAGAAGTCGGTGTCAATAGCACCCTTTTCATTTAGAAAAGTTTTTCTCATTTTAGGCCCTTCAGGGGAGAGTCTGACTAGAAGACTTCCCCGAAGGTTACTCGTCTTTAAGTTCTCTTTTGTACAGCTGTATTTTCTACCTGATGCATGTGCCTCTCATAGCTGAAGAGAACTGAGGTACTTCTCCTCGGTGACTGGAATGAGGGCTGGAAAAAGAGAGTGCCATTTCATGTATAACCCCATGAAGGAATGAAAACAGCTCTTGGGAATTTTTTTTTTTTCTTTTTTTTTTTTGGCTTTGAAACAGGTAAAGACAGACCTATCCTCTGATGGGATCTGTCATGGTGACCTGGTCTCTAAGAAAGCTGTGACTGTCATTTCAAGAAAGCAGTCTATTGATGTCTGTCTCTGATCCAGTTCACTATCTTGATCAACTGGTCTCCCATGTCACACCACGGGAGAAGAACCAAGACTTCAGTGCATTTGAGTAAAACCATTATTAGATAATAGTTAAGTAAATTGCTTACCTTCTAGAGAAACCAGATCACCATTCCAAGATCAGTGATTGTCAAATGTGCAAATATGTCTCTGTGAATGCAACTTTAATATGTTGCTGCTCTCATGGAGGAAGAATGTGGAATCCTCACAGGACATTATATCTTACAAATAAAATCTATTTTTTTTTAAATTTTAAGAATAGTACAGTTTGGGCTTTAATTATTACTTTTTTTTCTCACTCAAATGCACACTTACTGGGCAAAAGTCTGAGTAGCAAGAAAAATAATGAGATTCAGCTTTCTCTAAATGGTTCTTTTATACTGTGGATGGTGCAGAAGACTGTTACTGACTATGTGAAGAGCTGGGCTGGAGGCAGCTCAGCATCTGGCAACTGGGAGCTTATTTTACATGCACAAAGCTGCCTTCAGAAGGCTCCTTACTCTGCTCTGTAGCAGATGGTTTTCATCTGGCTGCTTGTAGCATGCTGTACTGTATTGATTTGTTCTTCTGATGCAGATTTCTTTCTGCATCTAAATATACTGTTTTCTGATGATTAATGTTTTATTTAGTTATTTATTTATCCATACAAAGCATTTTTATATCAGCATTTGCATGTATTTAATCAGAATGTAATATAATTTGTGTTGTTAGCTTTTTGGTAGAGGCCTAGGTGGTTTGAACTTTTAAGTTTAATGTCCATAGTGTTCCTGAAATTTTCAGAATGTGGATATCTGTAAAAGGATAGTAACTATGTAAAAGCACAGTGAACTTTTTTTGAGCACTTTTTTTCCTCATTGATTTTTATTATAAACCAAGAAATGCAATTCTCTGGAGAAATGTTCATCTCCTGGATAAATAAAATCATGCTAAAATATGTGAGTAATATGTATTGTTTTTGCAATAAGAAAACAAAATAAAAGTTATTTTAATTAAAATACATTAATTTTTAAAATCACCACAAAAGAAGATAACATTTGGAATATTATACATACATAAAATATTAATACCATTGTTCAAATGTATTTGAAACTAAATTCTTTAAAAATTTTCTCAAATTATTATAGTGTATATATTTCCAAGTAGAGTAGTGTTTTTAATCAGTATCTACTATCTTTATCAAGTTCCACTAGCATTTCAGAGGGATATCAATGGGATTGTTACAGCCAGGCATTGTTGGTATTCTAGGCATTTATTTATTCAACAAATATTTCATGACTGCCTGTTGGTTGATAGGCCATGGATCAAAGTGCCTGCCCTTTTTCTAGAATTTATTATTGAAAAGTAAAAAGTTAACAGCAAGTCTGTAGCTCATCCCTCCCTCTGGGAATTATTTCTCCTTCATGAATAACCTTGAGTAAAACCATTATTAGATAATAGTTAAGTAAATTGGTATGGTAAAAGAACTTGGTGCATTCTTCTTGGGATAAGTAGTATCAGACAAAAAATGTTCATAAGAAGAATAAAATTATAGCATTTGATGATAAATGGATGGACCCAGAGAATATCACACTAAGTGAAATAAGCCAGACTCAGAAAGCATTTCCAAATTCTCTTAATTCAAAGATTCTTCGGACAGAATGAAAATTATTTATGAATTTTCCAAGTTTGGAACTAAGTGAGAAATAGTGGTTGTAAGTTTTGATAAATGTGTTGGACTTTGATATGGGTGTGCTCTCAAGGGTATAATTTCCTTGGAAAGATCTTTAGTCACTTGTAATTTAATCAGCCGTCAAGCCATCCTTGGTCAAAGGCTGGGAGAGTCTGCAATCATTCTCCTCCATTTACAGATAGGTCATTGAACACCCTATTAAAAGACATCCCTTGGTACTGTTGAAATGTTTGTCAAAGCCAAAATCTCAGAGCAAGGTAAATGGTAAGATTTGAACAGTGAAGTCACAAGAAATATACCATACTATTTTTACTATTTTTATATGTCACCAGTAACAAAGATATCAGGATTAGAAAATGATTCAGAGAGTGCTCTGCGTTGTATGATGGCCATTGGTTGCTTTATTATACCATGTTAAACCTTTCCAGGGATTTTACTAGGGACCCAACTGTAAGGAGGCTCAACCTTGAGGCTACTAGCTTGCCTTTTTTGGTGACAAAACTCCACTGGCTCTTCTTGTGGCAGTCTGGCAATAGCCCATTCCCAAACTTTATGTTCTCTAAGCATAGTCTGCACCATTGACCTACATTCATTCTCTTCAGTTCATTTGAGAATTTAACAAGCAAAGTAAAAAGGTAGACACTTACAGGTTTTACATACAGTTCCCAGAAAAAGGTAGACACGGGTATTGCTTACAGTTTAGAGGTGTCATGACCTGAAACCCATCCTTGGGTCTCAGGGTAGGAAACCAAGAGTTTTCTCTCCTTTGACATGGTAAAAATACGTGTACTCAGATGGCATCCATTTATCTCTAATTCTAAGTTCCAGAAAGCTTTGAAAACCAGGTTTTCTTCTAACCCATGTGACAGTAAAATTAGACTTGAACTTTGTGAGGATATCTACAGTCTCTATTCCATTTAGTGTGAATATTATATTTCATGGAGTAATATTAGAGTAAGACAATAGTATAAGCAATATGAACTCCATAAGGTCCTCAGAGTCATGCATCTAAAGTAAACCATTAAGATGAAAAGGTATTTACAATTATTTTCTATAATATGTGCTCTATTTTATGTTTGTATTTATGCAGGACTAAGCCAGATTTTCTTTCCCTTTTTAATCTTTTATTGTACAAACTCACACATATGTATATATAAAACTCTATGTAAGACACTGAAGAACATGTATTCCTCAAGAAGGAGAATATGTGGCATGTTAAAAACTATTCAAAACTTGGACTTAGGCAAAAAAGAGATCACTAGAATAAAATTTCAGTGAGTTACTGGGCACTTTTTTTTTTAGCAGACCCCCCAGGGATTATCAATTCCTTAGGATATGCAAGTTTGATTTTTTTATTATTCTTTTACAACCCTCTAAGAAGTTAGTTTGTAACATGGATGAAAATGTGAATTACTCTTATCTGAGAACAATGCAAATGATTCATGATCAGAACAAAGCAAGTGAGTTTTGTCCATTTTGTTTCAATTAATTTCCATCAATGTACAAAAGTCAACTCAAAATTGTATTGTTCTATAGGACATTAACTAGTTTCACATCTATTGAAATAGAATGCTTTTGACTATATAAATCTCTATTTCTCAAATTCTTCTCTGAACCAGTTGTAGCATCTTTAATGACATTAATACATCATCTGCAATGACATGTTAATGAATTAATGAATTCATTTTATATTATACAAGTGTCATATTTTTAACTTTGAAAATCATTCTTTAGAAGGTGCTTTTTACATAATAATTGAGAAAAGATGAATTAAATAAGCAAAATACAGTACATGATAATCAGTATGCATTTGATTTGATGGCTCAGTAGAGTTTCTAGATAACTATATTCTTTACATTTATTCCAACATTGCTTATTTCATTTTATTTTGAGACAGGATCTTGCTTAATTGCCGAGGCCTCAAACTTGAGATCCTTTTGCCTCAGCTCCTGAGCAGCTAAGATTATAGGCATGCACCACCACACCCAGCCCTGCATTGATTTTATTCATTTAGCAGACAATTCTGCTTTGCAATATGGGGTACAAAGGTATACAATACAAATGAGGCACAAACCCTTTTCTAGAATGGTTAACAGTTTAGTGTTGAAGTGTAGATGAAGGAAAAAACCTCTACCCTCTTAAACTCAGTAGCTGTGAACTGAGAATTAAACTGAAAAAAGACTGATTAGCAGAAAGAAAAGAATAAGAATTTACGCAACTCAAATATGTGTGGGAGAGCTAAGTAGCTCAAAGGAGTGGTTAGAATTGGGGGTTTATATGTCATTTTAATAGGTAAAGTGGTGGAAGAGAAAAGTACTTACAGGAAAAGTAATTACAGATAACCTTTTGTAATGATAAATGGGTTTTCAGGAGAACAAACAAGAGATAAGAAATTTTGTAATAATGTTTGTCCATGTAGGTATGAGTGGTCTGTATACTTCAAGGCCATAAAACTCCCTTGGAGAAGAATTTGGGATAGACTTTATTTGCATTCTCTCTTCTGGGAGTAGATCTACATTTAGGAGGAATTTATGTCTACCTCATTTTCCAGAAGTTGCTGCTTTTAGTGGGATAAGGGGAAACTCCAAGAAAGGTTAATTTCCCTTGCATATGTTGAATCTGAAACATCTTCAGCTTAAAACAACTTTATACTGAAGTGGCATATTTGGGAGTGGCAATTCTAAACTCCTTCAAGAGAAGAATATAAACAGATCATTACAGAGTAATAATAATGTATGGAGAATAACATTCAAGACGTTACTGTGTCCTTAGATGCTTTATATTTATTATTTTATTAAAACCTAAAATTTGGTAGAATTTCATAGGAATTTTATCCCAATTTTACAATTAGAGCACAGAGAACCAACTAAGTATCACAATAGTTGTGAACAAGATGCTAAAGAATCACAAAGCAATGTAATGTGCTTTTCTTTCCTAAAGAAAGAAACCAAAACATTCCTCTCACCTCTCTTCATTCATTTGGTTAACTGATCTCAGGCCATATCCTGCCCCAGGAAGAGCCACAGAGTGGAAATAGTCCTGAAAAAGGAGGCAAAAGGTGTCAATGCAGGACTTAGGAGCTCTCAGATTTGGAATCAGGACTGTCGTGGAGGGATAGAGACAGGTAAGGTCAGTTTGCTTTCTTGAGCTTTGTCTTCAGTGTTGCTTTACAGCCTTTGAAAATCTGGTGTTTGGGAGAAGGGGAGGAAGTGGCACAGAACATTGGCTCCTATCTGGGAAAGTACAATTGATTGGCACCCAGTCTCTACCCCCAGTGCTAGAGAGTTGCAGAAGGTGGACTGTAAACACTGGCAAATATTGAGACATCAAGGTCATGGCAAGACTATTTGGCCCACATCTGTTGGGGAGGAATAAACCTCAGTTGAAAAGGACTGGAACATTTCTGAAACTGGCTATTAAAACTGGCAGCTCTTTAACCAGCTTTGTGTTTTTGCAAGGCCCCTACCCATACCAACTTTCTTACTGCTCTTATTTCCTGTGGCAGGGGATATATATACGTACATATTTGTCGAGTAATTGATCACCAGATGTTTTATCGGCTCGTGTGCTGTCTTGTACCAGTCATGTGGTTGATTTCTGCCTTAGATGGTATGTATGCTTTCTTTAAACTCAGATTACAAGGCACTTAATCTCAGATTTAGGGTTATGAGGCATTCTGTCTAGGGTTTTGGTGAAATTTACATTTGTGATATTTGTTTCCAAAATAATATTTGCTTGAAAAATAAAATTTACATTTATGATATTGAAAAATATCAAGTTACTTCACCTAATGCTCCATATTCCTGTGGGCTTACTGTGTATTTAAGGATGACTCTGCTTTCTGAAGTGGGTGGTTACCCTTGACTTTCCCTTCCTATTCTGGGAGCAAAACTAGTACCAATGTCAGTATTCTGAGAGGTTATACTTGGTATAAACTCCAGAACTTCTATTTGAGAAGGGAATTGTTTGTGTAGTAGATAACCTATGGCTGAATTTGAGTGGAATGCCTGATATCCTTTTGGAAATATAACTTTGGAAATCTTGAGAAAGGGAGGGGCAGGCATGTATGTGGATATGGAAGAGTACAAGCTATCAGGACCAATAATCCTGCAAAAAGTCACGGACGCAGGGATCTAGAGGGGCTTCCTCGTAGTGCGTGATATGCCAATTTGTTTTTTTCTTTCAACAGAGAGCTGTCTAGAACTTCCCCCAGTGAACAACAGCATATTTATTGTAAAGGAGGTGGAAGGACAGACGCTGGGGACTTACGTTTGTATCAAGGGCTACCACCTGGTAGGAAAGAAAACCTTTCTTTGCAATGCCTCCGAGGGATGGAATGATTTCACCACTGAGTGTCGCTGTGAGTTGACTGTCTCTACCTCTTTGCCCATATTGTCATCTGGCTATATTCTTTTACATTCTCATCCCTGTTGGCTATATTAAAACTTTATTTTTTAAAAAAATCTCAATTTCTAGGTATGCCCTTTTAAAGTAGCATAGTGGTGGAATGTCTCTGGGAAGATACAAGATCAACTCTTGCTGGGTATTAATTTAGTTGCATTAATAGAATCAATTATTCCTACAGCTAGGAAAAAGGTTTTCTCTTCATTTTTATTTTGTTTTGTCTTCTTGGTGCTGAGGATAAAATCCAGGGCCTAGCACATGCTAAGTAAATGCTTTACCCTCAGCCCTTGAAAATTTTTTCATACACTAAAACTACTTTGTTTTTCATTGTAATGTATTTAATCTTGTACTGCTTTAAAAACTGCTTTAAAAATAATATAGGAAAATATATACAGAGTCAGAAAGGTCAAGTTAACATAGATAACTCATTCACAGCTTCATCAGTTACCAATACATGGCCACACCTTTTTCATTTATATTCTTACTTTATTATTTTGAAATAAAACATCATATTTTATATTCACTCCTTATATATTTTGAACAGGGAAAAATTTATGCTGTCTGTATACCTATACCAATATTTTTATCCTTCATTTACATGAAGGAATTCATATCCCTCTGCATTTTCTCCTGTTTTTCCATACCATGGGAAGAAAAGAATAAAACAAACAAACAAAAAATGAGCTAGTACTGGCTGGATGAAAGGGAAGGCAAGATTTGCTTAAAACATAGGCCCAATAATTTTGAGGAATGCTTAACAGGATAATGAATATACTATTGGTGATTTCTAGTTATGTGCTTCATTGTGTTTAGCAAATTCAATTGCTGATTCATGTCATTCTTATGCTTAGCCAAGACCATTTCTGCCCTATTTATCAAAACCTGTATTGATATGATTTGCTATTTTTTTCACTGGTGTCTGAGAAGGTCAAGAATTTGCTGGGACAGGCTATTTAGATCACTGTCAGTTTTCTTCTTCAGTGGGCCACTGTCCTGACCCTGTGCTGGTGAATGGTGAAATTCAGTTCTTCAAGCCTGTGAATATAAGTGACAAAATTACATTTAAGTGCAATGACCACTACGTCCTCCAGGGCAGCAGTTGGAGCCAGTGCTTAGAGAACCACACCTGGTCACCTCCCTTTCCCATCTGCAAGAGTAGTAAGTACCAGAGAAATCACCGGGAATCCCAAACATCCTGATTAGCACACTGTCACCCTAGTCATTCCCACATCCCTGCAATGCTTTCCTCTTTTTTTTTTTTTTTTTTTGCATCTGGGAATAGGATTAGATCTAGCCAACAGTCAAGAAATAAACTGAGCTCACAGAAACAAATCTCAAGTGATATTCCAATGAAATGAATGGCATCCAAACAAGGGCTCTTTCTAAGATCAAGTATGATTTAATGTTTTTATTTGAAAAAAAAAATACACAAAACAGACAGGGAAAAGACCATGAGTCATTCATTGCAAAATTGTATATAACAGGTGAAAGTCCCTCTTTGTATCAGCAAAATTCAAACCTCTCAGAGGTAATCAGTTGGATGTATTTATTCCATGTCTTGTTCTTTCTCCTCCCACCCCCTTCCTTCCTTTCTTTTCTTTTTTGTAGTACTAGGGATTGGGCTCCAGGGGACTCTACTGCAGAGCCACTCCCCACCATGATTATTTTTTTCTAAATTGCCCAGGCTGGCCTGGATCCTCCTGCCTCTCTCTCTTGAGCCTCAGGGATGACAGGGGTGGGCCATGACATCTGACTCTTTTAACACCTGGCTCTTTTTCTTATGTTTATGCAGACATATGTTTAAATAAAACAAACACCAAAGTGAAATGTTTTGAATTAAATAAACACTAAATAAGCATTTGTGTGTGTATACCTATAAAAACAAGCTATTGCTATACACGTTTTAAATTGCTTTTTGAAATATAACAATATGCATGAGCATTTTTCCAGTAATATAGCTTTACCTCCTGCTTTTTAATAGATACATAAACGTATACCACAATTTATTATACATTTATTATACTGATGGACATGTATTTTATGTCTATTTTTTGCTATTATGAAAAAGGCTGAAATGAATGTTTTATACACCCCCCCATTCACATCCTTATACCTATGCTATTATTTCTTTAGGATAAGTTCCTAGAATAATTGCTATGACAAAGGTTGTCATTATTTGCAGAATATATGTAAAAGATCCATGAAAATTGTGTAATATATACTGTTATACAAAATGAGTATTTAAAAATCAATGGGTTTATTTTCTATTAATAATTATTAGTTTAATATAAAAGATAAAAATAAACCTATTAGAAAGATCTAATATGAAAATTTACTGGGAGACATAAAACAAGACTTGAGTAAAAGAAAATATATGCCATGATCTGGCTGGACTGATGGTTACAGTGCAGTCCCCGCAACATTTTAAACTTAAAAAAAAGAAATAAAAAGTTAATTTTAAATTATCATTTGTAAGGGTACATATCTGGCATGTAAAGTTTATTGTTTTTGGAAAATGTTGACTAACGTTCATATCTGGCTGGATCAAACGGAAGTAAACACCTGCCTTATCAGATAATAAAATGTCCAACAATCTTATAAGCAGAATGGTATTAACTTGGTAAATTATAGGAACTATAATTAATGTGCTATTAAAACAGTAATTTATAGGGACAAAAGTAGGAGAACTTGTTTATTATTATTGTTATTTTAAAATATTTTTTTAGTTGTAGATGGCCCTTTATGTATTTATATGCAGTGCTAAGGATTGAACCCAGGGCCTCACACTTACTAGGCCACTTGCTCCACCACTGAACCATAACATTTGTATTCAGTGGTGATAATTGTCTATTTGGAAGAAGACAAAGTTGGACTCTAACTCATACTAGGTTAAAAACATATAAATATGAAAGAAAAAGTGTTAAGTTACCAAAACATGAGAGAATATGTTTATTTCATGAGATGGCAAAGGCTTTCCTAAGCAATAACATAAAACTCAGAAATCAAAAAGCAAGCAAAAAGACAGATTTAATTAAATCTTCAAATAAAAAAATATATATTTTAATATATATTAAAAGGCCTCATAGAAATTAAAAGATAATAACAGATTTGGAGAGAGTATTTGCCAACATACTTGATGGCTAAACAATTAATATTTTAAACATACAAAATAAAATAAAATAAACACTCTATAAATTAGCACAGAAAAGACAGCCATATAGAAAAATGATAGAATTGTGTAAGGATAGATGATTCCAAGGATAGATGATTCCAAGTTTATGACCCCAAACTTATTTCTATCTTCCAACTTGATTGAATGTTTCTAATAATTATGGAACTGGAAATTAAAATTAGATACAAATATCTTACTAATCATGTTAGCAAAAAAGAAAAAGTTAATTTCGTCTAATATTATTCACAGTACGAGTAATGGCCACTTATGTTAGTGAGATGTAATATTACACTCTTTGTATGTGACTTCAGTAGCTACCTAAGATAATAAATGGAGAAGAACTTAAAGCACATACTGCATGAGCTCTCTTATGAGGGCATTTGGGAGTACCCAGAACATGCTTTTGTACCACATCATGAATGTAATATAGCTTGACATGGGTTTGTAGTATTTCTTCATTTCTTCCAAATCTTTTACTCTTTTAATTTAGAAATTTCTGCCCTGGCTCCCACATATAGCATCATTTTTTGTGTTAACTGCTCAGATCTTGGAGGAGCTCCTTAGATCCCTGTAAAGCACATTATTTTGTGTTTAGACCTCAGATCAACATCATCTCCTTCAGTTCAAAACTGAACTTTTTAAAAGTTACCAGAACCCCCTCTAAACTGGAATTCCTCCATCAACTCATGGGAATCCTTTTTTATTTTCTCTGTACAGTCTTTGAACTCAGTCTTTTAGTTTTTACAAATTCTTTTAAAAATGACTCAAGTAATACAATATAGAAAATAGAAGGAAAAAAATCATTACCTACAAGCCTATGGGGTAGGGGAGGTTGGAGACAAGCATTAGGAAAATCTTGGTATATTATTTACAGACCTTTTTTTGTCTGTGCATATTTGTGTGTGACCGTTTTACAAAAATTGTGTTATATTGAGACCAGGGCAAAGGACAGGTAGCTGATTATCAAAGAAAAGGAAATGGGTAGATAGCACTCCCCATCACCCTATTGCTAACAGCCTCTGGGGGAGGGAAAGAATCATACTTTCCAACACAAGCAATCACCTCCTGGGTGACTCTCTTCCTGCCCTTTTGGCCACTTGTGGTCACGTAGGCAGAGTGGGAGGAGGGGACAGGAGGAAAGGAAACCTGAAATCTATATGAGAGGCAAGACACCCCTACTCCCTTGAGTACCAGCCCTGGACACCCTCCTCTCCAGAGGAGTCTCTCTCTCTTTCTCTGTTCTGTTTCTTAAGTAAATTTTACTTTTTGCTCTTGCCTAGGCATTTCTTGGGTGTTTAATCTTCAACATGGGGGAACAAGGACCTATCCTGATTTTCAAAACCGGTTTATATTATACATGCTTTTTAATAATTTTCTGATTTTACTCAAGCTATTTGTTTTTAAGACCTTTAATATACCTTTTGTTCAGCCTTTAATCTTGATCACCAAGATTAGCCTCATGCAATCTCAGAACTGAAAAAGACATTATAAATAACCTTATACATAATAATATTTAACCTAATTATCTTAAAATATTAGAAGTTTAAGATAATTCGAAATTATCTTATTATATTAGAGGCTGAGCCCAGCCTTATGTCCCTTGTCTATAATATCAATGACTTGGGTGACTGAGATAGGAGGATCCCAAGCTTGAAGCCAACCTAGTGAGACTCTGTATCAAAATGAAAAATAAATAAAATAAAAGGGGCCTGGGATGTAGTTCAGTAGTAAACAACCCCTGGGCTCCATCCCCAGTACCAACAGAAAGATAGATCAATAAACAAACAAACAAATAAATAAAATATTAGAAATGGAGAGGGCCAAAATGATTTCTTTGGTGCCAGGGAGTTTCTTTTCTGCCACTGGAAGAGCCCGAATCAAATTTCACTGTTCCTAATGTGTCATTTCCAGTTCTACAGACCTGTCCTCTTCAGCAGGTGTCAGCCCCATGGAGCTCACATCCTTCATCTCCTGTCTCAAGTTACTTCTGCCCTCACCTAGGGTCTAATTTTTATTTTCTTTTGCATTAACAATTAGCATCTCTACAACTCAAATTTCTTTTCCTTGAGCTCCTGCCAGTTAGAAAGTTCTCCAGAATCCCTCACAATTCAGGGGATGAACCTGGGGAGGGCTTTTCCCCATGGACAGATCTGATCTTGTTTCTTTGTGGCACAGGCATTGACCCCAGGGGCACTCAACACCGAGATACACACCCCCACCACTACCTTTTTAAAACATTTGAGACAGGGTCTTCCTAAATTTCCCATGAACTGACAGTCCCGCCACAGCCTCCCTTCTGAGACATGGGGATGACAGGTGTGCTATGGGCCGGCTGAGAAATCTGACTTTGATGAGAAGGGAGTGAATGGAGATCAAGTCCCTAGGTCCCTCTGTACTGCTCTGGAGATGGCAGGTGCTGGCCTAAGCTGCTTGTGTGGGGAGCTGTGCCCTCAGCATCACTGAACCTCACCACTATCCTCTGGGACTCCTTTTCCTCAGGAGACAGTGGCTCTCATGGAGATACACCTCACGGATATTGTGAAGGAGGAAATTCTGACTCGGGGTCTACCAGTTCTTCCTGTGGTGAGAGGTAAGTGCGGACAGCCTTTGAATATGAAATCTTGCTCTTGGGCAGAATTGTTTGGGGTATGACCCAGTCTATGTCCAGCTAGTCCCCTGACAACCTCCTGCTTTAGGATTTGGGTTTTGAGAACTGCGTTAGCTCGTTGTGGTCCTTCTCCAACCCCTGGAAAGCAGACTGATCCTGTTAGAATATCTTATGTATCCTCTTGAAAGTACCATTTTTTCCACCTCAGTTTTTTAAATGTTTTGGGCAGAGCACAGTGGTGTACACCTATAATCCCAGCAGCTCAAGAGGCTGAGCTAGTCTGATCGTGAGTTCAAAATCAGCCTCAGCAACAGGGAGGCACTAAGCAACTCAATGAGACCCTGTCTCCAGATAAAATAAAAATAGGGCTGGGGATGTGGCTCAGTAGTTGAGTACCCTGAGTTCAATCCCCACACTGCCCCCACCCCCCTCAAAAGTATGTTTTTCTAAAGAATCAAAGAACAAAAAAAGAAATTAAAAAAAAACACAGAAGTTCAAAAATATAAATATTTAGGGGATAGACCCTTGAAGCATTCCTAATTGCAGTCTAGCCTCAGTTTACACTGCCAGACTCCCACCTGATGGGTTGCCTAGCCTTTTCTTTTCCTTGTTTTACTCTTACTGAGTCACGTGGCTTCACTGGCAATTCAGTTCCATTGGACTTCCTTGGACATTGAAGTCCACTTTTGTATTTTTTCTGATTAAAAGCTACCGCTACTCATTAGCCCATTCACTAAGATTTTTTTGAGGAGTGTTTCTAACTTTCTACTGCTTTCCAGAGCTTACGTGGCAGATGCCTTATTAGTTTATAGAATGATCGGCTACTTCTTCCCTCACTCTCCTTACCCAAAAACTCTGTGCAGGAACACACTAATTCAGAATTTCTCACCTCTCTGGATTATGGATGTCAACTCATCCCATGGATCCTCCCACTCTGCCTCCACCCGCCCCCCAGGAGAATGGTTTTACTTTATTAACTGTTTTGTAATAATGAGATGAGCATGCATTACGGCTTGGGGCAGGGAGGTGGATTCTATTACAGCCTGAAATATAACTACCCAAGGTAGCCTCAGTTACTCTATTTTGAAGGTGAAAGGGCTAAATGTTCTAACTTTGGTGCAGGAACCTCCCAGAGGGCCCACAGAAGCAGCTGGTCATTGAGGGGGACCTGGAAAGTGTACTTACCCATGAGAGGATCTACAAACCATGTTTACAGACTGGGTTTGAGAAGGCATTGGTAAGTGGGGGCCGTTGTTTGTCTTATTCACAGTTGTGTCTCTGGGGCTTGGCCATTGTTTCTGGTTCATGTTCAGTTAATATCTTTTCAATTTGGTATAATGTTTTTGAATGGGTGGGCCTTGGCCTGACTATAGAAGGGGCCTCATAAACCACTGATTCACATTTCAATATAAGGACATTTCCATTTGCCACCTTCATCACAAATACCTCATAAAGCCCTCATAAATGCCTCATAATAATGGTAGGCATTATTGTCTCATGTGCTTTATAGAACAAGGTTCTTAAACTTAATGCCTGAGATTTGTAAGTACTACTCTGAAGAGGCTCTAAACTTCTTCTAGATTGCAACAAACACTGAAAAATTTATTTTCCTTGAGATTCTTCTTCTAGACCATATTTACTACTGTGGAAATATTAAAATTTTATTAAGACAGAAAGAGTAAATGATTCATCATGTTGAAGGCCCAGATCCCACCTGAGCTCCATGGTTTTGACTCCTGTCCCCATTCAGGGACCTCCTTGTTGCTTGTTGACTTCAGGGTGTAGAGCTGGATCTCATTCTATCAATTAAAACTTCAAAATAATTTGTTTCTCCTCCTTGCCTTTCAGGAGAAAAATAACCCTTGCAGTGCCATAGAGAAATTTATGAAAAGATTGAAGGAAAGTGGTTCAACAATAGAAGAATTAAAATCTTCTCTGGAGATGAAAAAAGCTGAGTTGGAGGCAAAACTATTGTCGTAATGCAATAGCTGAGTAGACTGGTAATACAAATTCACTTATGAATAAATTTTCCTCTTGATTCTGAAACTGGTATCAGTTTGTCTCTTATTGGGCTGAAATGCAACTTCATAGAAGGCAACTGCAAATGTATAATATACTGTATGTGTCTCTGGGTGTCTGTGCGAATTGTCATACTTAGAATGTGAAAAGATCAAGTGTGGTTGTTGTCTGTTTAAGACAACATTTGGCACCACATTGACGGACTGTGGAGAATTTAATTTCCTGTCTGCAAGGAGAAAGAGGAAGCTTGGATCTCAACTAAGACTGGACTTCATAAGAGACATGAATTATGAGCCAAAAATTAACCTCAAATAACCCAAAATTTATGAGGCAAAAATTAACCTCTTATTCTGAAAAGATAGGGTCAGAACAGTTATATCCTTAAAATTCAGACAGATGTAGAGTTAGGACCCCAGCTCTCTGCTACATCTGTTTTATGAAGCCAGATTTCTTGATGATCTTCAATAATATTGCTTACTGCCTTTTGGATGGAACCCAGTCTTGCATTACCAGGAGATTTGAGACAATGCAACACAAGTGAATATATTTTCTTCTTTTTTAGAGGATAGAAGAAATAAGAATCCTGAGGCTTTCCATCACAATGTCATATTGAGCTGACACTATAGCCTTCTCCCATCCCTCAGCCTGACCCCCATTGTAGCAGACAAGAAATCTTGATAAATTAAAGCCAAAATACTTAAGAGAGCTTGAAATAATGGAAAATCTCCAGGTGAAGTTATAAAGGAGAATAAGGACTCTTAAGTATCTTAGAGTCTTTTAGTAGACACAAGTCCTGTGTATTTAAAACAATATTTCAGGCTGGTAAAAATGAAGTAAACACTTTTCAGAGATCACTGTGCTATGAGAGTGCAGAAAAAGACAGATCATTTCTGTCTGGGAAGAAAATTGTTAAGGAATAGATTATAGTTATTTTGGCCTTTAAAAGTAAGAGAGACAAAAAGTAAGGAGGAGGATGTTTTGGGTGGAAATAAGTTTTTTTAAAATGAAGTAAGAGAGCCATAAGTTTTTAAATCAAGTAAGTACACCGCTAGGATTAATCTAACTGTAGCAAATAATTTTCATTTGAAGGTATTTATTATATTATTGTCTCTTAATAACTATATTATCAAGACCTTGTAAGTATTTGTCCAATTTTAGGAAAATATTTCACAATGTATAATAGATCCAATGTTATGTATCATTTTACACTGATAATTATAAAGTAGTAGAAAATCTTGAAAATGTAATCTCAAGTAAAAATAGAATAATAATAATAAATACTTATGATTATATTTATGTAAGACCTCCATTCTTGTGGCAAAGGACTGGACAATAATATACATAGATGAAAACTATTGTCTTAAAATGTTGAAATTATAGGCATTTATTTTCTTAAATGTTTTAAAATTATTTTTTTATAATATATTATATATTAAAAGCACTGTACAGAGGAAGGAAAGATGATTAGGAAACACTACACAGTCTAAGTTGGCCTGAATTAAGCATGGGAAGTGGTAAGAGAAAAGACTGGGAAGATCAGTTAAAGATAGTTCAGAAGGTTTTGAATGGCACACTAGAGAATTTATGTTTTTTTAGGCAATGAGTAGACATAGAAGACTTTCAAGTAAGGAAATAATAAGGACAGAGCATAGAAGAAGATTTTTCTCACAATTGTGTATAGTATTGATTGAAGCAGAAAAAAAATTGAGACTGAGAAACCAAAAGAAGTGCTACTACAATGGTCACCAGTTATGGTTTGAGTATGCCCCAAAGTTAATGTGTTAGAAACTTAATCAACCCCCAGTGTGGCAGTGAAGAGAGGTGGAATCTCTAAGAGGTGATTAGGTTATGAAAGCAGAGCCCTAATGAATGGATTGATATTACTGAGTTACTTATTGCAGGGGTGGTTTCCTGCAATGAAATGAGTTCTTCCCCTTTTCCTTTTGCTCTATCCCTGTGCTCTCTTACCTTCCACCTTCCTCCATGGGATGATGTAACAAGAAGGCCCTTGTCAGGTGCCTCCCAAACTGTAAGACATAAATATCTCTTCTTAATAAAGTACCCTTTCTAAGGCATTCTGTTATAGCAGCAGAAAGCAGACTAAGATATCCACAAAGAGACAATGATAACCTGAACTGGTTTAACAGTAACAGAAGTGAAAAGGAAGTAGCAGAAACGAGAAGCAATTTGAAACTCATATCATTCAGCTTGTTAATTAATGGAACGTTGGAACATTAAGGAAAAAAAAAAGGAGTTCAAAGTTGAACTTGAAATTCTGTGCAAGAATCTAGATTAAAGTTGGGATCACAAGGTGAAACTGATGGACAGTAAACAAGATATTTTGGATGTGCTGAGTGTGAGGTATATTGGAATATGTTCAATGGGCAACAACAACAACAAAAAAAGTATGGAGTTTAGCAGAGGAAATTACACCTTAGAGATTAAGGTGTAGGATGGGATAATCCTCTCATTGGAAATAGAGTTGTGAGAGTAGGTAAATTTATTCAAATGGTGGAAAGAAAAAAAAAATTAAAGGGACATGGAATGTTTCCACACTTAGAAATGAAGAGGAGGAAAAGGAAATAACAATAACTGAGAAAAGGATATTAGTAAGATAAGAAAATCAGGAAAGTTTGGGGTAGTAGAGGTCAAAAGAGAAGAAAGGTTTAGAAAAGAAATTGTCAACACTGTCAAGAGCTACAGAGAAATTATAAGAAACGAAATAAAGAAATTTTGGATTTGGAGATAAGGACATGCCCCAGAGAAGAGTGTGGGTCTGAGGGTGGGTGGAAGTCAGATGGGAAGGCAAAACGGGGAGTGATTGATGAGAAAGAGTAGGCAGAAGGTACAGGTCCCACTTCTGAGAGTGCAGCATCACACTAAAGAAGGAAAATGGAGTTGGAGGTTTGGGCAAGAAGGCGGGAGTATTTCAGGATGAGAGACACAGTAAAAACGAGAAGAAAGAAGAAGTCATTCTCTGAATCAGGAGTGAATAGGAGAGAAAATTGGACATGGGGCTAATGTAGAATGATTTTAGTAAAGTGGGAAGCAAGATGATCTGCTGAGAACACGACAATTTGGTGACCTGGATAGAAAAATTTGCAGCCATTACAGTGGAAAGCAGGATGTGTTGGACAATGGGATTTTGGAGACCCAACTTAAAAGATGCTATTTTCTCCAACTTCACCCTCCTGTTGCACAGACCAGATTCTCCCTCTACACTCRTGCTTGTCATCTCTCACCTCTGTGATTCAGCCGGGTCTTCTTTCCCTCTAATATCCTTCTCATCTTCCTCTAATACCTTCTACCTCACCAAGTCTGGTCTAAATCTCATGTCTTCCATCACCACCTCTTTGATGAACTCAACCACTGGGGTTGAGTTTTTGTGGCACTTTCAGTATTTTTTTATGGAAAATTTTGCACTCTTAGAAAAACTACTTATAAAAGCTGTCCTTTGTGGACACAACTCTGAAGCTTTAGGGTGAATAGAGTAACTGGACAAAGTCAGGGCTTGGGGTACCTTCCTAGACCTAAGTGATAGTAAACATAGCTAGCCCCTCATTGCATTCTTCTGAATAGCCATCCGTGACAGACCAGTTTCTGGTCTTTAGGTGTCCCATATATCATAGTAATGGTGGTGGGGGTGGTAGTTGACATTTGTTGAGCTCCAAGTATGTTCCCGTATGTTCCAGGCATTTAGCACATAGCAAGAACTCAATGAATGTTTGAGAAATTCTCCACCTTTCACTTTGCCTTGGGATAGGATGGAGGAGAGTGCAAGGCAAGACCCTCAGTCCCCAGAGAGCCTCTGGACTTCATGTCATGGAAACTAGATCATTTTGATGAAGTTTGACTGAACCCTGCTGTATTCAAGGTTTCCAGATAGCTGGYTTGCCTCTTGCATAACCTGTGTTTATAAAAAGAGAGAGAAGGAATTCTGGCATCATATTCAAATTACCTTCTTCACTTAGGGGAAATGGTTGGCAAAGGAGAAAATAAATGATTGCAACACGGTATCGAGAATGAGGGCTAGTAAAGAGGAGGGAGTTTAGGTAAATATTGCTGCTCTATTTCTGCTGTTAATCATTCACAGGGCCAGGGGAGAATTTCTGCTCATCCATCTTCATTCAATAATCCCTGACCAGCCAGCTACATGTCTGGAATTCAGGGACTTTTTGGTGAAGCAATTGCTAGTCAACTTTGGGATATTATGATAAACCCTAATCTTGGAAGGATCTAGGACTATAGAGATCAAGACTCCATCAGAGCCTTCTTCTTCCTCTGCTATTACAGGTGAGTGGACTACGGAGCACTTGGGGGATCTAGGGGGTAAGGTTGATGGTTTGACCCTGTAGAGAGTGCAGAACTGGAACAATAAGACAGATAAAAAYTCGACAGTGTTTTCAGCAGAAATCTTTGCAGAAGTATTGCATGAAGGGTGTTTGATTTGAAAAGTACTTTTAACCTGTTCTGAGCCTAGATTTTTTAAAATTAGAAATGGGGGAATAGTAATGTATGTTAATAAAGAAAAGCAAAAAAGTAGTGTAAGACAATATTGCTCATGCTATTTTATCTAAGAGCTGGGTTTGTCTGTTGATTCTTTATCATCTCCTCACAAAGAGGAGTGGAGGCAAGAAGCCAATCTGACTTCCCAGTGGAACCGTAAGAGACCTGGTTTTTATTTCCTGTACTCTGAAAATTGGTACAGTTTCCTTAGAATGCAATTAGATTTTATGAACTCCTTCAAATTTCCATCGCTGACAGTAAAGTCCTTTAGATTTGGTAATAAGAAGACATTGGTCAGCCTCTAGCTAGTTTTCTCCCTCACTTTCCAAATTTGGCAATGTTGATTAGCCTTCCTTCTTAAAAGTCTCTTCTCCCTTGGTTGGACAGGGCACCGTACTGTTCTGATCCCCATTTTACTTATGTCTTTGCGGACGCTTATACTGTCCCTAAATATGGTGCTACTAGGAGAATGAAAAATGGATTATATGGAAGTGGCAGAAGCATCCAATAAGGCCTGCATTCAACTTAGAGGTACCTTTGACTGTAATATGAGCAAAGAAGAAAGACRTTGACAGAGAGATAAAGAGGTTCCAGGAATGGTGGGGTGTGGAAGCAAGTTCTTTCTGAAGTTTGTAAACAATGTGATTGAGAGCCCAGTGTAAGGAAGGAGACACTGCCTGAGACTAGGGACAAAATTATCTTTCTTCAGAGGCAATATGAATTTATTTATTTTTTTAAATGAATTCTTTTTTTAATATTTATTTTTTAGTTGTTAGTTGGACACAATACCCTTATTTTATTCATTTATTTCTATGTGGTRCTGAGGATCGAACCCAGAGTATCCAATGTGTGAGGGGAGGGCTCTACCACTGAGCCACAACCCAAGCCCCCAGGCAATCAGAAATTTAAAAGGGGAATTCAGACAAAAGAAATACATTAAAACTTAAAGGAGAATCACTAAAGAAGGAAAAATTTAGGGRTGGAAGATTTTCCCAATGTCTCTCAAATTGTACYGCATTGTTAAGTGCTGACATTGCTTTTTACGAGACACCCACTGTGTTGACCATAGTTCTTGAGTTGGTTTCATTTCCTTAGGGAGGAAACAGAGGACAATATCACTGAACTCTGCGGCATTTGCTAGAGTCATCTCAGCTTTTTAGCGGGCAGTTACAGAATTGGTAGGCAATATAATAGATCACCTAAGTTTAAGTCACCTTTTAGAGATGAGGAAACTGAGTTCTAAGAAGCTGATTGTAGYTTCCTGAAGATCACAGAATTAAGATTGTGGCATCTCTGGAACTCAAGCTCAGTTCTCCTCAACTCACAAGTCCTCTATCCCCACACTCTATGGTTTGCTGATCTCTTTGCAAGCTCTGCTGAGTTACCCAAAGAGCAGCTGAGGAAGTAAACCAGGACATCTTGAGAGTTCATGAGGAAAATCTAAAGCCTGGTTCTTCTCTCTGCCAAGTTGAAAAGGCACATCACACACATTCTTTCCTTTGGTCCTCAGCGAGAGAGTTAACTTTTCTCACTCTGAAGGTAAAACTAAATTGAGCTTCATTTTACAATTATTGGATAGCTGTAATACATCAATTACAATACCAGGTTAGAGATAGGAAGTTGAATAAATGCCTTCCTTGTCTTTAGGGTATCACAATATATTTTAAGAAACAATAGTAAATACACAGTTACAATATAAAGTGGTRTTCAAGTAAGGTATTAGGAAAGTAGTAGGGATACGGGGAAGACATTGACTTTTCTTGATGGAGGCAGGCAATTCTTCAAGGAGGTGACATTTGATCTGGGTAGTGAAAAAAGGAGGCACCAAAGGTAAGAACATTTGTACAAATGCTTCCAAGGTGTTTTCAGATTTGTTTGTTTTTAATTCAGAATGTGTTTTGAGAAAGGTGAATACTTTCATTAGGTAGAAGCATTATTCTATTTGCAAAAGAGGCAAGTAGGAAGTTTGGAGACAAATGGRGACCTATAAGGATTGGGGACCACAATAAATGTTTAAGCAGAGTGATAATGTCAGTTGCTTTTTAGAGACATTATATATCAATATGGAAGCTGGCCACAAATGTTTGGAGGTTTTTGCAGAAGTCTGGGGTGGGGTGAAGGGAATTATGAGAACTTAAACTTGGAAGTAGAACATAGGACAGAGTGACAGATTCTAGTGCTCCTGCTCTGGCCATCTTGACAAGACTCGGTCATTCTGAACATGCAAAGCTGGCACAAGACGAGAGATAATGTGCCTGACTCAGGGATCTCATCTGGGAGATGGCTGGTATCTTGTTACTTCAGCCCAAACAGAAAACAGAGGTAAAGCAGGAAATTTAATTTGAGATATGTTGGATTCAAAGTGCCTAGGAGATACAAATRACGTGGTTGAAAAATCTGAACTTTGATAATAGAGACTTAAATTTTAAAAATGTGATTTTTTGCTTAAATAAGAAATCTAACAGGGTCCCAAGTTTGGGTTTACATTCAGGGTTGCAGGTGAAGAGGAAAGTATAATTATGTATTTCTGGATATACAAAGAAAACTCATAAATATTTGTAACTTTTGGGAAAGAGAAATTAGTTAAATATTATCCCAGRCAAAAAATAATTTGCTAAGATAACTAGTAAGAAGTACATATTTCCTAAAGTTAAAGGTTACTTTCAAGTAGCAGAACAACCATCTCTAAAGTCTAGAAAACACTTTTGTGGGAAATAACATTTGCAAAGTCAGTTTTACCATGTAGATATTATCTGCTCTTCTGCAGTTGCAGGGGAAGAGGAAATATTTCTTCCTAACTTTGCTAAAATTTCTTTACCAACTTAGGAAAGACATAGTTTTAAGGTTTAGCACAGATATTTCACTAATTAGCAACCAGAATAAGGAAGACAGGCCTGAATGACTTAAAACTTACATGTAAGAAGATTCAAATGGGGCAGAATAAGGTAATTATTAATAATTAAATTTAAGGAGCTYGTACATTTTTATGTCTGTAGAAGCATTTGGGCCCAGAGGTCTATAAGTGACTCATGTCTGCTGATGAGGGTCATAGGTGTGTGTGAATTCCTCCCAGAAGAAGGTTGAGAATAAGACAGAAATAAACTCAAGGTAGCCCTTGGGACAYGAGCGTCTCTCTGCTCTGGGTGTCACATTGGGTCTCAGTGTGCCAAGAGCCACAGAGGATATCTGACCGAGGGCTTCTGTCCCCATGTTGGTGGCTTTCACTCTGCACTAGAGTGTAAAGTTCCCCCTGGTGATGCAATCCATTATTCAGATCATTCTGAAGATGATGTTTTTGAATTCTAGGCACTCTTCTTCTTGGCAGAGTAACATCCCACACCAATTCTAACATCTCTTCCGAATGTTTACTATGTGCCACCCAAACACCATCAAGTCCCTCTCAGAAATTCCTAAAGACATATATGATTATTACTCTCATTTTTTTTCATTTGTTCTTATTAGTTACACATGACAGTAGAGTGCATTTTGATCATTCTCATTTTATAACAGAGGAAATGGGTGTGGAGGGGCTCAATGTCTTACCCACAGGCACCTGGTTCCTASATGGTGGAACCAGAATTTAAACTCACAGCATCTGGGTCTGAATCCAGATACAGTCCCAAGGTACTGGGAACACTGCCCTCCTTGTCCCTGGCTCTGTGGCTGTGGCCTCAGAGTGAGACTGAGATAAAGGGAGTGAAATAACTTCCTCATCATGGTGTCATGTCTGTGTGTCTGTTTCATAACCCATGGAGGGAGGAGAATTAGWTTTTGTTTATTCTTTCCCTCTTTCATTGCCCCTCCCTTACAATTGGTTGATGATTGGATGACTTCAGGTTAGTGATGTAAAAGGGMTTAGCATAAAATTGCTTGGGTCAATTTTCTTTAAAATACAGATGTGTGACAGGTATGTTGGAACATGCAGCAGTTCAGGGGGCTGAGGCAGGAGGATCACAAGTTCAAAGCCAGCCTCAGCAACTTAGTGAGACCCTAAGCAACTTAGTGTTGTCTCAAAAAATAAAGAAGGGCTGGGAATATACCTCCATGGTTTAGCACTCCGGATTCAATCCCTGGTCCCAACAAACAAACCATCATATAAAACCCCTGAAACGAACTCAAAATTATAAAACAAATAGTGTGGATATCAAACAGTATTATGTTAGCTTTTTACCACGGTGACCAAAATACCCAATAAGAACAACGTAGAGGAAAAGAAGTTAATTTTAGCTCAAGGTTTTAGAGATTCAGTCCGTGGTAGGCTGACTCCATTGCTCTGGTCTGAGGTGAGGCAGAACATTATGGCAGAAAAGTGTGGCAGAGGGAAGCTGCTCTGCTCATGGTGGTCAGGAAGCAGAKAGGAGAAAGTTGAGGGAAGATGGACTCTTCCGGGGGCACACCCCCAGGGACCACCTCTTTCAACCACCCTCGGTCTGCCTACAGTTACCACCAGGTCAGTGCATTCAAACTAGGATGGACTGATTAGGTTACAGCYCTCACAATCCAATCATTTCACTCTGAACATTCCTGCTTTAACACAGGAGCTTTGGGGGGACACCTCATAACCAAACCAAAACAAGTATCATTTCTCTTTGAGACACATTTCAGCACTAGGTGCTTTGGGGTGTGCATTAATCAAACATACACTGAGCAATTTGACTTTGTGTGCCACGTTGCTAGGTACTGTGTAGGGCAGCAATGAATAGATGGCCACCCTCTGACTTAAGGCATTTATAATCTAGTGGGGATGATAGACCTGAGATGTTCCTTGCAAGCCAAGTCAGTGGAGAGTRATAAGTACAAAACTGTACTTGGTACATGGAGGCTGACCTGGAAAACAAGGGGACACTGGAGAAAGGACTGGCAGAATAAGTAGAAGCTAAAGAGGAAAGAGAGAGGGTGAGTGATGTAGGGAGAGGTAGGAGGTAGGAAAGTCAAGAATCCTGGTTGACTAGAACAGGTCAGATGGAGCCCAGTGACTCAGTCCAAACTACTGACAAGTTAGTCACCAAAGCTGATTGAGTGACTACTACTTCCTAAAGGCTCGATTCAATGGAACCAATTTGCTGAATATATCAAAACTTCATTTCACATAACATTGCTTAGGAAATATTTAGAATACATTTAATGATTACAAAGATATTCTTTTTAAATACAGCTAATGAATATTTTTGCAACATTTTAGCTATCTGAGTTCAATTTCTTAAAGCTAAGGATTAWAGCTATAACTGTAGTCATAAATATTTTCTCTGAAGATAGTCCACATATATATTTTTCTCATGAATATAACAACTGCAATAATTCATATGGGAAATTTTCACTTTATATTATCCTTTTGACTTTTCATCATCAAATTCTTTTGTCAACACATCTGTATTTTTAATATCATCAGTTTCATGGAAATTCAATACGATATCAAATCTACTGACGTATCAAATTTTAAAGAAAATTATTGGCTTCATACCTCATAGAAGTATTTATTGGGTAGGAGAAACTTATCATATTTTGTAAATTTCACAGATGATTTAGTGGGCTAGCCTTCATGTTATGCAACTTGCCTTTCTCTCTACTGTCTTGAGCTTCACCAGATTGCAAGGGCAGAGAAAAGAGAGACTAGAGACTGGGAGGGGCTGCTAGGGAATGAGAGGGGAATGGAGGTAGAGAGAGAGTACCAGCCAGAGAAAGAAGGAGAGACTCTTCCCAACCTCATTAGACCACATGGATTCATGTAGTATAAATTCTGCAAGCATATTTCAGTCAACAAATTYATCAGGTAAATTCTTCAGTAGGTGTATCCATGCATTGACAGATGTCCTGGTGGCTGCCTATAAAGCTCATGGRATAGAATGTGTGCCCATGCCTTAAAACAGGTGAAGGAATGACTTCACAACTGAGTTTTAGTTTCCAGGTGTCTTTACTCCATGCAGAACTTTGGTCCCTTTACATTGTGTGAAAGACCCACTATTAACTACTACCCCCCCCATAATGTGGGAGAGAAACATCTTCGAGAGAAATATTGAGGGAAGCCCCTTTTCTTTCAATACTAGGGATTGAATTCTGAGGGTCTCTATCACTGAGCTACATCCCTAGTCCTGTTTACTTTTTCTTTGTGAGACAGGGTTTATTTAAGTTGCCCAGGCTGGTCTTGAACTTGCAATTCTCCTGCCTCAGCCTCCTGAGTAGCTAGTATTACAGGCATATACCACTACATCCAGCTGAACTCCCTCTTCTTAAATGGCCATGAGCTTAGTATGAATTATAAACACCAGAGAGTGCTGAAACTCTGGTGCTATTTCCTTGTTGAGATCATATGCATGGCTCAGCTGGTAGTTTGCAATATCATCTTAATCAACCTCTCTGTTTCTTTTCTGTCTCCTTCTGCCATCGTGATCTTAAACCACACAATGTTACACCTTAGCTTAAAAGAAATGCACAAATCAAAAACTAAAACAAAAATGAAAAACAATGACTCTTTATTCCCCAAAGAGTAAAATCTATGAATTCTTAAATTTGACTCTCACAGCCCCTTCAGACATAGCTAAAAGTTTCCCCCTCCTATCCCCTTATCACAGACACTACTAACATCCCAAACAGAAGAATTATCTGCTATTCTSCTAGTATGACCTGCATTTATCCTCTAACTTCACAGCAGACCTAGCTCAGATGTGACCCCCCCTCTAAATCCCTCTTTCTCTCTCCACTTGCAATTCATCTGTCTTTTGAGAGGATACTTCTGCACAGGCCATCCTYCACTGTCTTGTCTTGGTATGATGTTTAAGCTCTTTTTTCTTTCAATCTAGGCTGCAATTTCCTTGAAGACAGGGATCCCATGGTATTTATTCTACTGCTTTATGACAAGTAGGAATTTAATGAGTACTTATTAAATTGAATTCTTTCAGCAGAAAAAAAAATGCCAGAGAAGCAGCAGGTCATGTGCCCCCCAAGACCACCAAGTGGAACCCATCATAGAAAGGGGGAAATGGCAACCTGGGCCTTCTGTAATCTGCGGAGAGTCTCTGATCCAATTCTGTTCCAAATGACCTTGGTCGCTGCTCTGTTGGTTACTGTTCATGGTGAGTAGTGGGAGACAGGTTCAGAKGGGCAACAAGAAAATCGAGATCATCCACGTGTTTAAGTAGACTGAAAGAGAACTGACTAAGCTTCCAGCAGCAATTCAGTTTCAGCCATAGAATTTATTTGTCCAACTGGAATACAGAGGAATTTGCTTTATACATGAAAGAGACAATTTTCTAGATATTTCCCGCTAGAATTTCTTTTCTAGGAGTTTCCAAAACAATCAGTCTCCCACCATGACTTGAAACAAATTTATATTGTCTGTCAGTCCAGCTGAACAATTCCACTGTCTGTGGTTTTATTCAGAAAGAAGAAGTGAAGATTATACTTCTATTGTGTCTCTATAAAGGTAAATCAGTCCTGTTTTATTCTCTTTCCACATTTTTCATTGGTGCATTATAGTTGTACATCATCATGGGAATTGTTGTTTCATATTTGTACATGCACACAATGTAATTTGACCAACATAATTCCCTAACACTTCTCTCATTAAGTAGATTAAGATTTTTATGTTTCAAGGACACTAAGCCTCCTCCTCCAYATCGTTCAAAATCCAAAAGACACAGAGAATATTTAATTTAAAATGTGTTACTCATACACATCTTCCAGCCACCCAGTTTTCTGGTTGCTGACCTTATGTCATATTATTTTTAATGAAATAATACATTTCTGTTGAGGCTGACTTGTGGGGATTTCTGGCTTAGCATAGGTACATTGAGTCAGTTCAGATGAAGAATCCAATAGGCTTGTAAAATTCATGGCTGTCATCCTATTTAGATAAATTCTCTGATATATTGTAGAGAAAGGACCAATTTATACCTTTAATTATTATCGTTATCAGCAAGCATAGTACTGATCACTCACTGGATTCATTGAACAGAGAGCCTCCTGGGAGTTCCAATATTTCTCTTTTTTTTTTTAAAGAGAGAATGAGGGAGAGGGAGAGGGAGAGGGAGAGGGAGAGAGAGAGAGAGAGAGAGAGAGAGAATTTTTTTTAATATTTATTTTTTTAGTTCTCGGCGGACACAACATCTTTGTTGGTATGTGGTGCTGAGGATCGAACCCGGGCCGCACGCATGCCAGGCGAGCACGCTGCCGCTTGAGCCACATCCCCAGCGCTCAATATTTCTCGATTGTCTTTGCTCTACAATCATACTACTAGAACCCTGAGATGATGTGTCTCAAGATATAATATTTGGTGCTTCTTGTCATTTTGATGTTCAGGCAAATGTGGTCCCCCACCCAATCTAAGCTTTGCTTCTCCAATAAGTGTACCGAACCAGACAGAATTCAGAACTGGTGATAGTCTGAGCTATACCTGCCGCCCTGGCTACAGTAAGACAAGTTCAAGTTCGCAAGTTTACTGTGCATATACTGGCAAATGGAACTATGATGTCTTCTGTGTCAGTAAGTATCAATGTTTATTCTGCTTGTTTTGCTTTTTTCCAGCTTTGCAAAACTGTCTCAGGATCAAAACTTCCGGCTGAGAAAACATCCAWTTTGTCAATTACTGGTTTCAATGGGATTCATCTAACCACTTTTGAAAAACAGAACATAATAAAGCAGAAACATTAGGAGTTGGCTGTTTACATTGAAAAAGAATTCCAATTTATAGGAAGTGATTCAACAAGCCCTTCTTTTAAGAAATGAACCACCAACCTTGCTTTGATATGCTGAAAAGTTCAAAACTGTTTTGAAAGTTATAAAAAATTAAGTGGCTAGAAAGTGGTAATGCAGTTGCCAAAGTATTCTCACCCAACATATCTGCTGGGTCTATGGAGATGATTCCCTGTCAGTGGGTGATGCCTCTGTGATGTTTTCCAAAAGAAAGGGCATATGAATTAATACCTTGTCTTTTGGTTTCCTTTTGTAACCAAGGGTTACTAGAGTCYAAGGCCAGAAACCTGACTCCGGGGAACCAATAAATCAGGTCAGGCCACTCTGTCCAGAAAGTAAAGGTGAAAGACAGGCGAGGAACTTTCAGGAAGAGATGGGGCACTCATGTCCTCAGCCCTGTTCTCAAGGGGCTGACAATGACTTTGAGGTTTTATAGAAAGAAAATGAGGGCAAAGGTGGGGTGTCTGAAGAGCTGGAGGTTTTTCACAGCTAACCAGGTGATATTGACCATGTGTGCTCTGGACCATCATTTTCTCAGGATTTGTCAGTGGAGCCATAGCTCTTAGGCATCATGAGATGTTTATCCATCAGACCTGTTTGTTGCTTTTGGAATCCAAGTTGACTCAGAGCAAAGGAGACAGATGCAAAATGGAAACAGAGATGCCAACTCTGTAATTCTGCTTTTAGCCCCCTCTAGGATATTTTCAGGCAAAAGTAAAGTATCTAAGCCTTTGTTACACAAGGACACAGGGTTCTTGGTAAAATGTACCATAAAAAAATGAGATAAAATTTCATGGCATTGTTCCTCCAAATTAAAGTAAGTTGGGTTCAGAAATAAGTATGAATCTTAACATTTGGATTTTTCTGGATGCAGAGGTAGAATTTGATAATTCAATTTTGTTTTCTAATGTGAGATCTTAGAGTCACTAATTATCATTTTAAATTTTCTCTCAGAGAAACGATGCAGTAATCCAGGAGATTTACCTAATGGGCGTGTGGAAATTAAGACAGATCTCACTTTTGGATCACAAATAGAATTCATCTGTTCAGAGGGGTAAGAGTAGTCTGAAAACAATACTTTAAATTAYTATTTTTTCTTGTTTTAAAATTTTATTTATGTATTCTAATTTGTTATATATGACAGCAGAATGCATTTCAATTCATAGTACACTTATAGAGCACAATTTTTCATGTCTCTGGTTATACACAAAGTAGAATGATACTACTCGTGTCTTTATACATGTACTTGGGGTAATGATTCATCTCATTTCACTTCTTTCCTACTCTCCTGCCCCCTCGCTTGCCCTTTCTCCCCTTTGCCCTATCTAAAGTTCCTGCATTCCTCCTATGCTCCTCCTCCCCCATCACTATTATGGATCAGCATCCTCATACCAAAGAAAACATTCTGCATTTGGRATTGGTTTACTTAGCATAATATTCTCTAACTCCATTCATTTACCTGCAAATGCCATGATTTTCTTCTCTTTTAATGCTGAGTAATATTCTACTGTCTAATTTTTAAATTAGAATAGCTAATTAAAATAGCTAATGTGTTCATATATTTCAAATTTTAAAATGACATGAAAAGGTATGCAGTAAGAAGTCTCTTATTCTATCTCCATATACTCCATTTCTTCCTTTCTTCAAGCAAGGATTTACTTTTATTGGTTTCTCCTGTATCTTTCTAGTGTTTCCTTATTCTACTGCAAGCTAAGAAATGAGCATATATTCTTCTTTTCCCTCTTTTCAACCACAAATGTAGTTTTGCATTTTACTTCGCTATTGCACTGATCAGTATATATTGGAAAAATTTCATGTTTATATATAKAGAGTTTCTGCATTAATTTTTGCTTACAACAGTACAGAATTTTATTGTGTAGATGTGTCAAGAGTTARCCCCTTTGATGGATCCATGGGTGTTTCTAGTATTTTGCTATTCTGAACAATGCTCTGATGCATTTACTTATGCATATATAAATTTGTACAAATGTAGTTACACAACACCATTGTGCAGAAGCAATCCAGTTTCCTCTCAGTGGTCAGGATGAATAAGCCCAACCATCATAACCTCCGCCCTTCCTATTTATTCACTTGCATGAGGAGCCAGAATTGACAGGTGAAAACTTTTAGTTTGGAATTGCCAGGTAAAACCCAGGATGCCCAGTTAAATTTCAGACAAATATTTTATTATAAGTATGCTCCATGCAATATTTGGATCACACACTAAAAAAACTGCTGTTTGTATGGCACTCAAGTTTAACTTGAAAAGTAAACATCCTATCTTTCTTTCTTTTCTTTGTTTCTGGTAATTGAACCCAGGGGTACTCTCCCACTGAGCTACATCCCTAGTCCTTTTTCCTTTTATTTTTGATTTTGAGATAGTGTCCTGTTAAGTTGTCCAAGTTGGCCTTGAACTTGTGATCTTCCTGCCTCAGCCTACCAAGTAGCTAGGATTACAGGCTTGTGCCACCTGTCTAGCTATCCTGTCTTTTTATTTACTGAATCCTGGCAACTCTTTTATTGGAACTCTTGCTGTCTATTATGGTACTTCTACCCCCATAGAGAATTTTGCCTATTTCTATTTCAGAATTTACTGAGGATTTAGGGTACATCATGAATATATGGTTGATTTTCATCAATAGCCCACAGGCACTTCAAATGAAGGCATATTTTTATTATATATATTCATATATCTGAAATATACATATTTCAGATCTACTTTTTTGTTTGGTACCAGGGATTGAACCCAGGGTGCTTAACCACTGAGATATATCACCAGTACTTTTATTTTGAGACAGGCTCTTGCTAAGTTGCTTAGGGTTTTGCTAATTTGCTGAGGCTATTCTTGAACTTGTGGCTCAGCCTCCAAAGTCACTGGCATTACAGGCATGTGCCCATCTCAGATCTATTTTTTTGATATTGGCTTTTTTGAATCTTTTGTTAGGCCTTCTTTTTATATGCCTTATTGTCTTTATTATTGATTTGCTTTTTTTTTTTTTTTTTTGAGAAACGGACTCCTTATATTGCCCAGGCTGGTCTCAAACTCACAATCCTCTGTCTCAGCCTCCAGAGTAGCTGGGATTATAGGCATACACCAGTCTACACTAGGCTCTTTATATACTTTAAACAGAAATATAGGAATTAAAGTAAATTAATAACTTTTGTAACTATATTATAAAATAATAGTATAAGTAAATTAATGATAATTAATAGCATAGCTTGACTGTTTTGCTTATAGCCCATGTATTTTTGTTTATTAAAATGGCTACCATATATTTTGGTACATAGAGGTTTTTTTGGGGGGGGGCATGGATTGGACTCAGGGGCACTCAACCACTGAGCCACATCCCTAGATTAATTTTATATTTTATTTAGAGAAAGGATCTCACTGAGTTGCTTAGCACCTTGCTTTTGCTGAGACTGGCTTTGAACTCAAGATCCTTTTTCCTCAGCTTCCCAAACTGCTGGCTCATGTTGCTCTACATGAGGAAAAAAATCTTCAAAGTTATAAAGTACCTGTCTTTGTATGATTTAATCATTTTAGTTCTGATGTCTGTTCTATGGGATGTTAAAAATTATTATCTCTTTTTTTGGTTTGCATTTACTTTGCCCTTCCTTAACATGTTTGAAATATTTATAGGTTTGTCTCCTGTATGCAACATAGAGTTGAATTTAGTTCAAACTAAAACCTATTTTTTCTTTCAGTAAGATACTGAAGCGCAATTACATTTATTGATATGAGTGATGCCTATAAACTTGGTTTTGTCATACTATTTCATGTATGGTGATATATGTATGTAGGCATGTGTACATTTATTTGTTATTTAAAATATGGAAAGATATAGATATGATATTTAGGAAGGTTTGAAATTTGGATCTAGTGGCTATCTTTAAAATTTATATTTATGTATCATTATTCCAGTTTATCTTGAGGCAGTTTAAATTTATTACTTGAAAGCAACAATAAATTTGCATTCTCTCCTCCCTTCTTACCCCTTCTGTCTTTACCAGTAAATTTGTTATTCATATATCTTATTACTTATTTTGTATTTAACATTAGAGTCAAATACAATTATATGTCTACAGGTTGATTTCACTCCTAACTCTTGGAGATGAGGCCATGAGGAAATGTGTTTTTCTTCTATTCTCTTCCTCATCTCTTATTTTTGACAGTTTTAGCATTCTACTGCTGTCTCAGCATATAACATTTATATTTCACTTAATAACTCTTAGCCCCATCTTGKATTTTGTCTTTGATCCAATGTTCACTACCATTTTGTTTTGATTTGTTTCCATTTTTGGCTAAAGTTGCCCCTGTTGTCTCTTGATTGTCTAGAGTTGGTCCTGTAGTGGTTTCCTAAAAACTGAAACAAAATAACCTGTGCCCCACCCCCACCCCCCAAAAAGTGCAAATTATTCCTTGACCTATTGTAGGTTTTAGTGTATCAGAAGCATGGACACTTCAGAGATAGTGTGGCTGGATATAAGTACTTTCCAGCTAGACACAGTGGCATGCAATCTGTAATTCCAGTAATTAGGGGGGTTGAGGTGGGAAGATCGCAAGTTCAAAGGCCAAGTCTCTGTAACTTGGTGAGCTCCTTTCTCAAAAACCAAACCAAAACAAGCAAGCAAACAGAAACTCAACCAAACACACACACACACACACACACACACACACACACACACACACACACCACAGGGGGGAAAAAACAACACCACAGAGCTGGAGACTTAGCTCAGTGGGAGTGTCCCTAGGTTCAATCCCTAGCATTAAAGTACTTTCATTTCTTGGATATCCTGTAGGTACTGCAGCAATATTTTTTAGTGGCAAATGATGCTGTAGAAAACTCAGATGCTGACCTCAATTTCTTTCTCTTCTACGCACCTTGCAAATTTACTATCCAAAGGTATTCTTAAACTTTGAAATCTAATAATTTTCTTCTTAGCTGTTTTGATAAAGACCATTGGTTCAATTTTTTTTTTTGCTGCTGATTTGAAATTTTACTATGTAGATCAGAGTGTTATTTTAATATTATTTACTTGAAATGAATTTAAAAATAGCTATTTTCCTCTCCAATAAAGCATGCAATGATTCTCCTTTGCTTGTCACCTCTATTTATTATTTTTTCTCTAATCTTCTTTCTGTGGTTATTTCACTTTGGTTGGTGTTTCATTTCCATCCTGCTTTCTGCTTGCCCTGTTGTATATGGCTACCAAGAGGGAAAGTGAAAAGATTGAGAACTAAGGTGCTATTGAAATACTGAGTTGCTCCTATCAAAATAACCAGAAACAGTAGTTTTCACTTGATTAGAAAAACTACATTTAAAAGCAATTTTAAAGTAATTGCTAAATTCTAGCTATATTTTGTTTCTATTAAAAGATACATTTTATTTTAAGTCCATTCCAGGGGCTATCCTAGGCTGCTAAAGAATTGACCTCAAGATTCCATCACATTGGAGGTTTATTTCTTGATGATGCTACAATGTAAAATCACACTAAAAATGCCTTTCCTCCTGTTATCATAAGACATAGAGGAAAGTCAARTTGAAGAAAGATTAGGACTTGTCAAGAGCCATAAAAATGGGGGTAGTGTGCAGTGAGTTGATAGTGTGTGAAAAGAAAGCCACACATCTGAAGTCAGAGGCATCCTGCAAACCAGAGATGGTGAGTTTTACTCTCAAAGAAAACCATAGAACTCACTCAGATGATTCTTTTTGTTGTTCTACTTAAGCTCTGGATGAACTGCAGACTTGATACCTAATAGATACTAAATACTCAATACTAAAGAATAAAAGAACAAATGAATAAACACACACATCTCATCACAGTGATGAAATTTTACCAAGTGGAGTATTCTCTGGGAATATCCAAGAAAACTTTATTTATTTATTTTAATATTAAGTAACAGATTCTCTCTGTTCAAATCCCTTTATCTAATTTAATTTCATACAGGAAGAATTCCATTAAAGTCTTCCATCTTTTCTTATCTAGATTTGTCTTAAAGGGTCCAACCACTAGTTATTGTGAAATCCAAGATAAGAGAGTTGCCTGGAGTGACCCTTTCCCTGTATGTTTAAGTAAGTAAAGGTATTTCTGACTTGACTATAAGCTTAAATTATGTTATGGAATAATAATGCATTTTTACTGCCTCTTGGGAGGTATGAATTGGCAGGAATTTTAGCTTTGTCCTGATGCCTTGCTGAATATTCCTTTCTCTTCATTCCCTTATCCCAGTTGTCACRTGTGAACCCCCTCCAGATATCAGCAATGGGAAGCACAGTGGTAGCGATGAAGACCTCTTTACATATGGCTCCTCTGTCACCTACACCTGTGACCCCAACTTCTCACTCATAGGGAATGCTTCCATTTCCTGCACGGTAGAGAATAAAACAGTAGGCGTCTGGAGCCCAAGTCCTCCTACTTGTGAAAGTAAGTGAATTTAGCCTTAAATTGTTTGTTTTTTTTTTTCCTAAAGAAAAAGGAAGCTGAATTTATTGGGGAAATGAAATGATTCAAAGAAACTAATGATTGCACTGAGGCAGTCCTTTATTTGATCAATAGATACTTGCTGCATGCTCTACTAGGATATAGCACAAACAACACCAGTATCTCATTGGTTTGGTAAAGTAAAAGTTTTTCTTCATTCATTCGGAATCCATTGCATGTCCAGGAGGCTCCTCAGGATCGCTGTAGCCCATACATTAGCTTAGTAACCAGCTCAACAGTTCTGGTTACTTTGATCCAATGGCACCCCCTATCAAAATGTGCTTTCACAATCTCTTAAGCCGAGGAAGAAAGAATATAGTTGTATCCTGGTTATTAGAGCTTTGGCCTCAAAGTGACCACATATCACTTTCCATATTGGCCTTACAACTGGTGTTGTGCAAATACTACCTGGCCTCAGAGGAGTAGGGCATGAAGTCTTTTTGTCTTTTCAGAAAATATAACAAGAAATATTGGTTAGCACCTACAATGTCAACAATATGTGCCTATAGAACAAAAAAACCCTACTAAATACAGAAGGTATAACAAGACAAAGAAAATGATAATCAAGCTGGGAGATATCATATGGTATTGTTAGTTTGCTGACCAAAGGCATCTTCCATAACCATTCAGTGCTTATACAGTATCACTTATTATTCTTACTCAGTACGAGATGCAATCAATCCTGGGGATGAGAGAGCAGGATAGTACAGAGTTCAAGTGTCTGAGTCAGGACTGTAAGATACATAGAAGGCAGGAGCTGAGGCCGAAAAAGTCAGCAGGGGTCATATTATAAAGGAGCTTGTGTCTTGCTCTAAAGAATGTCAAAGTAGTGTTTTGATGAAAATGTTGTCATCAAAAGATTTAAAGAAGAACTAATTCATGTATTTGACAAACATGATGGTGCCTTGAAGAATACAGACTATCTCAGTCAACTCAAAGACAACAGCAACATAATTCTGCTGGGAGAGTCTGAAGGAGATTTAAAAATGGCAGATGGGGTAGTCAATGTTGAACACATTCTGAAGGTTGGTTATCTAAATGATAGAGTAGATGAACTTTTAGAAAATACATGGACTCTTACGATATTGTTTTGGTARAAGAAGAATCACTGGAGGTTGCCAACTCTATTTTACAGAATATTCTATAAACAAGCATTTTTCAAGAAGACCTCTCCCATGGGTACAAATAATACAAGATTTACTCATCTGTCCATCTAGTTGAAAGACTTTTATTTATAATATATTCTTGCTCTTGAAGTTTTCCCTTTACATAACTGAAATATTTTCAGACATGTTGAATCCATCTTCTGGAAGCTCCTTTTCCCCACCTCTTTCAATATACTCTTCATCATAAAAATAAAAAAGAATTCAGAATGAAGGTGAAGGGGAGATAAAAGGTTTGAACCAGGAGAGTAAGTGTTCTATATTTTAGAAAGATAACTGTTACCTGAAGGATGGACAATAACTTGAAGTGAGACATAAGTTGACCAATAGGCACTTATTATGATTTGAATGTGTTCATCCGACTTCATATTGGAATTTAGGCCCCAGTGTAATGGTACTAAGAGATGGGGCCTTTTGGGAACTGATTAGTACCATTTTAAAAGAGAGGAAAGGAAGCTCCCTGGTCCTTTTAGATCTTTTGTCACATGAGGACTCAACCTTCGTCCTTTTCTTCATGAGAGGATGCAGCACAAAAGTCACCATTTTGGAAATACACCGAAAACCCTTATCAGATAGTAAGGCTGTCAGTGCCCAGGTCTTGGGCTTCCCAGTCTCCAGATATGAGGAATTTTTATTGTTTAGGAATTACTCAGTCTGTGGTGTTTCGAACTAAGACTGCTTAACCATACAGTCAGTGTGGCTTCAACTATAGCAGTGGCTGCAGCCCTGGAGAGAAGTTGAGGGATTATAGAGGAGKTAATGTGTCTGTATTGATAGGATTTGGATAACTGACTAGAGATAGGAGAGGGATGGGGGGGATGATCTTTACTATGCTTGTTGGGGCATGGAGCTCTGGCCACCTACCTCTTCATGACCATCACCAGATCATTACTATGGTGATTATTACACTGACCTACAGATCATTACACTGACCTACAACCCAAATTATCTGAGAAAATTAGACCTCACAGATATATGTCTTCTGAGTTACCTATAACTAATCTTTATTAGTAAATTGAAGGACTTATTCACGATCATCTCATAGAAGGACTAGTATGATGGGACCTCATTTTACTGAGGCTTTGAAAAGCTGAAATTACATGCACGTGCACACACACACTCATTTAAAAATATTTCCTTTGTATCTATATGACATATTAGGTATTTGTGTTACTAACTGGATTAGTAGTAGCAGTAACATTCTTATTGCTGTTTAACCTTTAAAATCTGCTTGATTTTTTTCTCATGATTTTTTTTAGATATCAACTGTCCTGCACCAGTTGTTCCACATGGAATCATCATCTCTGGATTTGGACCAACCTATTCTTACAAAGATTCTATAGTGTTTGGCTGCCAGAGAGGTTTTAACCTTAAAGGCAGCAGTTCAATCCATTGTGAAGCTAATAAAAAATGGAATACTTCTCCTCCCATCTGTGAGCCCAGTAAGTATGGACCATGAAGGAATTTCAGTGTTTGGCATCTAAAGGTACCCAGAAATGTCATTGTGAGCATACTTGTATATCTAGACTCATTTTGAATCCCAGAAAAAAAATTTAAATTTAGATTAATAATTTTCTTCATTTTTTTTTCTTGTTGGAAAGAAAAATGAGTATAGTATACTCTGCAATGCCTACATCACCAGAGAAGGCTGCCATAGATATTTGTGCAGGTCATGACTGTTCTAGTCTGAAGGGGAAGCATTCACATTGTAAACATGATGGATTGGTTATATATATTTCAACACTTCTTTAAGTTGGTAGAAAACTTATCTTATTTTAGCAAAGTCATTACATTATGATCATTACTTTGAAAGATAAGCAATAAAGTATCCTGAGGAAAGATACCTTTTCTAACTTGCAAAAAAAGGTGTTGTATGAATGAGCTGATTCTGATTCTGTGAAATTCTAAATTCATGTGGATCATTATAAATAGTGATATCCTGAAATAGGAGGGAGACCAGTAGCACAGAGGAAAGGGACTAGAAAGGAGGATGAGAGGTACAGGGGAATGAAATTGACTAAATTATATTGTTATATATGTGCATATATAGAAATATATATTCACAAATCCTACTATTGTGTGTACTTACAATACACTAATTAAACATATATTTTAAAAATAGTGATAAGAGTAAGTAGTAGTCTTAGTGCATAATAAGAGTTATGTTTAATGAATCCTCCCAACAGTTATGGGCACTCTTATCCTCATTTTACAGAAGAGGAAACAGATCAAATGACTTGCCCAAAGATTATAAAACTGGTAAGAAAGTCATTAATGCGTTGTGCTGTTAGTTTTGATTTACTGAAACGTCAAAAGCCTTACTCCGGGGACTGCTGAAACAGTGGTGTTAGGAGTTAGACTACTTCTCAGAGTGGTATTTATTAAGCTCTTAAAAATTAGCAAAGGAAACCACTCAAGGTCTCTTAGAGATTGTTCAAAGGATTTACAACCAATTGAGAATCATTTATTCAGCAACTCTGTACAAACAGACTTGATACAAACAGTGGTGGGCCATTACATTAGAACTAAGAACGGCTCTCAGCTCCCTAAATCACCACTTTGGAGAACTGCTTTGGTGGGCTGACAATGGCAATTCCCATCTCTTCCAGTGTCCTGGAGGTAGAAGGTTATTTGGAGTGGACTAGATTTAGCAGCTCTTCAACATTGTGCATTTTCCAAAGTCCTATGCTGGGAAAGGTTTATCTTAAATAGGCTCCAGCATCCACATGTCATAGTCAAAATGTTGAAGTCAAGGATAAAGAGAAAATATTGAAAATAGCAAAACAGAAGAAACAAACATGTCATATACAATGACCCCAATAAGATTTACATCTGACTTCTCATCAGGAATAGTGAAGGCTAAATGACAGTGAGATGATATATTCAAAATGTAGAAAGAGAATATCATTAGCCAAGAATCTRGCAAAATATTTCATGTCTATATTTGTTAGAATTCCTATAGTACACTGTTATAATTATTGATTAAAATTTTTTACACTTCATATTTTTGATGGTAGAGGAGAAAAATAAAGGAACACAAGTATATATTTATAGAATTTATTACATTAATCTTCTTTGCCATTTTTGGATTTCTYCTTTTCTTCCTGTGGCTTCAAGTTACCACCTGGTATTGTTTTTATTCTCCAATGCAGCTTTGTTCACACCTACCACCCTTGGGTTATTGTCTAATGTACTCCATTTCTGTATGTTATAGACTTAATAATGCACTTATTTATATATTATTTTATGCAAGTGCCATTTAAATCAGTTAAAAGAATAAAGAAGATGAAATATGCAATTACAATTGACCCTTTGTATCTACAGGTTCCATAGCTAGGGATTCAACCAACTGTGGCTTGAAAGTATTTGAAAAAAAAAATTGTCCGCACTGAACATGTACAGACCTTTTTCCTTATTAGTATTCCCTAAACAATACAATATAACAGTATTTACATTGTACTAGGTATACAACTAGGAAAGAGATAAAATTATTTTAAGTATACGGGAAGAAATTCTTAGGTTTTATGTAAATAGGACAATATTTTATATTAGGGATTTGAGCATCTGCAGATTTGGGTACCCACGGGGAGTCTTAGAACCAATCTTCTCGGACACCAAGAGATGATTTCATATGTTCTTTATAATTACCAACACAATTTTGTTGACCTTTTTGGGTGCTCATTGTTTTCCTGCATGGATTTAGATTACTGTCTGGTGTCACTTGCTTTCAGTCTAAAGAATTTTCTCTATTATTTTTGTAAGAATGGTCCTCTCTCTCTAGCAACAACAGTTATCACTTCACATCCATTAGAATGGCTACAGGAAACAAATAGGCATTCTCACTAACATTTGTGGAAGAATTAGAACTCTCATATACTACTGGTGTGAGTGCAAATTGGTGCAGCCATTTTAGAAAACAGTTTTGACAATTCCTCCAAAATTTTAAGTATATAGTTACCATGTGATCCAGAAATTACTTTCTTGGGTATCTACCCAGGAGAAATGAAAACAGATGTTCACACATACAAAAAAAATTTTACAAGAAGGTTCAGAACAACATTATTCAACATAGCAAATCAACCCAAGTGTTCATCAACTGAATAAATAGTGGCACATTCATACAATGGAATATTATTTGACAATAAAAATGAAGGGCTGACACATGCCACAACATAGATGAACACTAAAAACTTTACTCAAAGTAAAATAAGACACACACACACACACACACACACACACACACACACACCACATTGTATGAACCATTTATTTGAAATGTTCAGAATAGGGAAATCCATTGAGAGGAAAAGTAGAGTCATGTTTGACAGAACCTGGTGAAAGGTGGGACTTGAGAGTGACTGTTAATTAGATGTTTTTTTTTGTAAAAATGTCCTGATATTAGATAGTAATGATGGTGCACAATTCTGTGAATATACTAAAAATACATTGRATTTCCCTTTCTAAAGGACCTTAGTCTACATGCCATTTCAAATGTTTGAAGATAAAATGTAATAAACACCTAACTTGGTAGATACTTGGATTATCTGTCCATATCATTTGAATCAGCAATGTCAGGAAAGGGAAGAGGCTAGGACTCAGGGCTCAGGCYCAAAAAATGTCTAGTGAAGTTCATTAATGACAAAGTTCCTGGTGTTGTCTGAATGAGAGAATTTCTCTACTTTGTTTGTTTATTGCTCATTAATTTTTTTTCAGAAAATTATATGTTCTAACATTTGATGCATATATATTTAAAACCATTTTATCTTCTTGATGAATTATAATCTTTATCAACATGTAATGAACTCCTTTGTCTCTTTTGACGTATTTTGGTTTGATGTCTATTTTTTTTCAGCTATGAATGTAGCTATTTCTGTTTGCTTTTGGATTCTATTTGATTTAAATACCATTCTCCATCCTCTCACTTTCAGTCTGTATGTTTTTGGTAGTTAATTGAGTTTCTTTAAGAAATTAAACAGTTGGGTCTTGTTTTTAAATCCATTTGTTTAGTCTGTGTCTTTTAATTGGAGAATTCAGACCAATTATGTTCAGGGGTATTATTGAAAAATGTGCACTAGTTCCTATCATTATGCATCTGTTGGGATGAATGTCTTTTCCATATGAGGTTCTAAATGCTTCTACTAGTTGGATGTCAACAATATTGCCTATATTTGAGAAATTTTATGCTGTTAATTCACCTACTATGTCTTCTATGCAATTAGCCTATAATTTTATTCTCTCCCTTTAAACTTGTGATTTGAATATTTGGTGTCTTAATTTTGTCCCAGGACCTATATGTTCTATTCACTGTTTCTTATTTTTTCTTTACTTTTATCTGAATTTGCCAGTGTATTCACTTTGTCTTTAAACCCTGATAGTCTTTTWTCTACTTCATCTAGTCTATTGTAAGACTTTCAGTTGATGGGGTTTTTTTTTGTGTGTGTGTGTGTGCTTGGGGATTTGAACCCAAGGCTTCATGCATGCCAGGCAAGCATTTTACTACTAAGCCACATCTCCAGCTCCTCAGTAGAGATTTTTGAGCTTTTCATTTCCAAGATTTCTATTTGGTTCTTTTTCAGAATCTGTCTCTTTATTGAATTATTCTTTCATATCTTGCATTGTCTTCCTTAATTCATTCTGCTATTAATTTGTATTTTAAAATCACTGATCATTTTATCAATCAGTCTTCCAAATTATGTGACATTTCATCCATTTCAATCTTTGGATTCAGTTACTAGGGATCTTTTGGAATAGTAATATTGCCTTGTGTTTTCATATTTCTTGTATTTCTGGGTTGAGATTTATGCATCTKTTGGGATGAATATCTTTTCCACTTTTATGTGAGAATCTTATTAGTGAGCAACTTTCCCTTAATGATATGACCTGGGATGTTGGCTTGTTGTGTAGTGTTGAGTTTAATTCCAAATGTACTTCATATTTTCCCTGTGGCTTCTTAATCTGTGCTTAGTTAGTAGCACTGTGCAGTCTGAGAGGGTTTGGAAGCAACCTGTCCCCAGTAAAACACACACACACAAAGATGGTTTGTGATGATATTGCCTGATATGAGACAAAACATCAGAACAGAATAAAACATGTCTGCACATTAAGAGATTGCCTGACACTACAATGGAGGCCAATAGGCACGCTCAATACCTTCAGTGTCCATTCTGTTATTCTRTAGAACTGCTCCTCCATTCATGCCTCCACAAAATTTGGAGTCATATTGGCAGGAAAAGCGGTTTTATTCAAAGCTGGCTTTGAATGAAAATAGAAGATACCTTTGTTTCAAATTTCCCTCTTTGGAAAACTTAAGGGCCAGGAAAGTTGACACAGCCACATCAGTGTTCATAGCAGCTCAATTCACAATAGCTAAACTGCGGAACCAACCTAGATGCCYTTCAACAGATGAATAGGTGAAGAAACTGTGGTATGTAGACACAATGCAATATTACTCAGCATTAAAAGAGAATAAAATTATGGCATTTGAAGGTAAATGGATGGAGGTGGAGAATATCATGTTAAGCGAAGTAAACCGATCCCCCTCCCCCCMMAAAAAACAAAGGCCAAATGCTCTCCCTGATAAGTGGATGCTGATCCATAATGGGGTGTGAGGGGCTATGAGAAGAATGGAAGAACTTTGAYTGGGCAAAAGGGAGGGAGGAGAGGGGAGGGGATATGAGGGTAGGAAGGATGGTGGAATGAGATGGATATCATTACACTAGGTACATGGATGACTGTACATATGGTGCAACAACCCTACATCATATACTACCAGAGAAATGAAAAGCTGTGCTCATTTGTGTACAATGAATTGAAATGCATTTTGCTATCGTGTATAACTAATTAGAACAAATAAAAAAAATTTAAAGGGGAAAAGGCAGCAAAGTTGGACAAAAGGCAGATTCATATGCAGATTTACTTAGGTGATGAGACAAAGAACACGCCAGTGAATCAGGCCAGGATAGAGGGCATCTCCCTTCTTAGCTTCCTTGGCATCCCCAGAGTAAGATTCCCTCCAGTTTTTACTCTCAGTATGAGGAAATGCAAGATGCAGAAAAACAGTTAATGGGAAATGAGAAGTTGCTTTTAATTTTAAAAGACAGCAGGCAGACAGAGTTGGATCTCCTCACCTGCCTCTAGAAGACAGATCCTGATTCCTTGCCCAATATTCTTACCTCAGGAGGATACAAAGGAGACTTTGTCCAGTTTCATTGGTAGGAGAGGTGCCGCCTCTACTTGYGGGAACCAGGGAGGGGCCCACAGATAGGTTAGGTAGATGCTATTTTATGCATCTCAGTGAAATTGACAAAAAAAAAAATGGAGAAAATGTCTCCTTCTACCCATCTAATAGCATTAGGTCATTTTAGAGGTGCTGGAATTACGGTGTGCACCTGTGCCTGGCTCCAGTTCCATTTAAAGTCCTTATTTCTACTAATTAATGAAAAATTATAACTCTGTATCAGTTATTATTATTTCTAAAAGGAAAGAATCTGAATAGCTATTTTTTAAAATTTTACATCAGAAAAGAAAAAATTCTTTTTTATTGCCATAAGCAATAATATCAATTTATATCTATGGATGAACTGTCTGGTGGATATAAACTGTTGAGAACTTTCTTCTTCGCGTCTGGAGAAGTGTTAAGCGGAGAACTTAATTATGATGTAACCCCAGGGAAGTCAGTAAGTGGATGTTATTTGTCGTTGTTCTTGAATAATTTTGAAAATTTATGTTTTTCACACAGGTTTGTTACAACTTCTCCTTTGGAGGCTCCTAATGAGAATGTTTTGTTGGAGGGAAATGACTGGATTAGAATTCTTTAGCAATCAGGGMCAGGGAACACATACTTGGAACATTTTGAGTCTCTCTTGTTTCCCCAGCATCTCTTCAGTACTAAGATCCTTCAAAGGTAGAAATGAGGTTGTTAGCCATAGGAGCTTCTTCACGGTGCTTTTATTAACTGTTATCTTCAYTTTTTATTTTTTATAAGTATGTTGCCCAGTACCAGAGCTGGCGAATGGTAAAATCATTCACCCTAAAAGATACCACCCTACCAACAAGTGTTCTTATGGCTACAAAGACCAACTTTCATACACGTGTTATGGGCGACAGTTTTCAGCTACATGTGGATCAGATGGCACATGGAGTCCCCGAACACCATCATGTGACCACGGTAAGAACTTAAAGAGTCATGTTATTTAGGGAGTGCCTTTATATCACTATGATGGAGATTATTATGAGAAGGTTTAAAATTAGGTAAAAGAATCATATGCCCCACATTCCATGGAGTGGATCCAGGTTTCCCTTTCTCTCTGACCCTCCTGTGTTGTTCCAATGCTCTTGGCCTTCTCAATTTCCTTTTCTTTTTTGATTCAGTAAAAACAGATCACATCTAATAGATAAATTGAACTTCTCAATGACTGTTTTTTGTTTCTTTGTTTACATTCCTTTTTCTTCATTTCTGATGTGTATATATCTTAATCTGTAAAATAAGACCTGCCTAAACCTTCCTGAACTTTCTTTTTTCTTCTGCCTCAACAGCCATCCTCTGGCTAYGCTCTCCTGTCAGTCTGTCATCCCCTGTGAGATGCCTTCTTCTCCCTGATGGAGGGGCACTCTCTGTGCTAAACACATTCCTCCCTTCCCTCATTGTGTTTGATAGCCTTAACTATTGATGCTTAGGAACGATGACCTCAGTCAGGATTGTGATTCTTTTTCTTTCCTCCTGAGCAAGAGGGTTTTAGAAGCCCCAAAGACGCCAGACATTAGTTAAAGCTTATAAATCAATGAGAAAATTACTTTCTCCCCTGTTAGACATGTTCAAGCAAGTGGGTCATTTAGAGTAATAGTAAGCTGGGCCGCTGATGCCTTCCCTCCCTTGGCTTCTGGACYCCATGCATTTATTTAACTGGGGACCCGGCGCTATATAAAGATGGATCTTGGGTTCAAAGTGAATTCTGGAAGATGGTGCCTATCCCTGTTCAGTGTTGCCTTTCAGGCCATCCCAATGTTCTAACAAGCCAGCAGGTTCTGGGTGATCTACTATGTGTTTGGAGTAGTGATTCCATGACCACGGTACTAATGCCACACCCTTTTTCTCTTTTAATTGCTATGAATGGGTCTTCTAGTTGGATGTAGAGAATCCTATGTGTAGACCCCACTATACATCTCTACCCTTTTAGTTCTCAAATAGGATCTAGGAGCCAAACTGACATGAGACCAGAAGAAAAACATTTTTATTTTATTTTCGCCTTCATAAAAGTGAAGACCTGGAAGAAGAGCCGATGCAGGAAATTTTACAGTTTTTAGAAACAGATCAATGGGTTTGTGAAGAAATGACATTACAGAGCCATCTGGACTAAGGGTTGTAAATTCTAGGGAAGTTGTTAGGAGCTATGTAGGGGGTTTAAAGCTAGTAGAAGATTAGGTTTATGTTTGAGAGTTTATTGTACAGATTCATTGCAGCAACAAATTTTATTCTCTGGTGATAAAGATTATTCTCTTGTGCTGGTATGGGGAAGGCATGTTCCTCAAAGAAAGTGTGTCAGAGAAGATGGAAGGACAGAGTGAATCCTTCTACAAACCACACATATCCCGGGATGTGCTCTCTCACACACTTACTCTCTCTTACTTTAGTGCCTCACCATCAAAATTGCAATTTCCCACCTACCATTGCCCACGGACATCATAAACCATCTTTTCATATATATAAAACTGAGATTGTGTATGAATGCGATGTAGGATACCAACTGGTTGGAGAAGCAAAACTCTCCTGCTCCTATTCTCAGTGGTCACCTGAACCTCCTCAGTGCAAAGGTAATTCAGCTCCCTCCTCAACCCATGACAAATGCTGGTGGAACTGTTAGGAGAAGATCAAGAGCAAAGATGTTCCCTTCAGAGGCAGCACTAAAACACTTGATCTGATTTCATTTATTTTAAATAATTAACATATGCAGGTGGTACACCATGCAAAAAGCATAAAAAAATGGACACAAAAATTCCTGCTCTCTACTTCTTTCTCCCAGTCACAAAATTCAGCCTTCTTGAGGTAGCCCCTATTCCTGGTTTCTTGTAAACATTTCCACAACTGTCCTAGGAGCATCACATTTTAAGGAGTATTACCTGCAGGCTCTATAAAATCTTCAAGGAAACTTGTTTTAGCATAAATGTAGGCTCTCCTAGGGTAATTTCAAATTGAATGGATGGACAGATATTTCCATCAGAGTCATGTGCAGAGTGCTGCCTGCTATAATTAAATGGTGTGTATGAAGGGGATTCCTCATGCCAACCTATCTGGAACAGGATAAATCAAGATTGGGTCTGATTTTTACATGTATACAACAACAATAATACTATATTTATAATAATTTAGAATGTATTTTGCAACATTGTCTCCATAGCACACAGGAGGCACAGGATAAAAGAAGAAAAACTCCATGCCTAGCATCTTGCAGCAATCCTGTCTGTGGGTGAGAGTTACTCTGCTAGCTGAGAATCTGGAGTCACATCCCCTTTAAAAAAATATCCTGTCATGTTATTTAAAATGTGATGACCATGGACAAGTTCCTTACCCTCTCAGTATCTAACCTTTCTCCCAGATAACAGCACTCACTTTAGAGGATTATCGTGAGAGTTGAGATAGCCACATAAAGTGCTTAGACCATCATGCTCAATAAAGCTGTTAACCAATATATATAATTTTTTTCTTTTTGTTACCAGGGATTGAACTCAGAGGCACTTGACCACTGAGCCACATCCCCAGACCTATTTTTTATTTTGTTTAGAGACAGGGTCTCACTGAGTTGCTCAGCACCTCACTTTTGCTGAGGTTGGCTTTGAACTCAAAATCCTCCTGCCTCAGCCTCCTGAGCCACTGGGATTATAGGCATACACTACTACCGCCTTGCCCAATATTTTTGTTATCAAAATGAAATATAGAACAATTAGCAGCTCCTAAATGTAATTCATTCTTATTGTCTTAGACTATTGCCATGTTTTTTCTTAGATTTACAGATTGCCTAAAAATATGTTTCCATTATAGCTACCTGTCAGAAACCAGAGATTACAAATGGGACTCTGTCTGTGAATAAGTATCAGTATCTTGAAATGGAAAGTATCACTGTTCACTGTGACTCTGGCTTTAAAGTGGTGGGTAGCCAAATGATCACTTGCTCAGAGGACAAAGCCTGGCACCCGGCAGTGCCCAAGTGTGAGTGGGTAAGTGGCATAATTCAAGGAAATTCTGTGCCATCAAACTGTAAAAATGGTGGTCCCCACCAAGCTCTCTCCCCGACAATGATGGTGACATTTGATTTTCAGGATTCATTTCTCAGTCTTTCAACCAAACTTTCTCTTTTTTCCTTAAAGCACCCTTAGAGGTGGTAAGTTTTCCTGTTCTTCCTTGAGAGCAACATAAACAGAGCCCATGAGAGAACTGCTATCTCCTGCTGCCTCTTCTCGCCTTTACACAGAATTCTGGGATGAGGGGGAACTAGCCTCTTTGACTTAATTTCCCCAAATGCACTGCAAGAAGGCCAGGGTGGCATAGTACTGAAAAAAGTAGAATAATTAATGGGCCCCAATTAAGTGTGTTTTTTTTTTCTATCTGTGTGGGTTCTTCTACCTTTAAGTTGGTCAAGGAGCTTGGTCCTAGACTTAGCCCTTCAGAAGTTACTACACAGCCCCTGAAGACCTGATGCACAGAGGTAGGGGTGAACCCAAATGGAGGTTACAGGGAAGTTCAAACTTAAGGGCTGAAAGGGCACAGCCGATTAGAAGATCTTGGAGCAAACCAGTAGGGCTGGTACTTTTCCAAGACCTGATTAGTATAGGTATTGATCGATCGATGCTCCTCCCCAGTAGCTATATAAATCCCTAACCCAGTACATTTAAATGGCAGCCCGGTATAGAGGCCTCTCTTGTCCTGCTCTCTCTTTTCTTCTTAAACAAATCCTACTCCTTTCCCTCTTGCCTTCCTCTGTTGTCTGTGGATTTCAGTCTTCAAATTTGTGAGACAAGAACCTGGAAAGAAACCTGTAGTTAGCTGATGTAGTCTGCTGAGACACTGGAGGCATAGCCTGCCACAGAGAACTGCAACTGTGCCACTTGGTAATAGCAGAAAAGAATCCAGTTTTGCTGGCTGTGACCCTCAGGCTGATGCTGCCCAGCATCCCCTGCTGTGATTTGCTGCTAACACTAAAATGGGCTTTTACTGACCACAGAAGACTACCCCTTAAGCACATCCAGTCTATCAGCAAAAGTGGAAAATCTAGTTTGGTCTCGTACTGATGCTTACTTTTCTACATCATATAATACACTCTTCTATTTCTACATCATATAATATACTCTTCTATATTATACATCATATAATATACTCTTCTATTGCTGAGTGGTCAACAGGGTACCCTAACCCTCATGGAAGTCTTCTGAGCAGCTATCTCAGAACAGACAATGATCTGAGGAAAACTTTGGGGGGCTTCAGATTTCTGGTTTTCTCTGGTCAACCACAAATCTGAAGCTGGTCTTGGTCCTTGTCTGGAGCCCTCCATCTTCAGGGTGCACCTCCTCCATGATTTGGAGAGAAGAGGCTCCACCACACCCACTACCTCTCTCTCTTTCAGGAATTCCAGGAAGGGTGCAATCAAGTATACACAGGAAAAAAACTCTTGCAGTGTCTCCCAAACCCAGCAGATGTGAAAATGGCCCTGGAAATATCTAAGCTATCCCTTGAGATTGAATTACTAGAACTACAACTAAACAAGGAAAGACAAACTAGTATAGAAACAACACCATAATGTTGCCCAGAGGAGGGAGAAGAATATGCCTACCTGGCTCGCTGCCTTCAATGCCRCGCAGATCCTTTCAGTTTAGCAACTCTTTTGTCACTTTGGCAACAATATTCATGGTAATAAACATCTAGAAGGGATAGTTCACAGCTTTGAGATTACAGAATTATTGATCATCTTGTGGCTTAGAATTTTGCTTTTCTGGATGTAAAGTACATTTTATTTTCAATTAAAAAGTTTCATGTCAAAATCTATTTTGTCTTTGTGGTCATTTAGTACTCCATGAAATGAAGATCGTAAACAAACCTATTACATAAAATTAATACATTTACTTTTACTGTATGGACTGTAAAAAAGATGCACTTGGGTTGATACCCACATGTCCCTGGACTCCACATGGGCACATCTTTCCCAAAAGAGATTGAAAAAGGTGCTTGRCTCACTTGCTGCCTTTCAATTCAGTGTGGATCACTTCAGCTTAGCAATCCTACTATGTCTTTGACACCAATATTCGTGAAAACAAATATTCGTATATCAAAACTACTTTGTCTTGGTGGTCATTTACAATAATAATAAATGAGGGTCCCAAACAATACAATTACACAACTTAATGTTTTTATTTACTGTGTAGACAKAAGAAATATGTAGTTGGGTTCACACCCACATGACCTTGAACTCCACAGTTCCACTCAGGCCTCCAGAGCAGGATTAAATGTCAACACACATTTGTCCTTGTCCCAGCCAATAATGGTGACATCTGACTTTTAGGATTCATTCAAGAATGAATCTACTCCCCACCACTTTACGGAATCATACTCTTCTTGAACTCATGAGGCCTCTTTCACTCCCACCACATCAAGTATTGCCTTCCATAATGGGGATTTACATCTGGGTCTGACCTCCTTCTTCCCACCCCAGGAAGGAACTCCAAAGGACAGATAAGTATGACGCCCACAGGTCAGCCACCTCCTGTTCCCAAGTCTTCCATCCTATTTGGTCACCACTTGCCTTAATAATAAGATGGTTTCTTGAGCAACCACTGCACACATGAGGAGAAACCCCAACCCTGTGCCAATCTCTCCTTTATGTCGCTGGGTACCCTGGAAAGGTTTATTCCTTTTATAAACTGCTTTCTTAATCTTTTTTTTCCTCTGAAGTCTCTTTTGTACTCCTGTCCCAGCACCTCCTGCTGCTGCTTGTCTCCTTTAAACAGAAATCTCTGGGGAACACTGACATCTTTGGTTTAATCACCCCCAACACACTACAAGGAGGCCATGGTTTCRCAGGCTTTCACTGAACCTCAGATATGTTCAAGGGGCTTGAACTTCTAGAGAGTCCCACCCACCGCAGAGAGTATCAATCCATGATCTTAAGAGACGTGACCTACCAGGTTACAGGAGTGTCTTTGATGTTCATCTTTGGGTTTTGTGGAGAGCAGTCTGTGCCCTGCTATGAGTGACTCCCTGGATAGAACAGCAGTTTCCAGGCTGTGCCTAAACCTGTTACTCCATTTGATAAAGCAGTASTTTACCATAGCTATGCCATTTTGAGTTTAGGTGCTGAAGTAGAATGACTCTCCACCTTGTTTGTACACGTAAACGCAGCCATCTATCATAAGGCACAAACTGATAAATTGCTCATACTAATAAAAATGACCACCTGTGAACTTATTGAATTARTTAAGCACATGGACATATGGACGAATCACCCTCCTGCCAGAAAAACCAGACCCATGAACTTGTTGAACATWCTAGGCCATCAAATGAAGCAAACCCCTCCCTCGAGGTCTGTAAAAGGAGGAGCACCTGTGTCTGGACAGGTGGCATCCTGACCYTGTCATCTGGTCACTCCTTATCAAGAGCTTTACCCAGGAAGATCACCACAGCAACAAGCCCCTAAATTTCTGTCCTTGGGCTCCAGCAGAGGACCCTTTCTTCTGTCCTCCATGGCCACGCACGGCCCACTCCAAACYGACGTCTCAAGCGGACACTCTGAAAGTGGCATCTGTCTGAACCTTGGCCTAGAATAGGTTCCTGCACTTTGACACTTCTGCACCCTGAACAAGTTCTTTGGACGGTCTGTAATTATATCTGACCACATACAGGGACTCTTTGCTATCTGCTCTCTACATATGCTCTCAGCTCAGCATCCTGAACCCCTAAGGCTGCTTTTACCCTTAGCAATCCTGTCACACACACACACACACACACACACACACACACATTTTTGTAGTATGATTTATATGACTATAATACTTGAGTGTTATAGACATTAGAAATTAAGACTGGAATAAAAGAACAAGTGATTTCTCATCTTATGAACTCCCAGGTCACCCACAAGTGGTGAATGCCAACAATGAACTTGGTGTGACTTGTGAATTTATTGGTGTTCAATAAATTCTGACTTTGTGGAAAGGCACAAACCTGTTTGGTCTATGTTATTGGCATAGCTTGCTCATGAGAGGCTTCCCCAAGACAAGGATGGATGGGCCAAGAGTTTCCTTGGAAGGTGGCTCTGGAAAGCACCCTGGGTGACTGGCTAGCAAGACAGGGAAAGACAGAAAGCTAACAAGGAACTACTATGGAGGGGGCTGCTGCTGTCGCTAACAGAGGCTCACTCATGCTGTCAGCCCTCAGGGAGTGTGTGCATCCATGGCAACTTGCCCTCCTGACCTKGAGAACCTGGGTGTTTCCCCCCATGACTGGAGAAGAGCTGCTCCAGCAGCCCTGACCCRCAGGCACAGGGGACTCACACTGTGCACCAGCAAAGCAGGCTCTGGGGACAGGGATCCCCCTCAGGCAGAGGGACTTGTGGTCAGTCGTGCCCATGGGCTGTTTGTAGTGACCTCCAGGGTAGGCCAAGGCACAGGGACAGGGCACAGAGAGCCTCTTCTAAAGTCCCCTTTTCTGTGTGGTCTCGTTGATGGACATGCTGTTCCAGCCCACCACGCTCTCCCTGCACAGATCTCACTTGCCTTGTCAGATCCCCGGGTGATTGCACCTTTTGTTACCCCTGATACAATTGTTTCACTATCTTAGAGAGTGAACTGTGTACATCTCACATTGTGCTTTGGGCTTCAGTTGGAAATTTGCCCAAGTTTCCTGTAAAACAACTTAATTAAAATCTACTATTACTATATGAAATATTGATTTGATTCTAAAGTGTAGTTCAGCTTAAGAGAAATCAGCTCCAAACCGTGTATTACTAAATACCATTCTCTGACCACAGGAAAAGAATTGAGAACTAAGTGAATAATTTTCATACAAGGTTTTATAAACCTGGGAGGAAAGACATTGGTAAACCAGAGGCTCTGTAAAAAGCTATAACTAAAAAGAAACTATATGATTGTACTGCTATTTTGTATTTATGGAAGCAAAAGGGGGGAGGGGCTTTTCTAAAATTCTTCTGAACCCAGGAATTACTGTTCCTAGTATCATGTTTCCATCCATTTTAACCAAATTACTGACTTAATAAAAAGAAACACAGTTCTGAAAAGAGGAATTTATTTGCTCTTATTACAATAGAAAAATAAAAATGGAAAGTCAAAATTCATCTTATAGAWTACTTTGTAAGAAACAGGGAAATGTTAAAGGCCGATGCCAATAACAATACCAAATCTGTTTTTGATCTAAATAATCAAAYATCTCATCCTCATCTATGAACTGAATTGATTCGTTTAAACATGTAAAGATTGGTTGATGCTTTTGCAAGAAATAAGCAACTATTGATGTCCGGACACAGGTACTAAAGCTCCATTTTGAAGCCAGACAGAGGCTGGAAGACRTAGAAAAACGATTGGATAGCATTTATGTTACTGTTTCCCCTTTTGGCTGCATTCAAGAAYCATCTTAAAGTCTTACTAGATATATTTGATTTGGGGATAGGGTCCAAGAAGCTGTATTTTTAAATAAGCACAAGGCATTTGGGAGCTGCCTCACTCAATGTGGCCATCTCTTCCACTGATTGGTTGATGCAATGTTAAAAAATTAAAAAATGAAATCAGCAAGTGAAAACATATCCTCAAGGATTGCCCAGAGTTAGATCTACAGGAGTTCCAGAAGAGGAGCTAGTGAAGGAAATGGGATCATGCCAGTGATACACTATGTAGTTGGCCTACAGCTGTTGGGTCTATACTGAACACAGACTCTCCTCCTTGTCATTGTTCTCTCTATGATAGTTTTAAAAACTACTTACATGGTGTAGGTATTATAAATAATCTAAGTACACTTTGCCATTTTATTTAAGGAACAAGAGCATTTGGTATCCAACATGAGTTTTTGGTATCCAAAATCCCACCCACTGCAGATGCTAAGGAAGTCCTACGTTGCACAAAATGTAGTGATAGAAGATTTCTTTTGCTGAGATTATGAKACTTATTCATGTCGTGTAGAGCTGTGGTTAATTCATTTATACCACTACGTACTCTTCTATTATTCGATTGGGTGAACATACTATGATTTATTTATTTCCTTAGGGATAAAATTTGGATTGTTTCAGTTCTTCAGTTATTTCACAACTTAAATATTCCTTCACTCGTCTTTTAATGCACCTGCGAGCTGTAGAGTACACATATTCAAYTTCCAAAGATAAATTTAAAACCTAMGTTTGCATCCTGCCTACACCACTTCAAAAGCCTGATCGTTAACAGTTGCTTAAATTCTCTGCCTAAGAATTTTCTGAGAAAATGGAGAGAATCATGATACCTACCTACTTCATAGAGTTAACAAGTTAATCTTGTACAGACAAGTTAACACATAGACATGGTCAATGACTATAATAATGATTGTCATTATTGTAAAAATGGATGACAATAATAGTCCTTGGTACCCAAGTATAATTTTAGTTTTCCTCTCTCTTAAATGGCCTACATTCCTCTGACATTTTTTCCTGTTCTTCTCAAGATGCTTATAAATAATTTTTCAATGTATCTCTGTGTCTCAAACCAGGATGTTGATCTGGAAACTGTCACCAATCACTGCAATCAAATATTTGGATTSCAGGGTATTATTTGATAAACAAAACTTATGTCCAGACACAAAAGGGTTGTTTCATTATTCCCTAAAATTGTGGTCAAGAAGAACATTTAAATCACGGCTGTTGAGATTGGATTTAATGTGAGGACTGTTTATGGGTTGTTCACACTCAATTATAAGGGATAATCTTTCAGATCTGCCATGTTCTGATTAGTTAGGAGTGGCAGATTCGAATATTTTCATTCTTCATAAAAAAAAAGTGGAGACCATAGGATATTCAGTTTTCTGAGCTTCCAATGCTACATTTGTGGGATTTGGGGCAAAAAAAAAATATGAAGATGTTCAATTTCCTTATATAAAATGGCACAGAATACCTCATCTCTAGATTACTTATAATAYTTACGCAATATTAGTACCATGTAAATAGTTGCTAAGCTGTATCATCTAGGGAATATGGCAARGGGAAAAAAATCTGTACCTGTTCAGTATATACAACTACTGTAGGCCTGACTACCCTAGGATACCAATGGCAGTTGGTTGAATTCATGTAAGTGGAAGAGGYCAGTTGCCCTTCATGGATCAGGGAGGCAAAGGAGAAAATAAAAACGATGACATTTTATCAAATTTGAAGACTAGCTAAAGGGAATGAGGAGGTTAGTTACACACTGTAGCTTTAATCTGTAGTCTAAATTTCACCCATCCCACCTAACCAGGCTACCCAAGCCACCCTGCTGGAATTTGGGATTTGGGGGTAAAGCATTAAGCCAAAAGAAAAGAATGTCGTGGTGAATTCTGTTCTAGGGAGGGGCTAAGAATGTTAGCCATCAAAGGCACTTCATTCTGAGGGAACCACCCAAGGCAACTCTCTGGAGGTCTTCTAGTCCTTGCTTAGATACCTGCTGGTCAGCCACTTACTAAACAGCCTACCTGAGGGAAAGCAGTCTTCTGTCACTTTGAGGAGGGCTGAATTCAAGGGTAAGACGGAAAGATGTCTCCAAGTGTATGCTTCTCGGAAATCCTTCCAGGGCTATTGTATTTTGTGGTAAAAAGCGAATGAGTTGTGTGATATGGGAGGCTAAATATTAGTTTTTGAAGACTTAATTATTTACTTGTGAGTGGGGAAATTAATAATGTTTATCAGTGAAGCCCGTTGTCAAGTAGATTAGATATTTATGCAGTTATTTCTCCGGCTTCTGAAATATAAGTGTGTYGGTTGGTTTCTCTACCCACCTCCCATATCTGGTAATAGAAACAGAAAGTAAACCAGGCTTCCCAGGGTGGGTGGAGTAGTTAGAAAGCAGGTGACCTGGTTTTCAAAGTCTCCCAAGAGCAAAATTATGAAGTTTCTCTTAGGAGACTCCAACCCTGAGCCATTGGCCTTTGAGAGCAAAGATCTTCAGATTTGATTAAAGGAAACCCATCACCTCTAGCTATTTTAACAATCAAAAAACTTAGTCTTCTTCACCTCTTTTCCCACCTTCTCTTTTCAGAATTGGCAATACGTCTCTGCTTCTTAAAGGATTTGAGTTATATTTAGGGCCTACTCTGTAGGAGAGCGGTAACTGTAAAATTTTTGAAGAAATCATAGGAATAAATGTATGCCTTGAATTAAGCAATTTTTTTTTTAGATATGATACTAAAAAGTAGAAAACATAACAGGGCACAGTGGCAGACACCTGTAATCTCAGTGGCTCAAGAGCCCGAGGCAGGAGGATCATGAGTTCAAAACCAGCCACAGAAAAAAGCAAGGCGCTAAGCAACTCAGTGAGAATCTGTCTCTAAATAAAATTTTAAAAAGGGCTGGGCATGTGACTCAGTGGTCCAGTGCCCCTGAATTCAATTCTTGGTACAAAAAAAAGTGGAAAAAATAAACAAGTTAAACTTCATTAAAATGAAATACTTCTGTGCTTCAGGGGATACTATCAAGAGAAAATAGAAATCACACAGTGAAAAAGTAATTTGTATCTAGAGTATAAAAAAAAAAAMCTCAAGGTAAAAAGCAACTAATCAGCTTAAAAATGAGCAAGATTTGAATACACATTTCTCCAAAGGACATACACAAGTAGTTRGCAAGCACATGAAAGATGTTGAATATCATTTGTCAAATTAGAGAAATATAAATCAAACCTAWAATAAGATACTATCGCATACCAAACAGGATGTCTAAATTTTAAAAAAAGTAGTTAAATACAAGTGTAGAGGTAAAATGTAGAGAAATTGAAATCATCATACACTATTGGTGGAAATGTAAAGTTTAAATCTACGAACAACCCAAATGTAAATCAGATGAAGATGGATAAATAATATAACAATATGTGGAGTGAATATGTGTATGTGTGTATTATATTTATATATATATATAATATATATTATATATATAATTTTTGTCACAAAAATGAAATACTGATATATGTTTAAATATTATGCTAAGAAGCCAGCCACAATAGGTCACAATTTCATGATTCCATTTATATAAAATATCTAAAACAGGCAAATACATAGACACAGAAAGTCAGACAGTGGTTCTCAGGGTAGGGGAAAGTAAGAGTGGGGAGTTACTACTCCTTCTGTATAAGGCAGAATGTACCAGCAAGGCAGAGATGAATAATCTCAGACTTCAGGATCTTGTGGACAGGTGGAAAGACAGACTGCAGACTTTGGCTATAATCCAAATCATAATRAAAACAGAGTTAGAAAAAAAGAATTGGAATTGGAATATGGAGTTTTTGCTGAAGTACAGAAGGGGCACTGGAGAATTGTCTGGGTAAAAAATGAATTGGGATTGGTGGAGGAGGGGGCTGGAGGGCAGAGGGAGGGAGCAGAGATGAGGAGGTTAGGGAAGTGGAGCTCTCCAGAATCTCAAACTCTCTGGGGCAGCCAGAGTACAGGGATGGCTATCAAACTACAGAAACAGACTTGACAAAAACCAATYTACTGTACAAATGTGAAATCCCAAAGGATCAGAGCCCTAAAGTGAATTTGCTGAATTTATCAAATTCATTAATTTACTTTGTATTGTTTTCAGAAATATTCTTTTAAACTATAATCGAAGTATAAATGTCTTGAAGAGAGCCATGAATTTGTACTTTCTAAGCAACATTTTAAGAATGTTCAATCTGTTTGCCAGATGGAGTTTGGAGTTCTCATGGTTTTATTTTTTTAAAGACTCTTATAATGATTTTCTTCCTCAAAAAAAAAATTTTGGGGGGGGGTATTGGGGATTGAACCCAGGGATACTTAACCACTGAGCAACTTCCCCAGCTTTTTTTTACATTTTATTTAGAGACAGGGTCTGGGTGAGTTGCTTAGGGCCTCACTAAGTTGCTGAGATTGGCTTTGAACTTGCAACACTTCTGCCTCTGCCTCCCAGAACTCTGGGATTACAGGCGTGCACCACAGTGCCCAGCTCCTCATGTATTTACCACATGCATTTTATCATGAATTAAATAGAATGGGGAATGGGAGCCAGAAGTAGGGTTGCCCACCATCTCATTTACTTTGGGGGTCTTCTGGGGTTAGTCCTGTAAGTCCCACATCCTGGGAAGCCCTTCAATGATGAGAAAATTGGTACAACTACTCACACTGTGATGGAGAAATAAGGGTAGTGTGAATGCTTCATTTTCTTCAATTACTGTTTCTTCACAACACTTCTCTGCCAGGCTGACCACTCAATGTAAGTTAGGTATTACTTATAAAATCAATTGATTTTGTTGGCCGAATTGGGCTTGAAGACACAACTAGGGCACGTGGGATGAGGCCACTTGTGTGTGAAGGCAGTAGAGTAGCAGTGACATGATCAGAAATTTTAAGAAGAATCTGACATGAGTTTTTGCTCAATGAATGGGTTAAGTCCTTGCATATGGTGAGTGTGAAGGGAATCATAGGCTTCCCTCCCCACCTCCCACAGAGAACAAGCAGTGACAGATTTGTGAGAAAGAGAGAAAAYTGTCTTGAGCTAAAAAGACATATGATGTCAATTAATGCAAATAAAGATAGATGAGAATAGAGAACCATTGCAATCTGCCTAAAGTTTGAGTAAAAGATAAAATTCTGCATTTCACTGGAAGTTCTATTTATGTGTCACTTTGGGTACAAGAACTATTTCATAAGTAAAGTTATAATATCTGAGGAATTTCCCCACATAGGAATAAGAATGACATTGCAGAGATATTGTTTTGAAGAAATCTCTGATTAATAAATGATCAGAACCAAGGGAGATAATAGTAATAGTAATGTTTCCTTATCTCATGGCTAAACCATGCTTTGAAAGTTCTGAATCGGCCTCATTAATTGTGCTTTGGTTGACCCTTGCTATAAAAGAATACTCATATAGGCAGATATTCTAGACACATCTCCCACTTCATTTCTGTCTCATCCCTTTCTTTCCATTTTCACATTTACTCCTTTTGTCTAATTCCTCTGACGGTGGAGTCATTATGTCACTCAAGTACGTAAATCAATCAATCAGTAAACAAAATGGCTCTCCATTTCCTCAATTCAAGGTTCTAATCTTGGTACTGAGAACCAAATCAAACCCACTTGTAACTCACTTTTCCCTATCTTTAACTGTCACCTCCCACTGACATTCCTTCTAGGCAAATGAAGTGCCAGCTACTGTTTTCCAGACGTGAACCCCCACCTCAAGGCTCTGTCTTTACTTGACTTTTGTATCTGGCATAGAATGTCCTTCACCTAACAATTCAAGTTTCACAACATCTACCACAGATGAAGAACACCCAGAAAACCATTGTCATTTCTCCATCCAGAATTAACTAGTCACCTGATGGGGGGCCCCTAAGGCAGATAATATTAACTGCTATTTGTTGAAAATAGTGTTATTTAGTGTCTTTTCTTACATGTTTTCTTACTTTTTTTCTTACGCTTTTATGATAATCTCTTTGAAGATGATGTTTCCTAGTGCATTATGACAAGTGGAAGTTCACTGACTGCTTTTTTACTTGAGATCTTTCAACAGAAAAATATCAAAGAGGCTCAGATCATGAGCTCCCGCCAGAGCACCACGCCCCACAGGCTTGGGATGTGGAAGGTCTTCGGCTCAATTCTTGTCCAATTGACTTTGGTTACTGCTCTGCTGGATACTGTCCTTGGTGAGTGGTAGGGTGACAGGCCAGATGGTCACCATATAATGAGTTCATCACACACCCTACTTTCCAAGATGCCTCACAGATATTCTTCAGATATGTTGTGGGGCATATGTATGACCTTGGAGTTTAGGGATATTTGTTATAAACCCACAAAGGGATTGTTTCAAACATGTTTTTGAATACTCCCTTTTAGAATTTTTCTCTCCAGAAATCTGTAAACAATCTAATTTCAAATAAACATGAGTTTGAATAAACATATATTATTACCCACCAGACTACCATGAAGAACTCTTACTGCTTGTGTGGGTATTCAAAATGTAGGGCCCATGGAGAGAATTCTTCTGAGGCCTTTAGAAGATAATATAGTCATTTATTTAATGCGGAAGTAGAATTAAAATTTTTTATTTTCCAAGGGCTTCATACATTCTCCACATTGTGATGCTTTTGAAAAACATTTTCATTTTTGAGTAGGCAATCTAGTCAAAACCCCAAAGTCCAAAAGAACACAAATGAAGGGCTGCTTCTTATCTCAGCACCTGAGGTAACTAATCTTATATGATGCTTTTTATTAATAAAACAAGTGTTTCTACGAAGGCAAGAGGCAGTGTTACATGGCATCACATAGGCACCTACCTGTATTCTGAGTAGGCAGATGTGGGCAATCTGAGAGAATAAGGGAATTCAGTTCTATTCTCCTATTGTTTTGACAGTTTATCATTTGATCAGGAAAGGATGAATGTCATTTTATTTGTCTTTTTAAATTACTTTTGACATTTTCATTAATTAAAAAGCATACATTGGTGATCACTCTCTGTGTTCACTGACCTTTGGAACAATGGGAGGCATGATAAAAAAATCCACTACCTGGTCTAAAAATCTTAACTATTCAAACCCTGAGATGCCATGTTGCAAGATATAACTTCCGGTTGGTGTTCCTTGTCATTTTGGTGTCCAGGTGATTGCGGTCTTCCACCCAAGTTGCAGTTCGCTTCTCCACTCAGCCAGTTGTATGAGCCCAATTTCAAAGCTGGAACTGTTCTGAAATACGCCTGCCACTCTGGCTACAGGAAAGTCAATTCCAGTCGCGTCACTTGCGGTGCCTATGGTGCATGGATCTACAATATCTTTTGTATCAGTAAATATCAACATTTCTTCTTACTTTGTTTCCAGAAAGTTGAGCAGGAACTTGACAAAGTCAAGTCATAAAAAAGTCAAAGTCAAAGTTGTATGAAAATCTGTAAGTAGTGTTGAAAATTAACAACACCTATACTACATGGAAGAAGTCATTTGAGGATACATCGTGAGATGTTTTTCTCTTTTTCTTTTAAAAAACAATTTATTTATGAGATATTTTTCTAACAGTAAGGATATAGAATTTTCTTTTTTCTTCTATTTCCCTATGGCCAAGGGCATGCAAGTTCGAGAAAATACAACTATGTGTACATCAGGCCAATATGTCACAGCCTATATTGTATAATCACAGAGATTTAATTAAGCCAATATAATTAAGCACAGAGTTTTTCTTTGAAAATGTATCAGAATGTGTTTACTTTTATTTCCCCTCATACTACAAATTCAATGAGCCACAATCAGAAATAAGCATTGAAGCATATCTCTGGATGTATCTGGAAGCAGGAGTTAAAGTTAATTCCACCAGAGTTTTTTCTAATGTTATTTCTTGTGAACATTTGGAATCACTAATCATTAATTTAATTTGCTTACTAGAGAAACAATGCAGGAACCCAGGAGAGTTAACCAATGGTAAAGTGGACGTTATGACTGATTTTCTTTTTGGTTCAACCATACAATTCAGCTGCTCAAAGGGGTAAGTGTAAGGTAGACTAGAAGCAATTCTTCTTATCAATTAATTTTCATAAGGAGTTAATTCATTTGTGTTTCAAGAATAAAAGTTGTGTATTAATGTCTACATCAAGAATTCTTGCTTCTATCCAATCCCATTCATCCTGTTTCTCTCTGCCTTCTGACAGTAAGTGACTTTGGTTATTTTCTGATTTATCTTCTTGGGGTTTATTTATATTTATATTTTTATATATATATATATATATATATATATATAACCAAGTACAAATATTTTTGTCAATATTTTGCCTCCTTTTTACATATATCTGACTGCATGCATTATTTTGAATTTTACTGTTACTTTTTTTTTCTCTTAATAATATTGCTATAAACTGAACACTATGGTCCCCCCAAATTCATATCTTGATTTCTAATGTGATCATTTTTGGAGATGGGGACTATGGTAAGCAATTAGGTCATAAGGCTAGAGCTCTCACGAAGGGTTTTGTGTCCTTTAAAGTAGGTAATAATTATACACTATTTTGTATAATAATAATTAATGTTCTTTGAATGTAAAAGAGTAGGATTTATTCCAGTGAGGAGAAAAGGCAACTCTCACAGGGCAAGAGGGAACCAGATAGGGGTTGCCACTTAGCTGTACTAGTTTAGGGGCTTATATAGCTACTGAGCAGGGATATTGGTCAATACCTTGCTAATCAAGTCTTGGGAAAGTACTAAGGCTAGTGGTCAAAAATATATGCTAAACAGGTATTGGAAAAGAGTTAAGGCTACTGGTTAGCCCAGGATTCTGTAGCCTTCGCTCAGGTCTATCCCTTCCTACCTTTCCCTACCTCTCCACAGAACAAGGGAATTGGCTGGAATGTTTGGAATTTTTCTACAGGTTAACTTCATGGAATGGTCTTTACATTTTAAAAGGTCTTTAATTGGGGCCCATTACCTGTACCATCCTATTCAATCCCCACTTCTGAAGAAATGTCCCTAACTGCTGTTAGGGGAAAGGAGTGACACTCTGGCAGTTTCAGGCTGAAAATGGGTTTTGAACAGGCACAGGATCCTCTGACGGAGGTCTAACTAGGGGCCCCTGATAGGTGGGGATTTCATTTTGGATTCCATTTGTAGTTTAGGATGAAGGATGAAGGAAGTCCAGAGATACATGGTAGCAGTTGGTGGATGACAAGGTACTTAGGGCAGGGATCATGCCTTCCAAAGGACCCTGAAGGAGCCCCAAAAGATGAAACTAGATTTTTAGCTGCTGTAGTGTTGCTGCGGWTCCCAGCCACCTGCCATGCCTCTCTTGTCTCAGAAATTTGAAGAACGAAATCCATGGACAAGGAAGAGTGAGTATAAAAGAGTAGAGTATGAAGGGACCTGATATGGGTTGCTCTATTATGTGAGTAATTATAATGCACCAATAAAAATATGGAGAAAAGAAAATTGGTGTTAATACAATCCATCAAACTTATTAAGATTTCACTCGTTTTACACACACTCATTTGTGAGTGTTGTTTCATTCTATGTAATTTTAACATATTTGTGTATGTGTGTGATGTCAGCCATGGTCAAAATACAGAAAAATTCTATCACAGTTGTTGTCTTTTCATAGCAAACACCCTCCTTCCTTCTTTGTTCTTGAGAATCTTCTAATCCATTCCTTCTGTCTATGTCATTTCAAGTGTGCTATATCCACAAAATCACACAGAATGTAACCTTTTGTGATCGGCTCTTTATTACTCAGCACAGTTCTCTTGATATGCACCCGTGGTGTTATGTGCATCAATAGTTTTTACATTTTATTGTTGAAACAATTCCATCCTATGGGATTTTCTTCATCATTCATCCATTGAAGGAAACTTGAATTCTTTCCTTTGTGTCCATTATGAATAAAGCAGCTGTAAATGTTCATCTGCAGATTTTTTTGGTCTGAACTTCATTTGGATTAAATGTCAAGAAATGCAATTTATGGGACATAGTGGTTCAAGTCTAGTAACCATTATATAGTTACATGTCTGTTTTCTACAGAGGATGTACCATTTTACATTCCCACCAGAAAATATATGAGTGGATCCATATCACTCACGCCAGCATTTGGTGGTTTCATAATTTTTAGCTTTAACTGTTCTGACAAATATAATGATATGACCCTATGCTTTTAATTTGCATTTCTGTAATAGTTAATGATGTCGGATTGAGTATGTTTATATGTGCTTACTTGTTATTTTATGTTCTTTTATGTGAAATATCTGTTCATATTTTCCCTATGTTGAATAGCATTGTTAAGAGTTGACATCCTTGCCTTGTACCCAGACTTTGAGAGAAAACTTCAATCTCCCACCATTATATACCTTAGCTGTAAGATTTTATAGATGCCCCTTATCAAGTTGAGAAAATGTTCCTGTATCCCTAGTTTGCTAAAAGGTATTTATAAAGAATGTCTGTGGAATTTTGTCAATTTTCTTTCTCTAGATGGTTTTCAGATCATTTCAGCATCATTTATTTAAAAGTACATATTTAATCCATTAATGTGGGTTATTTTTTTTAAACAATATATTTAATTCTCAAGTGTTATGTGATTCTGTTTTAGACTTTCTATTCAATGATTCTAGTCTGTCTCTAAATTCACACAATGAATTCCTTTCTCTTCTGAGTTTTATAGTATGTAACATCACTTAAAAGTATACCCTCTTTCTCTTCTGCTTTTACTAGTATTTCTGACTATAGTTACTTATTTTCCTATACAAACTTTTCAATTATTTGATTTTTACTTTTAATAATTTGGATTAAGTTTTAAATGGTGTTTGGAAAAACAGACATAGTATGATGCTGAAGCTTCAAAACCAAAGCTTTATTATGCCTATATGTCAGTTCTAGTCTTTTGTGTGCATGTATATGTGGGGAGTAATGTGTGTGTGTGTGTGTGTGTGAGAGAGAGAGAGAGAGAGAGAGAGAAGATAGTTAGTTTCAGGATAGTTTTAAAGATTTCCCAACTCACATTTTTCAATTTTCATGTTTACTCTTTGGTATCTCATATTATTTTTATCTTATTTGTGATATTGCAAATGGTGTCCTTTTTCCATTATACCTCCTAAAAAATTTTATGAGTATATGTATAAATTATTTCTATATTAATCTCATATACAATTCTGCATTCTCTTAATTATTTACACTAGTTTTTAGTTGGAATTTCTTGTTTTTCATGTGTATAATTGTGTAATGTGAACATGATTTTGTTACTTTCTCTTTTCCCAAATGTATTTTTTAAATTTTGTATTAATTGTGCTAGCAGTTATCTCAAATAATATACTGATACACTGGACATTGTTTTCTTATTCTTAATTTTAGCATTTTTTTATTTAACTTTGGTTGTGCTGTATCTCTGCCTAATCTATTTTATTGAACATTTTTGACAAGGCTAATTGTCAATTTCTTTCTCAATACCATTTTAATGTCTATCAAGAGGTTGACTGTCTTMGATATAATAATATCATGTTATATATTTATTTCTCGGGCTACCCTAACAAAATACAGGCTGAGTACTTAAACAATAGAGATTTCTTTTTCATAGCTTCCAGGTCAAGGTCGGTCAAAGTTTAGTCCCAGGTGAGAGCTCTCAGACGGCAGACATCTTTTTGACTTCACATGGCTTTTTTTTTTTTTAATATTAGGTATTGACCCCAGGGGTGCTTAACCACTTAGCCACATCCCTGGCCTTTTTATTTTTTATTTTGAGACAGATTCTTGCTAAGTTGCTCAGGGCTTCACTAAGTTGCTGAGGCTGTTCTCGAACTTGTGATCCTCCTGCTTCAGGCTCCCAAATAGCTGGAATTACAGGTGTGCGCCACCATGCTTGGTTCACATGGCCCTTCCTTGGTGTGTGGTGTGAAGATGGGGATTGTTAGATAGCTAGTCAGTCATAAAGGGTACTGGAAAGGACACTTACAGGTGACTGAGAACCACAGGGGACCCTAGCTGAGAGACAAGCACCTGAAAGATGAGGAAGATGGGGGGTCTGGTATGTTAAGACCTCTCCCGGACATTTCAAGATCATGTCACACTCCCTCAGGTAGCCTGGACTCTCCCTKATCACCTAAACTGTGTCACAATACCCAATCACCCTGGCAACCACAACATCAAGACCTCACAATGTTCTCTGGGAGCTATTCAAAAGGTAATAAACTACAATAAAGGGGACAGGAAATTGAGGCAAAAAATAGAGGAACTCAATTTCCTCAAAAATTTCAACTTTGTGAGCACCACACCATTCTCTCTTTGAGGCAGTCCAAGCAGATTCTACATTGTCAGTCAAAAGTCAAAATGTGGACCTGGGCAGGACTCTGTGGAAACTTCCCTGGGACCTCCAATAAAACTGAAGGCCAGGAGGAGCATGCTGTCCTTATCTTCTCTGAAAGGACTCACCCTTTCCCTTGACAGTGTCTCCTTTCCACTTTTCTCTTCCTCCTCCTCCTCCTCCTCCTCCTCCTCCTCCTCCTCCTCCTCCTCCTCTGTACCAGCGATTGAACCCAGGGGCATTTAACCACTGAGCCATATCCCCAGCCCTTTTTATGTTTTATTTAGAGACATGGTCTCCCTAAGTTGCTCAGGACCTCCCTAAGTTGCTGCGGCTGGCTTTGAATTTGGGATCCTCCAGCCTCAGCCTCCCAAGCTGCTGGGATTATAGGCATGTACCCCCATGGTTTTTCCCTATCCTTTCTAATAAACATCCCTGTTATTTTGAGCAACATGTCTGAAATATTTCTGGGGTTATTTGAAGAACCCGGTTAAGAAAGGACTGCTATGGCTGCCTCAGCTGGTCACCAGGCCTGTGCCCTGTAACAGGATGGAGGTGGAGGGAGAGCACAAGTGAGAGAGCTCAGTGATGTCTCTTCTTATAAGGACATTAATATTTTGGGATCAGAGTCCCATGCTCCTACACCTTAATTATTTCCATATGCAAATACATTCATATTAAGGCTTCAACATGTGAATTTAAGAGGCAAGCACATATATTTGGTTTAGAACAATGTATAAGATATCTTTCCTCATTTTAAAGCATCCTTTCCTTATCAAAACAAATTCATTTGACCATGGTATGTTTTTCTTTTAGAGTGTTTCTGGTTTTTGATTAATATTTTATTCATAAAATTTTCATTGATATTCAGGGCAAACTGATAATTTATTTTTTATGAAAACAGCCTGAAGAAAGACTGGGACTTGTCAAGAGCAAGAACTATGAGATGATAATCAGGCAGCTAATGGTTTATGAGAATAAGCTGAACTTCAGAAATCAGAAGGAAGATCTGAATCAGATGTCAAAGTAGTTTTTTTCTGTAATGTGTCTTGATCGTTTATTTCCCAAGAAATTATATAAGAAGCTCAAGCGAATCATTTTCCTGCTATGCACTCTTTGTTTTTTAGCTTATTAGGAAACATGTATAATATTTGAGTATGAAGATCTGAGGATGTACAGCTTGGTTAGGGATTGGTACTATCTGATGTTTGGGAAAAAGTTAGTAATAATATTTAAATGAATAAGAAAAATTTTTTTTAAATGAGTAAATGTGCTCTCTGACTGATAGGATGAAATTGAACTGCAAGTTGTCCCAAATAATCAAGAAGACAATGTTGTTTTTATTTTTTTAATTGGGGATAAAACTCCCACTTGTCTGAAGCCYGTTGGCAGTTTATCTTACTGTTTATAGTAAGATAAATTCCACTGGAATCTTTGACCTGTTCTTTCAGGTATGTCCTCATTGGTTCAACAAATAGTCAATGTGAGGTCCAAGGTAGCGAGGTTGAGTGGAGTGACCCTCTCCCAGAATGTGTAAGTAAGTAAAGATTTTAAGTAGAGATTTCTTTCCTATTCAATACAAATCTAAACCTTATTGGGTCTATCACTCTCTGAACCTCCAATTCCCCTTGGGCCCTCTCTCTGTTTTCATTTTCAGAAATGTTAGATTTGTCATGATGCTCTTTTGATATTTTTTTCTCTTCACTCACTCTTCTCAGTTGTCAAGTGTGAGTCCCCTCCAGAAATCAGTAATGGGAAGCATGGTGGTGGAGATGAAGACCTCTACACATTTGGATCCTCTGTCACCTACAGCTGTGATCCCAACTTCTCACTCATAGGCAATGCCACCATTTACTGCATGGTGGAAAATAAAACATTAGGTGTCTGGAGACCAAACCCTCCTGTGTGTAAAAGTAAGACACAATAATGCATTTGAATTCTCTGTTCTCTTGTTTAAAAGAAAAAAGGGAAATGTATTTCCAGGGGGAAATAGAAGGTCTTAGAGACAGAGTTAAATGTTTCAGTGATAAAATGACTCGGGTTCAGCCTTCTTGCATGCTATGTTAGTCGGGGTTGCATAGACTATGCTGTGATAAGAAGTCATAGCAATATCTCCTGCACTTTTTATAGCAAAAGTTTCTCAAGCTCTTTCTTCTTTGCACTGCTAGTCTGGGAAACTTGTTTGTGCCTCATGCCAAGAAATTCTGTTGATCCTGGATGAAATGGAGATACAGGGTGACACTAGTAATATCAACCACTCATGCCTGTGGAGCTAACAGAACCGTATCAATTTCAGCAGGTTAATAGTAAAGGACAAAGAATATACCTGACTCCAAACTGTCAAGGGAAGCGAAAAGAGATGTCCAGCCAGTTTCAGTAATAACTCAACTTGCTAGTTTAGCCATCTTCCTTTTTGACAAAGTGCTTTGAAAACTCTGTATCATTTACTCCTTCCTGGCTCAGTACATGATCCACCAACACTAGAACAGGACAGCTTCCTCGTGAAAAGAGTAGAAAATGCTTGGAGTCAGGTGTGCAGGAGGTAGGAAGGCAGGAGCTGAAGCTGGAAAGACTGGCAAAGGTCTTGCAATGAACAGCCTGTGTGCCGCTCAGGAGTTCAGAGTAAGGTGAAGGGGAGGCATTGAATACGTGGTAATTTAAGTGGGGCCAACACAACTGACAGGTACATCTTGTTGCTACCATCCAGCCAAGAAGTGAAGGGGGCTGCAACTGTAGCGAGGACAAGGGGCCTGGAAAGAAGTCAAAAGAAATCCACCGGGCAGGATTGCCGGGACTCGATGCCTGGCTGGTTGGGGACTGGAACATGGGTGACATTTTTTCTGTTTGGGGGGCAGCTCTCAGGTGCCCTAGCTGCCCCTTCGTGACTACCATGTCATTACTATGGGCCACTCATCCACAACCAAAATCAACCTGGAAATTTTTTTTTATTGGTTCTTTTTAGATATACATGACAGTAGAATATATTTTGGCTTATTATACATATATAGAGTATGATTTATACTAATTAGGATCGTATTGTGGTTGTACATGATGTGGCATTACCCTGGTCATGTATTCAAATGCAAGGATAGGAAAATTATGTCCAATTAATTCGACTCTCCCTCCTACTCCTCTCCCTGCTCCATTCCCTTCATTCCCTTTTGTCTAATTCAATAGAATTTTATTCTTCCTCTCCCCACCCTCCTTTATCATGGGTTAGCATTTACATGTCAGAAAGAATATTTGGCCTTTGGTTTTTTTGGAACTGGCTTATTTAAYTTAGCATAATATTCTCCAGTTCCATCCATTTGCCAGCAAATGCCATAATTTCATTCTTCTTTCTAATATTCCATTGTGTATATATACCACATTTTCTTTATCCATTTATCTGTTGAAGGGCACCTAGGTTGGTTTCATAACGTGGCTATTAGTGAATTGGAGCTGCTGTAAACATTGATGTGGACGCATCACTGTAGCATGCTGATTTTAAGTCCTTTGGATATAAACTGAGGGATGGAATAACTGGGTCAAATGGTGGTTCCATTCCGAGTTTTCTAAGGAATCTCCATACTGCTTTCCATAGTGATCAATCTGGAAATTAGGCCATGATAATGGGAAGATCTGGGAACTTGGAGACTCAAGCTGCAAGTTTAGATATTGCTAGTTGTTATCAATGAGAAAGTTGGAGCACTTTATCTACAATGACCAACACAATGACTTCTCAGTTATCTGAGCTTCCTTGAGAGACTGAAGGAATATATAAAGCTTTAAAATATTTTATGTGTACCTACTCAATAGAAAGTTGTATAAGACCTTCCTTGGAGATATACCAAAACTCACCATCACATCTTTATTTCTCTCTCTCTCTCAGATATCTTTTTCTATACTCCTGTTGAAATATTCTGCCATCAGCCACAGATTCCAAAGGGAATCTTTATCTCTGGATTCAAACCCTTCTATACTCACAAAGACTCTATTGTGGTAAGCTGCAAGAAAGGTTACGTCCTCCGAGGGAGTAATTTAATCCACTGTGAAGCTCATAATGAGTGGTACCCCTCTGTTCCCACCTGTGAACTCAGTGAGTATAAACTATATGAAGGGACTGTAATATTTGTCATGTGAAGTTATCAGAAGCATGAGTGTGGGGGCATCCTTCTGGGCTCAAGGCTACTAAAATTCCCAACAATCATATAAGTTAAATATACTTTTCCCCAGTTTTCTTGTTAGAAGGAAGATTTTCTTCTTAATAAAGAAATCCACTTCTTGATATTATTTGTAAGATTTAATATATATCATATAGTTGTCACGCCAGCCAATGACTTTGTTCATACTGTAGATTATATATGTATTGTAAACGTTTTACAGGAGGTGATAGAAAAATTTCCCATTCCCCTCAAATGAACAAAATATGAGTATTTCTTGAAAGATGGAAATAAAATTCCATCTAGCATTTTCTTTCTTAATGTCACAGAGGTGCTCTATGGACTAGCATTTGCCTTAAGATCTGGACACTGTGAATGTCTACAGATCGCTGGTAACATTAGGGACACTCTTTGCTAACATTGACTTAGCACTTCCTACATACACACAGTATGTYAGTGCTTAATAGCTATGAATTTATAACAGTCCTAAAAAGGAGTTACGGTTTTTAATCCCCTTTCAAAGAGGAGAAAACGGAGAGAGACATTAAGGAACTGGCCCAAGTTCACATGGTTATCAGTGGTGGAAGTCTCCATTGTATTGAGGCTTATCTATTCCCTTCTGCCACCACAAGAAGTTAGTCATCATTCAAAATGTGCAGCAATGAAATTCAATGAATATGTAACTTGACAGATACCCATCCCCTCATCAAACCCCATGAACCATTGGCGCAAGGTTGAGTAGAAGAAGGACAAGGTCATAGGCTCAGGTGCACATTTGTATATGGGGCTTGATTTGAGGCCAGTTCTGAAATTCCAGGTGACAGTCAAATTGTCAAGGGAAATGCCTCTTATTTTCATTTCCCATTAGGCAAAGATACCAGTGAAAGTTAGACTTTCCTTAGAGCAAACATCTGCTGTACATTCTGAGCGATCCTAATGCCTCTCCTGAACATGGGTCAACCTGAATGATAATGAATTGGAAGGAGACATAAGGTCCCATAGAGTTGGACCAACACCTAGAACTGTCTCCTTTTTGTACAGTGGCAGGAAGTACTAACCCCTCAGTAATAGCCACGTCAGGATTATGTGCATTTAATGCTTGACATCAATCTATCAGGCAGTAATGATGTGGATTCTCTTTCTGGTATTCCCATTAATCTTGCCATCTTGGGTTTTTTTTATTAATAAGTATGTGATCTTTTATTTTTTGCATGTGTGACATGAAATCCCTATAACAGTTTTCTTTTACATTTGTGTTTCCTTTATGATCAGATGGTTGTTCAGACTTACCAGAAATTCCTGGTGCTTTCTTGGAGAAACATATCTTTGCTCAGAAAACTCAGGAATTATTTGAAATTGGGACAAAGTTGAAATATCAGTGTAAGCCTGGCCATCACGCAGCAGATGAGCTGACTGTGACTTGTCAGCAAAATTTGATATGGTCAACTTCCAAAGGATGTGAGAGTAAGTGAATTTGGTTTTGTTTTGTTTTTCCCCCTGATGTATGTGCTTGTGTGTCTACTTCTCTGTTAAAAATGTTAAGCATGATCCTTGAAATTTTCCAGGTTTGGCTTCATTGCATAGGATATATCCAGTTTTTGTAAATGTTTTGTGTGCTTTTTAAAATATACGTATTTTGTAGTTGTTGGTTTCGTGATTTTTATATATGTCAGTTATTTCTAAATTTTTTTTGTTGCTGTTCAAATTTATACCTATTTACTTGTCTCTCTGTCACTGAAGATTTATTTAATTATGGATTTGTTTTTAAACTTTTTAGTTTTTTTAAAAGAAACTCTTTTTTTGAGATGGCATTATTAAATGAATACATATTTAGAATGATTTGTTTCCCTGGTGAATTTAACTTTTTACTAGTGTATGGATAATAACCCTCTTTATACTACAGTTATCTTTAAATTTTACTTTTATATTTAGTCTACCTCCAACAGCTTTATTTCAGTTTGTGTTTGCATGGGTCAGCTCAACTTCCTCTTCTAATAGGCTCTTTAATTCTTCATGTCATCACCCCCACTGTTTATCTACTTCTCATTGAAGGAAAGGCAAAGAATGTGAACTACATTTCCCACAACTGCAAAATCAATTCCTCGTTTTAAAGACGTTTAATGAAGAAGTAAAGTAAAAGGCAAATTAAGTGGTAGCACTTTAACCAAACAGTTATATTACTTGATATTTTTATATTACTTGAAAATTTTCATGAATTTGGAGAAGAYCCCCTTGGTAGAACTTTTCCTTCAATTTCTTTCCTTTTAAAAATTATTCCACAAAAAATAATATTTATGGGTTACCATGTGATGTTTTAATACATATAAATTATGAAATATTTAAATCAAGTAAGCATAAATATCTCATTTATTACTTTTTATGGTAAAACCACTCAAAATTCTTTCTTTAAGCTTTTAAGAAATAGTCAGTGTATTATTGCTATCTAGCCATGCTTCTCTACTGTAGCACACTAGAACTCATTTCTCCCGTAAACTTTAATTTGGTCACCTATTGAGCCACTTTCCCCCATCTCTCCCACCTCCCCACTCTCCCTGCCTCAGGTAACTACTATTCTACTCTTAGCTTCTATGAGACTAACTTTTTACATTCCATTTATGAGTAAAACCATGCAATATTTGTATGTCAGTGCCTGGCTTCTCCAAAACACTCCATTACCTAATTTTCCTTTGACCTTATTCTTCATTAGTAGWCTTTAAAACTGAGGTATTGAATTTTCAGTGTTGGGCTCTACAGTTCACACTTAATATAATGATCTCCACTTCTATCCACTTGCTGCAAATGACAGAACTTCATCCCATTTTGGCTGAAAAGTATTCTCTTCTCAGAGGTTTCTCTTTCCCTTAACTCCCCCAAACCAAAATTCGACCTTCTGCTTCAATGAATTGGATTATCAGAGTCAGAGCTTTAGCCAAAGGCATTTTTTCCCTTGTGATTTCATGAAACTTGAACATCCATTTTTATCTATCAGAAGTGTGTTGCCCAACACCAAATCTGGAGAAAATCAAAATCGTACGTGAAAAGAGGGATTTCACTACTGTGTGTGCCTATATTTCTGGAGACTTTATTTTCTATATGTGTGAAGAAGGCTACTACACTGCTTCTTCTGAAGGAAAGAGTACATGCCAAGAAGATGGCACCTGGAAGCCTCAAATTCCAGAATGTAAACCAGGTAAGAATTTTAAAGAACTTATTATTTCCTTGGATCCTTCAAATATTATCCACCAAATATTTATCCACCAAGCATTTCACATCCTTCTTCCTGCAGAAGAGTTAACTTCTTAAAATCAGGTAAATAAAGGATTGTTCTTCTATAAAGTTTTTTTTTWAAAAAAATAAATGTTCATAATTTTTAAATTATTTCATTTTTAGAAAATACAGCATTTCAAAATTGTTGAGTTTCGGCCTTTACAGAAATCATCCTTCAACATAGGACTATCATCCCCAGTGCATTCAACTCATTGAAAACTTTCACATAGTTTTGTGAAATCCGAGACAGTGCCCTTCCAGTGGAACTATTCTATTATTTCACAGTCTTTGGTTCAACACTGTAACCATTGTCTAAATTCTAACACTCAGTAATCATGTCTTATGGTGCTGTGTTTATGGGAAGCCGGAGATAGATTGGGGATCCTGCATCTATTTGAAGTCTTTACACTTTCCACAGATGAACATTCCTGAACTTAGCCTGAAGTCTATTGAGAATGATTTAACCAGGACTCTGTGGCTGAACTCATCCTTTCATCCCAAAACTCCTGTGATCCATGTTGAAAAATATTTCCTATAAAATGGGAGAATTCTCTCAACTCAAGTTGCTTTTCTCCTACCAAGTATTTATCCACCAAGCATTTCACATTGAAAGCAACAGGATTGTTTGAGTTTTGCCAACTTCTCCAAGGGGATAGAACTTGAATGGGAACACTGGAACCTGCTACAAATCACCAGACTTGGGCCCCGAGAATGTGGATGAGACTGTTGGTAGRATGGTAAATTAGTACAACTACAATGGAAATCAGTATGGAGTTTCCTCAAAACACTAGGCATGTAACCACAGCATGACCCCCCAGCTCTATCATTTCTCAGTATTTATTCTGAAGAATTAAAGTCTACAATAATGATATGTGCCTATCCATGTGTATAGAAACATGGTTCACAATCGCCAAACTATAAAACCAGCCTTGTTTTATATCAGTAAATGGATGGAAAAAGAAAATATGGCATATGTACACAATGGAGTTTTATTCAATCATAAATAAGAATGAAATTATGTCATTTGCAGGAAAATAAGTGGAACTGGAGACATTACGTTAAATGAAATAAGCCAAATTTAGAAAGTCAAGGGCCATGTTTTCTCTCATGTGTGGAAGTTAGAGAGGAAAAAGGAAAAGAAAGCTTTGTGTGCAGGAGTGGACAAGTATCTCCTGAAAATTGAAAAGAGATCACTAGAGTAGAAGAAGAGGGATCAAGGGGAGGTGGGGGGGAAGGGAAAATACTGGGGTATGATACTGGCCAAATTATACTGTTAAACCATGAACATGCACAAATATGTACCAATGGATCCTACCATTGTGTTTAATTATAACACAATAACAATATGGATGAAAACCAAATCGTCAGACTTGGAGGAGTCTTCTTAATATAAAACTATAAGCTCAAACTCTTCCCTCTCTCTCACCATCCAAATGTGAAGTTCACCCTCCAGAATTTCCCCTAGACACCACCACAAGAAATGTCTTTAAATACTGCTGTTTTAGTCTGAGTATCTGAGTATCTGCCTCAAAAGTTTTTTTGTTGGAAATTTAATCTGCAGTCCAACATTAGTATGCAGTGGGACGTGGGGCCTCTATGAAGTGATTGTCCAAGGGGTGAAGCCCTTATGAATGGTTAGTGCCATTATTTTGTGAGTGGTTCAGTTATCAGGCAAATGAGTTGTTATAAAAGTGAGTTCAACTAGGTCTGTTCTCTCTTATTGGCTTATTCACACTCTTTCATCTTATGCCACATTGTGACATGGCACAAAGGCCCTTGCCAGGTGTAGATGCCATGCTTTTGGACTTCCCAGCCTCCAGAAACATATAGTTAAGTAACAATTTTTCTTTATAAAATCACCCAGTATATGCCATTCCATTAGAGCAACAGATAATGAATTAAGATAGAAAATCAGTACAGAGAAATGGGGTTGTAGCTATAACAAATACATAAAAATGTAGTAGAAGTGGTTTTTGAACTGGCTAATGGGTGGAGATTGAAATAGTTTTGAAACAAATGCTGGTAAAATCCTAGATTGTCTTGAACTGACCATTGAGGGGGGGGGGGTTATGGTGAGAGCCCAGAAATAAGAGACTAGGGAAAGTCTGGAGCTTCTTAGAGATTACTTAAGTGGTTGTGATGAAAATGTGGTTAGAAATATGGACAGCAAAAGTCAGTCTTGTGTTGAAAACAATCACCAGTGCAACAGTATTATGAGGTAAGGACTTCATGAGGTAATTGGGCATGAGAAGAGAGACCTCGTGGGCGGATTAATGCCCTAATCATGGAAGTGAATGAATCAATTGTAAGAGAGGGTTTTCTAAAACTTGGTTCAGTGGGCTCTGCCCTCTCTTGCCTATTCACCTTCAATTATGTATGATGTAGTGTAAAGTTACTCACTGGATACAGGTCCCATTCTCTTGGATGTCACAGGCTCAAAAACCATGAGCTAAATAAACTTTTTTTCTCTATAAATTACCCAGTCTGAAGTATTCTATTATAGCAACAGAAAATAAACTTAGACACCTCCTTATCCTGAAGCTACATATGAATGTATTGAAGGATATATTTTAGTTGGATTTGCTATAGCTCATGCAAAACTTTTGGTGGCTACCTTCACCTTTCCAAAGTAAAGGTAACTCCAGTTCCACTCWTAGTCCATTGAAGGTAGAGTTACAAAACATTGAGAGCAATGTTTCCTTCTGATCAAAGACTCCTAAATTTTACCTTTTAATTATGTATTTGGATTATTTAAATCATGACTGGTAATTTTTAAAATCCATTGACAAAGACATTAAAAAATGAAATTGACTTCCCACTCCAGAATCCTATGGGTACAATTATCCCATCTCTAGGGGCAGCCACTACAACTAGGTTGCTTTGTATCTTTCCAGAATGTCCAGACACAGTGTATTTTATTTGAGAATATCTTTGCGTTGCTAGTAAAATTCTCATGAGAATCTTGAGTTCTTTCCAACTATCCAAGAGAGAGGAATGTCAAGTGTAAATCCCCAAGTCATGAGGTGTTGAATACCTCCACTAAAACCTCATGATGGCCACCATTTTCCCCCTGATCTTCCCATTTCCACTTTTTTTTTTTTTGATGACCCAATGATGATCCTGTTTGGTCACTGATGCAAAAACAAGATGAATCAAGATACGGTCTGTCTCTACATTGTGCTACCAAATGCCACTGTCTCCACTGTACCCAGGAAGATTAATGAGGCTGAGACAATGAAAAGTACATATACAGATAAAATAATAATAGTAATTAATTCATAYGGTTGTAACAAGGATTAAATGAGATAAGGCCAACAAAAACTTAGAAAATAGATGCATATATTACTCAATAAATATTTATGACTATTATAAGTACTAAAATGAAAGACTTTAGAACAACTTGAGGAGCCTAAGTATAATTATGATCAAAGTTTGTCTTATGCTGTTTTGATGCCTTTTTCTGAAAAAACACAAGAATCAAAATATGTTTCCCTTTTAGTTCTGTGTCCAAAACCAACGATAGAAAATGGCAGGCTGGCCAGGGAGAAGGATCATTATGTTGCAATGGAAAACATCACCATCCAGTGTGACTTTGGCTATAATGTGGTTGGTTCCCAAAGTATCACTTGCTCAGTGAACAAAACCTGGTACCCAGAGGTGCCCAAGTGTAAGAAGGTAAGTGGCACAATTCAGAGGAGTTCTGGGCTTTCAATCCCTGAAAATGGAAGCCTCCCCCAAAGTTCTRTCCCTGTCAACAATGATCTGACTTTTGTCGGGATCCCTAAGTAATGTATCAAAATTAGCCATTTCAATCTCAAAGTACTATGGGGAGCTGGGAGAAGCAGTTTTTTTTGACCCTGGGGCTAGAGCCAAAACTCCACTCTAGGCCCAGATCCCCTGACCCCTAACTCCACATCTTCTACAGTGAGTGTCCTGCGTTTGCTCCATTTCTGGTTGGTGAGCAGAATATCCTACAGCTGCCATGATGGAGGTGTTCTGGGTTGCTTTGCCTCTTTTCGGCTTTGATTGTGCCTGATTGCTGCTCAAGAGCAGATTGGGGTTTGGCCAGCAGCTGACACCTGATCAGAGGCAAAGTCTCTTCTGACTTTCTTTTCATAGACCAGTCTTCAGGTCAATCTCACTTTTGCCAGTTATTCCTCTCAGAATGCACCACCTCCTCATTTCTCTCTTTTAATCACCTTTAGGAGGTTCCAGAAGGCTGTGAACAAGTGATCATAGGCAGAAAACTCATGCAGTGTCTTCCAAACGCGGAAGAGGTGAAAATGGCCCTGCAGATATATAAACTGTCTCTGCAGATTGAGCGTTTGGAACAAGAGAAAGATAAATGCATAAAGCTAAGGGAGAATATTTTTGAAAAAGAGAAATCAGAGGAGTTAGTTTTGCCTTTAAATTAATATGAAGAATCTCCTCAACAACTCTATTCTTGGGCACATCACTCACAGTAATGTTTCTGGGCTTGGGAAATTTCATATGATTATTGTAAATAAAAAAAGATATATTTAACTGTTGATCATCTCACTGCGTCTGCTTTTCTTAACTCACAGTGTTGGTCAAATAAATAATCACTCATCAAATATCAGTTTGTGCTGTCATCCTGGTCAGCATGCCACATAAATATCGCACACCCAGTACACAGATCTGCTGTTTACAATACCTGTAATTAATTTTACATCCCTTAGAAAGGATGGAAGCTAGGAAACTCAAATTGTTCCCACCGTTACCTTTCCCTGGTGCCTTTACTGCACATCTCCCATGTCCAGAACYTGCCTCTCTGACTACAGGAAAAATGGTCCAAATCCAATAGACTTTCAAAGTAGACACTCTGGTAATTAAAAACCAGAGACAGAAGAAAAACCTGACTGAAAAATAAAAATAAAAAAATAAAGAAGTGACAGTAACAAA